AACCTTTCAAACTCTATGTAGATGCTTCTTTTGATGGTTTAGGAGCAGCACTTCATCAATCCAGGATCATTGATGGGAAGTTGCAAGAGGGACCAATTGTGTTCATATCACGCAAACTGAAAGACAGTGAAACCAGATATGGGTCTCCACAACTTGAAGCTCTGGGATTAGTCTGGGCGCTTGAGAAACTCCACTATTATTTGGATGGAGCGTACTTTGAGGTCATCACTGACTGCACAGGAGTCAGGTCTTTGATGAATATCAAAACTCCAAATAGGCATATGCTTAGATGGATGCTTGCAATCCAGGAATACCGGCCTTATATGACCATTACACATAGACCTGGAAAAATGCACAACAATGCAGATGGATTGAGCAGAATGGCTTTACCCAATGATGAATCCAATCCAGCATGGGAGCCTGAGGAGGTAGAACTCGACATCCCAGTGATGGGATTGAGTTTGGCTGAACTTAGTGATGAATTTTTTGAAGAAATTCAGAAGAGTTATAATAACGATCCTAACACTACAAAGTTGATTAAGATTATGAGTCAAGATAAAATAGATATGTCTTTAGTTACCAGTTTGGATTCTCCATGGAAGGAACTTTACGCTGAAGGAAAATTTTCTTTGCAATCTGGATTACTCTATTACAGAGAAAAGCATACCTCTGTAATAGTACTTGTGGATAAAGCTCATAAAGAACAAGTGCTCAAAGTATGCCATGATGAGATACTTGCAGGACACATGGGTGAAGATAAAACACTAGAAAAAGTTTGTACTACGGCATGGTGGATCAAGAGAAACCTGGATACCGAGATGTATGTTAACAGCTGTGAAAGATGCCAGAAGGCTAATAAAGCTACTGGAAAGAGGTATGGCCTATTACAACACATCCAAGAGCCAACATACCCGTGGGAGATCATTAATATGGATTTTGTCACAGCACTTCCACCAGCAGGAGTAGAGAACTATAATGCTTGCCTGGTTATTGTTGATAGGTTTCCAAGACGAGCCAGATTTCTGCCGTGTTACAAGGAGTCCACAGCAATGGATATAGCGCTTCTATTTTGGGAAAGACTGATTAGTGATGTGGGACTTCCAAGAGTCATCATCAGTGATAGAGATCCTAAGTTTACTTCAGAATTTTGGAAAGGACTTTACAGTCTAATGGGCACCAAATTAGCATTCTCTACCGCACACCACCCACAAACAGACGGGCTTGCAGAGAAAATGATTCAAACCTTATCAGAAATGGTAAGAAGGTATTGTGCGTTTGGACTTGATTACAAAGACAAAGACGGGATTACACATGACTGGAAAAGCTTACTTCCTGCCTTGGAGATAGCTTACAACAGCAGTATACACAGTAGCACAAAAAAGAGTCCTTTTGAAGTGGAAAGAGGGTTCTGTCCTAGACTTCCCAGGGACAAATTTCGGAGTAGGGATGTGGATATTCACCCTACCTCTTTAAGTTTTGCGACAATGCTAAATAGAGCAAGGGAATATGCTACTAGGTGTGTCAGAGAGTCAGTAGAATATAACAAAGAGAGATGGGATAAGTCGCATCAAGAGCCTGAATTTTCTGTTGGGGAACAAGTCCTGCTTTCCACTGTAAATTTCAATAATATCCAGGGACCTAAGAAATTACAAGATCAATTTGTGGGACCTTTTGTGATATCAAAACTAGTTGGCACAAATGCAGTTGAACTGATATTACATGGCGAGTTGGAAAGGAGGCATCCTGTGTTTCCAGTGTCCTTGATTAAGAAGTACACTCCACCTGAGGCTAGTGATATTAGACAAACGAAGACAGTACCAGTAGTGGTCATACCTCCATATGAGCCAGAAGGAGAGAAAAAATTTCTAAAGATACTTAAAGATAAAAGGGTCAAAGACAAGGATGGTAAGGACACCATCTTATACCTGGTGAGATATAAAGGTAAAGGAGCGGATGGAGACGAATGGCTCCCAGGGGATAAAGTACCTAACTCAAAAGTAACTCTTAGAGCTTTTAGAGCAGCTAAGAGAGATACAGCAATTCAGTAGAAGGATAACCTTCTCTGGTGGTGGGGAATGTCAGCCCTGAGCCCTGTGTACAGGACCACGGACTAACAAACACACATGTAAACACATTTAATACATATGTAAATAATATGTAAATATATGAAACTTGTTTAAAACCATAAGAATTACAACTCATGGCTCAGTTTCAAGAGTCACTTAAGTAACAAGACTTTTAACCTCATAGTAAAACCTAACCCAAACCTAACTCAAAAGAAAAGCAAACCTAAGTGCCAACCACAAGTTGACGCCTAGGTCTGGAATATATAAACCCCTCTTCTTCCCACTCTGGAAGAAGAAGAACTTCATATCATTACACAACTCATCATCACAACTTACTTGATTCTTCACCAAGAATATTGAGTACAGTGATATTGTTGTACTTTGATTGTCATAGTTCTTTTCTGTCTTTGTTCAGGTCATTGTAAAACCTCAAGTAGTGTTCTGAGCTTGTGGGACCAATAGCTAACAGAACAAGCTTGGAATTTACAAAGGGCACCTCATTAGAGAGTCTAAAGTACCCAGCGGCACCTCTGATTCTTCAGAGTCTAAAGTACTGCAGGCTTGGTAGTTGTAAGATCAACCCAAGCTCAGAGTAGGATCCTTAGAAGGACTACTTAGCCATCCCACTGGCCACAAATCCTCTCATTAGAGGTCAACTAACTGTAGTCTTCGCTTGGGTGTAACAAGTGAAGGCTTCATCGTTGACTACTCTTTACTTTTCTTAGTGAAGAGTTAGCCCAACAGTTGCTGACTCCTCACAGAATCTGAATGAGATATCCTGGACCTTGAACCCTTCCTGCATCTACAGGCGTATTGGAGCAATCCCTCACACAAACAACCTCTTCTCAATGAAATCATGGCCAGGTTCAGCAGACCTTTTGAATACTTTGACCAGCCCCATCAAGCACTTACACTCTTCAACTTCAAGATCATTCTTGAAAACTTTCTTAATCATTCATTCACGTTCAATCAATTGCTGCCTCTGACTCTTGATTATTGTTTTTTTCAATTCCTTTTTTGATTCTTCATATGCTTTCTTCTGTATTTATGAGCATATGCTCTCATTTCTCTTTATGCTATACCTACATTTGCAATTCTAAGTGAATGGTTTTGATTCATCTGGCAGCTTGATCCTTTAATGTATGCAATGGGAAAAACAGGGTGAGAAACTGTAGCAACAGCTCTTTGTGTTGCACACAACACAACAAGATTTGTGATTGCCTGTTGTGTTGTGCGGTTTGAGGTATGAAATATTTTTGCTGTGTTGGTTGCAATGACCTGTTGCCCACAATGCAACACAACACAACAGTCCAACATTGCTCTGGCTTTGTGGCCTGAGGCCCAATCTCAGGCATTGTGTATTTTTTTTGGGTCTGGATTAAAAAAAGGTGTACAAGGGTCAAGTTGTGGTTGCCCACGGGTGAATCACATAACTTATTGGTTAGGTGCTCAATTTGTTGACCAATTCCAGTTGATCTTATAACCACTGCACTACAGGAGCATGCCTGGGACCAATGTATAGCCTGACTGGTACCTTACAAGCTTAAGTATCTAGCCTAATCCCAGGCCCAAATTTTGACCTACTGGTGAAAAAAAACTTGACCAATGCCTTGGATGATCCCACATATGGATTGAGTAAGCATCTTCTGCTGAGTAGACCTGTCTACTTATTGATCTGAGATACTGTCATTATGGTAGTGAGCTTTGAGCTCAAAATTGAACTTTTGTCTAGCTGGTCAAGAGGTAGTACATAGTACACTTGATCTACTGTAAAGTTTCAAATTTAGTAGTCACAAGAAATTCTATTCACCCACAGTCCCTCTCATTGAGACTTGAATTATTAGTACCATAGTATATTTTATTAGTTCCACCCCTTAGGGTTTCACGGGTTTACTGAATTCCTTTTCTCTCACATCAAATCTTGCAAAACATCAGACTCCAGAATTATAGTACATTACAATTTTATTCAATTAATTTTTCTAAAACAAGATAATCAAATATTTACAAACCAATTCCCTTGAAAAGCCTTGAAGGAAACCTCTGGTCAAATCATCACCTTTCACATCACAAACATCAAAAATTTGCACCTCAAAACCCCCCTTTTTGTTTCACACCCATCTGGGCAGTAATTAACAAAAACACCTTTTTTGGTCACACACATACATGGTTTTTCACCAAAAAAATCTCCCAAAAAACCACTTTTTTGTCACAAACTTACATAGGAACATACCTGGGTCTTAATAAGGGCCAGCTAAAAATCTTTGTTGTCTCCAAAATCCAATAGAGTTATTATTTATAGATGTTTTGGGATTTCAAAAGAGTGTTTCACAGCAAAGACATAAGTAGTATTCCAAGATTCTAATGATTTTTTTCTTATATTTCTCTCTTTCATGATCCTCTTTCAAAAATTAGAAGTTTAACAAGATAAATCATACATCTGTTTTATCTCCCTTGCCTGAAATCTGTGTACATTCTCAAGGACACAGAAAGATATTTTGGGTTCTCCTACATTTTTTATCACCAAAGCTCTCTGGCTGGTTAGGCTGGCCCTGGTCCAACTGGTTGAGGGGCTCTGACAACACTTACTTTGGCCAAGGAAAATGTCAAAAGTAGGGGGTTTCACCACATTTGACTCAAATTTTCAGTGTTTTTGTAGCTTATTGCACTGTATCTCTGACTTGACTATGCTGTGAAGTACATAGCTAGTTATGTAAAGCCACAAAATCAACCCATGGCCCAAATACCCACAAAATTCAAGTGATTTGGCTTGGAAGCCTTGTCAAACTTTGTGGAGATTGAGTGGATATGGACACTTCTCTCTTCTCCTGATAATGCTATGTGCTGCAAGCTCAAATTAATATTCTGGATTTCTTCAACGCCCAAGAATTTCACTTTGATAACTCAATTTCTTGGTGTCTTCCCAAAAAGATAATTCACACAACATGTTGAAGTAGATGGCATTATGAATCAGCAATGAATAGGATATTGGATAAAGATCAAAGAGTTAAATTATACCTTGTGTGAAACCGCATTGAAAAACATCAGACGATTTAGCAAGGCAAAGAAAAATCCTCAAAAAAAAATGAATAAATGGAATTAAACACCTTTAAAAAAGAAAATAAAAAGACTATTGACAAAATCATGATAACCCAGTAGAGAGAGAGAGAAAGAAAGAAGAAAAAAAAGGAAATTTCAAATTAAATTAAGCTCTTCTTCAAAAAAAAGAATCAGAGTCTTAATTTAATTGAAAGGAAGAATGGAGATGAGAAAATTGGTAAGAGGTACACTTGAAAAGGATGAAAAGTAATGTACGTTTAGCAAGATAGAATAAAAAAGAAATGATCCCAAAAGAAGAGAAGAAAAATTGGTGAGATTTATGATTCTGAATGGAATGATAGTTAGATAGTGAAAGGTTAACCAGAGATTTCATCTGGCTTATGCTCCAACCATCTTACTTCCGACCTAATTAAATAAAATCGAATGATGAAAATCAAGTCAATGACGATGATCATAGCCAGGCGAGAAGAGTGATTTCAAAGGGAGATTAACTAACCGTTCTTTCGCTTTCTAGTTTAGCTTTATTCTTCGCAAAAGCTGCCTCACGGCAAGAAGTCATGTTGAGACTGTTGAATGATAGAAATCAAAAGTTAGCCAAAGGCATTTAACTAAAAAAGGATGAATGAGGTCAGAGGTCAAGAGAGAGGCTTACCAAGCATGATCTTCTGGAAGTCGATGACGAGCACAGAATTGAAAAGTACAATGTGGACAATCACCAACCAAACCTGTATGAAGACAATTAAAATCCAAAAAACACCACCAAGTCCAGCACTCAGGCCTAAACTCGAATCCAAGAGAAAACAGTTAAAACACAAAGACTTACGTAATGCAGGTTGAGAACACTGAGATTCATTGACACTATTCTTGGCATGTTGACATCGTTTCTTGGGAGCACCGCCTCTGAGTCGCATAGCCACCTCAGCCGTGATGAAATCGACTTGATGGTTTTCGATTTGACCATCCCAAGGTTTACCGGACCTTGAAAGACGAAGTGAAGAAACAAATGAGTTGGGTAGATTGGCATATTCACAAACGGCTTGTAAGATTTCATTTGGATTTCTATAGTTTGATGAGTTTTGTAAAATCATAGTTGCTGAACCTGGGAATGGTAAACTGAGTAAGATTTGAGGAGCCATTGAAAGAAGAAAGGATTGAGGGATTGGTTGATGTAGTTGATTGATTAGGAGGTTAGGTGATATAAGACAAGTGAAGATCTAGTAAGTGATGTTGATGATGAAAGGTGATTTATAGACTGTGTAAAGGTGTAGTAAGACGAGCTTGAGAGTGAGATGGTTGGAGTAAAGAAATGCTTTGAGCAATTGGAAAGTATTTATAAGAAGATTGATATGAAATGAAAATAAGAACGATGAGTTGAAGATGAAGAGTATCGAGATCTGAAGAGGGCTTTATATATGAAATGAAGTTTCAAGTTTTATCGAGAGTTTAATTAAAATAAGTTTTAAGTGAGTAGTTAAGGTAAAAAAATGTGTGTAGGTAGGGTAGGTTTTCAAAGGGGATACAACGGTCAAACCACCCAAATCAATCAAATTATGAAATTCAAGTTTGAATGGAATTTGATTTTGGTTTGATCAAGAGGATGATCAGGATAAAAGAAAAAAAGAAGTAAAGTTAAAAAAGAGAAAATTGATATATAGGTGGTTTTAGGAGTGAGTTCTGATTGTTGTTGTTGTTGTTTGTAATTTGAAGATTAATGATTTGAGAATTGGAGGAGATCCTTGTTGTTTCTTGTTAATTTCTTGATGGATTTGATGATGTGATCAATGGATGTTCTAATGAGCAGCTTTTATCTGTCTAAACTTCAAGATTGATGATTTCTGAGTAAAAGTAGAATGATGATTTCAGTGATGGTCAATGATGATTTCCTAAAACACAACCAAGCATCAGTTATTTATTCTCCAGTCAAAGGCTTTCGTAGTGAGTGAGTCAGTGGGGGGGGGCCGCGTAATCCAACTTGAAAAATGAAACCAAAAGAGGTTACGTCAGCGTTTGATCAATTGACTGAAACTGTAATGATTAGATATGTAAATTACATGTGTACATTCCACTTTTCGATTTGTCTCCACGATCTTGACCGAGTCTTGACTCTTGAAATGACTTGTGAATCACGATCGATGAAACTTTATTTTCCATTTTCATTTCAAATCTTTCAAACTCATCTCCCCTTGACAATCTTGAGAGAACCATGAAAAAATCAACTCCACTTCAAACTGACATCTTGGACAGATCTCTTTAAAGGGCATCGTCGTCGATTCGTTTACATAATTCCGACTCGATTTTATTATGTACATTAAACTTTTACATAACATTCGCTTCATTTATCAAGAAGCAAACAAAAAAACACACTGCCCCACTGAATGTTCTCCAAAGTGATCCCATATCTCTAAAAACTTCTGTTAAAATAACATTAACAAAATCAAAAGTACAACACCAGTCCCAAATCGACGGAGAGAGAAAAAATCAAAACTATTTAAACATCTTTTTAAGAGAAACCTTAACCAATCTTTTTGATGATTCTAACATATGTTCTGAAATAGAAAAAAAGCCATGAAAAACAAAACACAAAACAAAACATATCAAACTCTTACAAATCCCACTTAAGAAATCCAAAACCATTTCAACAAATTTTCTTTCTAGAGTTTTAATCAAGTTGTGATCCAACCAATTGATTATTCAAAGGTAAAGGAACATCTACTTGATAAGCACTAGAGCCATAAAACCCAGTAGGATCCAAAGAACTCAAAGCAGCATAAGGATCATCATTGACCATCATTCGAGTGGTGGCCAGATTCGAATCTAATCCGATGCCCATCTCTTCACTAATCTCTTCTTCTGATCTATTGAATTGATTCATTTCATGTTCTTTTAATTTCGATAAACTTGGTTTCATCGGAAGCACAGGTGGGGTTTGTGTATCGGTGATGATTGGTAGTGTTTGACTTCTGGTAGATGGTTCTGGTTTAGATGAGACATTCGTACTATTTTCGGTTTCAGGTTTAGGTACAGTTGAAGTTCGTAGGATCGGAGGTGGTCTACGGGTTGAAATGCTTAATGATTCATGATACGATTGTTTGGCGGCAGGATTAAGAGCTGGTGAGTCAGTTAGATACTTCGGTTTAGTGCTTCGAATGAAGACTTCAGGACTAGATGAAATGAGTTCAAAGCCAAAAAGGACATCAGAATCAGTACTCTGATCATCTAATTCGATAACGGAAAAGGTTTTTATAATCTCACCTTCTATGATATACTGAGCTCAAGGTACCAGTCTGGAGTAACAAGCGATCAAGCACACCTCGATCCATGGCTTCACTCTCAGTAGAGATTGATGGTTTTTCAGCCATGACAATGTCTTTAGCTGCAGTAGGATTAGTTGACAAGAGTCGCCAATAGATGTAACCTCGATCTCGAAGATCTGGATTATCCACTTCTTCTGTAGCCCATTTAAGGATCTTAGGGACCAGCTCAGCACCAGCTGTAGGACGTTTGATGAACAACTTTACAGTGGCTGTCAAGAGCGCTAGTTGAACCTGAAACCAAACGTTCAAGATGATCAATGGTAAGCATATAGGATACGTACCATCGAAAGAATCGAAACTTCAAGTGTTGGCTCACCTCTACAGGTTCCTCTAAAAACGTATAAAGGAAATCTTCCAATAATTCTTCGGAATTTTCAATCCGATCAGCATACTGACCAATAATCCAAATCATCGAAGACTTAGCCTCAGGTGTATCTAAAGCATCCAAGTTTTGACATAAAGATCCAATAATGCCTTCATACTGATTAGGATATTTTCTAAAGATATCTTTGATCACTACTATAGCTTCTTGAACTACATAATTGATCTTGGTAGCCACTAGTTCCAATAAAACTGCGATACATCTATCAGAAGCTGATGAGATCTTGATGGCTAATCTACCAATTGATCTAACAGCTTTTCGTACAAAATCCACATCTACTTCTGAAGCATATCTAATCATCATCAAAAACACTAACGTTAGTTTCCAAATCCAAAGTTTGATTGATACTCTAAAGTAAGATCGATTGAAAACACACTCAGCTAACTCGGCCAAGACTTGTTCAAAGTTTTGTTCACTGGCTAGACGATAGATGATCTCCAATTTAGCCAACTTGACATAAATCGGATCAGTGTACTTGCAAAAAAACACCTTGACTTGGTTTTTCAAAACTGATGGTCTTCGTTGGATGATCAGTAAGATATTCCGAAGAGCTACGTATTGAACTTCGTATCCAGATGAGAGAAGAGTAACTAGATAATCAAGGTTTCTATGAGGTTAGAATCCGATTTGATCTCATACTCTCGAATGATAATTTGATCAAAAAAAAAGGTACCGAAATCCAAAAGACATACTGACTAAGGGATGCGCTCATTCTTTTGCACATGGCTTCCAAAACTTCTACATCTGCCATATAATTCATAAGATAGATGATCACCTTGATGGTTGTTAAGACCACTGCACTATTTGAATGTTGTAGTCTGATTGCAAGTCGTTCAGCCAAGATTTCCGCATCACCTGATCCTTCTGGAACATAATACATTAATGCTTCAATAATATAAGTCTGTCCCCACCTATTCAATCAGTTTGTAAACCAAAAGAAATCCATTAGCATCTATATCTCTATTAAAAAGTTTTGTGATAGATGATCAAATGGAAAAGCAGGAACATACTCAGAGCATTCACCTAAAGCTGCCACCAATTTATTAGCAATCGTTAAATTAAGTCTTAATTGAATATTTTCACTTTTTTCTGAAATCTCAGTCAAGGCTGCAACAGCATTTGCAATCACAGTTGAATTTGAATCAGCCAATAAATCACGTAAATTATTCACAAATCCTTCTTTTTCTACTAATTTTCGATCATGTGTAAATAATTTAGCTACACAGATTGCCGATGTCTTTCTCACATATGGATCAGAATCTTTTAAACAATGTCGTAAGGGGTCTAGGATTGCTCGATGAACGGCTGGAACTGGGATGTAGGACATGGTTCGGATCGCTAAGGCTCTGATCAATGGGTTTCTGTCGTTACAATCCTTAGAAAGAGAAAGATACGGATTAGGTTAATGACCTAAAGGATGATCGGGTTCTGAGAGTGGGTGGAAAGTACACACAGATAGAAATCCTTCCATGGCGTATTTCACTAAATCTGGTTTTGAACGTGAATAATTGATGAGGTAAAGGTATACCATCTGTTGATTGAGATTGAATCACACCAATCAAAAAGGTGATCAATGTCAGTCATACGATGGTGATGGCTCGAAGATCAAGAAAGGAGAAGTACCTTTTTGATTTCCAGAATTTGAATTCCCATACATTGAACCACGTCTGAAAAGAGTGGTGACATATCGTTTCCCTAGTTTAAAAGTAAAAGAAGCATGTGAGCAATTTGCCAAACTGTAAAGGATGTGACAAATCAGTCTACCATGGTCATGTTTGCAACTACTTTCTTGAGCGTATTCTTCTTACGTTGAAATCCTTTATCTTTTTTATCAGTCTAGAAGATGTAGAAGGTGAATTAGTCCATAGAGTAATGATGGATGTCTGATGAATACTTACTTGAAGTTCAGCCCTTAACTCTTGGACCTTACCACGCGAAAAGAGTTTGGCATCTTGAGACATTTTCGGTTTTGATTGACTTGAAGATAGAGATCGAGAGCAGAGAAGAGAGATGAATTGGTGTTGAACTTGGAGGGCGTTGAGGAACAGAGTTTTGATGGTTCAACTTCAACGCGAATCAATGAATGATCAAGAGGCCCAGAGAGAATTGCAGGATGTCGGGGCGGGTAGTGGAAGGAATGACAGGTGATTGTGTGGGTCGGTACTTCTGGGATCAGTTGAAAGTTAAAATTTGTGAATCGAAGTTGCAAGTTGATCAGCTCCACCATCAAGAGAAACACATTCATCACCACACCATCAAGAAGTGAGAATCAATGGAAGAAAGTAATCAAACCATCAAATCAGAACTCAATCTCTTCAACACAACACCAAACAAAATAATAAGTTAAATCATCATATCATTCATTCTACTTATATCTATCTCATCAACTGATCAGTTTAAACTTGACTTCTTTTTAGATAACCCACCATCTTCTTCTATCGATTCATCATCTTCATCTGATCTCACTTCACTCGATCATTCATATCAAAACGAAGCTGATTCTAACTTGACTCTCAAACACTCTCTGGATCATCAAGAAGATCATCAATCTACTTTTCCATCACCACTTACAACCATTGATTTATTCTCAGCCACAGAACATCAACCGATTGGAAAAAAAACAAAATTCAATAAACCTATCAGTAAGAAAACTTCAAATCTTTCGTCAAATTCAAAACCAAAGAAAAAATCAAAACAAGACATTCAATCTATTAATTTGATTAGTGAAACAGATTCATTAGATTCAAATGGACAACTCTTACCACATCTAAGATATGAAACTCAAAAGAAAACGTGTTTAGGATTACCCAATGGATTGATAAAGTATAGATGTTCATCTTGTATTCGTAGACAAACCGGTTCACTTTGTTCATTTGTTCATATTCGATCATGGATCTATTCTAAAGAATCTAATCAATTAGTGGGTGGACCTCTTTTCGAACCTGTCAATCGAACCGAATCTCAAACCAGTTATCGATTGGCTCGGTTTCCTATGGTCTTTAATCAATTACCTACTTTAAATCAATTGATCCAATTAAGACAAACGGTAGGCAAATCATTGAAACCGGTCTTGCAAAGGGAATTAATTGAGTATCAGAATGATGAAAAAAGTGTGAGGTTTATTGGTAGAAGGATCGATGTGTTGACTAGATGTGATTATTGTTCGGTGACTTTGATTGGGGTGGCTTGGATGTGTCAAAGATGTGGGAACGAAGCTTGTGTGAAGTGTTTTAAGATTTTGAAAACTTTGTCTGATCATGATCAATTTGTTGATCAAGATGATGAAGAAGAAGATCAAGAAGAGATTGAAGAAGAAGATCAGATGAAAAAACTCGATGTCGATTGTCATTCACATTGGATTAGACGACTTCGGTTTTGTGTGAAATGGTTCGGATCTAAACATGATCCATCTTATCATATTAAAATCTCTCATCTCACTAAACAAGAAATCTTGAATTATTTAAATCAAATCGATCAAACCCTTCAACTGGATTCCACTACGACCACTCCACCATCTACACCTTTTCCTCTTGATAGCATCTTATATTCACCATCTGATTCTGAGAGTGAACCGTATTATAAGATAGATGTAGGTGCACTTGAATATCATCGTGAAATATTTCATCGAATTTGGTCAACTGGAGTGGCTTTAGTCGTCACAGGTATGGACAAACGAATGAACCAAAGCTGGGATTCGACCTACCTTAGAACTACTTATGGAGAAGAACCTTGTAGGATGTTGGATTCTAATTTACCTCATGGTGATCCAATCGAAACGAATGTGGGAGATTTTTTTGAAAGGTTTGAAGATCTTAATTCTCAAGATCCAACGGTTTGGAAATTAAGAGTTTGTAACCTCTTCTTTTTCTTTCTAGTCAGATTTTTTTTTTGATTGGTTTGAAACCTTTTTTTTTGGGGGAACAATTTGGTGGATAGGATTGGCCACCTGAAACGGATTTTAAGATGAAATTTCCAGAATTGTTTGAAGATTTTCAAAAATCGATTCCGATTGCTGAAATCACAAGTCGAAATGGATTTCAAAATTTAGCTGCACATTTTCCTGAGAATGCTAATATTCCGGATATGTTAGTAGATAGTCCTTTTGACTGTTTTTTCCTTGGTTTTTTATACTAATCCTTTTTGATTTTGTTGTTTCTTTTTTGGGGGGGAAATAGTGGACCTAAGGTAAAACACTTTCTTTGGTGATTTTTCTTGCGGTTTTTCTTATCTATGATTTGGTTGATCGATCAGATGTATATCGCAATGCAAAATTCGGATCAAAGTGGATCTTCTGGATCAACTGTGTATGTGTTTTTTTATTTGATTTGCTTATTGAAATCTTTATTAACTTTTCTTTTCGTTTTTGGAATTGGTTTATTTTAATTAGTCTTCATATGGATGTTGCAGGTAGAGTTTAAGACTTTTTATTAAGTTTGTGGGCTTGGAAAGAATTCATGAATTTAATGTTGACTTTTTAGATGCGATTAATGTTCAAACGTATGCTAAATCTAATCAAGAAGGATCAGAAGGATGTGTAAGTCTCATGTTGCCTTTTTTAAAATTACATTTTCAATTTTGAGAAAGAAAAAAAAGAAGAGAAAGAAGAGTGTAGAGAAAACTGACATGATTTGTTTTTTTAATCTTCGATTTCGTTTATTTTCTTTGTAGGCTTTATGGCATTTGTATCATGCAAAAGATACAGAAAAATTAAGACAATTTCTGTACGATCATAATTCGAAGAAATTAGGAATTCCAGTTGAAGAAGTTAAAAGGAAATATGATGATCCGATTCATACGTATGTAAAGATGGATTTCGTTTTTCTTTTGTTTCTTGGAATTTTTCTTTCTTTTTTCTTCTTTGGATTGATATATCTGATATGATTGGTTTTTTTTTCATTTTTCATATGGTTTATAGAACTAGGACTTATATTGATGTTGAAATGAGAAAACAACTTTGGGAAGAGTATGGGGTGAAAGGTTATGAAATCAAACAGGTTTGTGATCTTGTGATCTTGTGATTTTGCATTTTTTTCTTTCTTTTTTTTTGAGTTGAAAGAAAATCAAGATTTTTTTGACGGTTTCGTTTTTTTTTCTGATGGTTTGGGTTTCTTTTTTTTTGGATTTATGATAGAAACCTGGTGAAGCGGTTTTTATTCCTGCTTATACTGCACATCAAGTTTGTAATTTGGCCAATTGCATTAAAGTAGCCGGTATGTCAAGGGTTTTTTTTTGAAATACATCTTTTTGGGAGTTTTTGTCTTTTCTTGATTCCTTTTCTTTTTCTTTGACTTTTTCTGCTCTGGTCGGTTTGGTTTAGCGGACTTTGTTTCTCCAACTTCGATTGAAAGGTGTATGAAGCTTAAGGACGAATTTAGAACTCAATTACATGAACATCAAAAGCCTTGGAGGGACGATGTTTTACAGATTGATCAGATGTTACTTTAGTAAGTTTACAAGTTGTCTTTTATAGATTTCATTGAGCTCTTTTTTATCAAATAAAAGAATCTGATGGTGTTTTCTTTGTGGGGGGTAATCTAGTGCATTTGATTCCTTAGGTAGAAATCTTGAAGAATTTAAGGTTTGATTTTTATGATTTTTATGAGTATTTTCTTTTTGAAAAATCGTTGGACAGTTTTATGGAAAAAATGGAAAGGTTTCTTTGGAAGTTTAGTTTGATTTTGTTTTTCAGTACATTAGCAGATTTGTTTTAATACAGTCAACCAAAAAAAAAAAAAAACAGGAGGTTTTTGTTGTCTTTGGATTTTCTTTTGGTTTTCTTTAATGTTTGTTTCTGATGTTTGTTTTTCTTTGATATATTTGATGATTTTTAATATTTGGTCTTTTTGATTTCAAAGACTGAAAGATTTGAACAATTTGAAAAACAGAAAGATATGTTGGTTTCCTTTTGTTCAGGTTTTAGATTTGGTGTTATGTTCTTCTCAAGAATTTATTGGTGGTCTGTCCTTATTTTTGGAAATTATATCTTGATTTCTTGGGTCATGGAAAATATTGCTTCCATGTACCATCAAAATTCAGATTGTCCTTGTGGTGGTATGGTTTTCATACTATGCATCCAGTGTTGTGATCAGTATGATGCAGGTGGACCCCTTTAATTGCTCCATCACCATCTTCTGGCCCTGATTGAGGAGTATATCTCTACCTCATTCTTTCCTTTGTCAGTTATTCTGCATTAGGGGTTCTCAAAGTTGGCCCGGTTTCAAGAAAACCCAGTTGACCCGGTTGCTTTTTGGCAGTAACCTTGTGTATCGAGTTGACATTTTTTGACAGATCACAGCCAAAAAGTCAACTGGGTCAACCGGGTTTTTACAAACCGGGTCTACTTTGAGAACCCCTATTGATATTGGGTCAAGTCTCACAAGAGCCGGTCTGAGCAGCCGGTGCGGATGCTCTAAAGGGTGAATTACTCCTTTTTGTTCTTTTCTCATGCCTCGAGGTTCGTTTATATGACAATAGTTGTCCAAATCCCACGCTGCTTTCTCGCACGCTTCGAGCGCATGGCGCAGCGAGAGACTCAAGTATGACAATGACCAACGAGACACGCTTTTGCCTGTGAGGGGAATCAAGTTTGGCTGGAGAAATTTTCATTCTGGATTTTCGTGCACCATGGAGACTTTTTGTTCCCCTCTCTGAGACTGGGACAGACCTTTTTCAAAACTTATAAGTCCTTCGCTGCGCTCAAAGCGTGCGAGAAGCAGCGTGGGACTTGGATAAATTTAAGAGCATCCCCAACGCGCCGCCGGAAACGTAACCTTTACATAGGGTTTACCTAGCATTTCTGACAGAAACGTAATGTCAAAATTACGTTTGCAAAGATTTTCCGAAAAACAGCCTCCAGCGCGAGTAAAAAGTCGCACAGTTGGCCATGGGTGCGACTTCGTTTATTCCGCCAGCTGGAATACGTACGGTTTGTTCCAATTGTTTCTAGCTGAGCCGGAAACCTCGGAAAACGTGATTTCTCACGATTTGGACACGTTGAGACCACGAAACTCGCCTCTTTTGTTCCTTTGTGTCCTATCTCAAAGCTTGAAGCACACATTACCACAACCTCGATCAGATCAAGCGGCCAATCCATGCGATTGATCTGATCGTGTCCTATCCTTAGACAGGGGTAGAAAACCGAATCTCTTATTCAGCTTGCGCGGTGCTGCCTACTGAAGAGCATCTCCAACGCGACTCTGTAAACGTAAGTTTAACGTAGCCATTTAGACATAAACGTAAGCTGTAATTTACGTTTAGCGGTTTGGCCACAAAAACCAACCTCCAGCGCGCACATGATTTGTCACAAGTTGCCATGTGTGTGATCCCTTGTTTTCAGCTTCGCGGTTCTCTCGTGTCAAGTTCTCGAAATCGCTAGGAAAAATTTGACGTTTGGAGAATGACAGAGGAATGACAGAGTTGCCGCGTATTGGACGAACGTGGTAATCTTATTCCCGCATTCAGTCGATCACAATCGATGATCACATCATCGATTGTGATTGATGGCATCTTATTATCAACTTGGAAGATAAGTATCTGGCATTTACGGCAGCCGCATAACCTTGGGTGGGGGCACCTCAGGTGCGCGTTGGAGGTAGTCAATTCTCAAAAACGAATACAGCCTGCTGTACTTCTTCAGCAGGCCCAATTCGGATGTGTATGAGTTTTACAGATACCGACTGCGTTGGAGATGCTCTGAAGCTGAAGCTGAGATTCAGGTGTCCAAGTGTCATTTGTGACACCTGTACCAGGTTTCCAGTTCCCGGCGCGTTGGGGATGCTCTAAGGGAATTCTCTTCCTGAAATGTTTTGTCTTTCCTGCTTTCCACCTTGTTTCGTGGCGGCGAGGTGCCTAATTATTTCAGCTTTAAAACAATTCACATTCATCAAGTTCTTTGCATCCTTCCTTACCTGCACTTGTCATCATACATCTATATACTTACATACTTTTATTGATTCCTCGCTGTTCTAAAGTCATTTTGACATGGTGTTCTGACTTCATGTCGTGACGCTTATGTATGTAGACAATTAAACTTGATTTCTTGAGAAAACATGACGGATACAACCACGATACAACATACATAGTACTGCAAACAAACCACTCTCTATTTTTGGTTGGTCGGGAAACATCAGCTATTCTATGTATTGTCGTCATCTCACGGCTAGCTTCATTAGAAAGAGAATTCGACTGAATTCGATTGTGTACGTACATACATACATGGATGAATAATAATGGCATTTGGGCAGCCCGAAGCACCTGTGAGTCGTGACCTGAGAGGGATAACTTTAAGTCGTCAACAAACATTTTACACCATCAAACACCTTGCACCCGCTTCGCAAATCCCAGTCTTCATCCGAGCAGTACCATACGACCCGATGCTAGCGAGCACCAAACTTGACCACAATCTTTAACTTACGAGTCGCGGTGTTACGAGTCACGATCAAAGATTGAACATTATCCCAGCTATCACATCACAAGATGCCGTCTGATCTTAAGTTGATTCTTGATTCTCTCGTCCATCTTCACCCCGGTGATAACCCTTATACGCATGGTGCTGAATACCTCGAGGTAATGGGGATATCTTTACAAATAATTGATCCGCTGAATTTTCAGCTTAGATGGATGAATTGACCCAAAGTATGACTGTTCTTTCTTTTACAGCGAAAACGCTATCCCCCAGTCCCACCCTCAACTTTCAAAATTCTCGCAGGATTTGCGGTGGTTCACTCTATGATCATAGGAGTTTGCTGCCTTGTCATTGTCTTGCCGATTGTATATAGTCGATCTAAGCGGCGAAAGTATTTTTGGATCTGGAAACGAGTGTATATCAGTCATGGTCAGCATCAATCTTTGTTCTAGTTGCTCAATTTACATGGCTGATAGCAGTCGCATTCACCACAGTTACGACGCCTTTGTGGGTCGTGAACAGTGTGATGATAGGTGAGCAGGCTTTGTCTCTTCATTCAGTTGGACGTTTGAATTGTGTATGAATGGACACGTCCTTCCCTGTCTATCAGTTGCGATGGCCCAATTAGTCAGTAGCATCGTATGCCTGTTGTACACCTATCTCGATTATGCGTCCTTCACATCACCAGCGGTGGCCCGTAAAATCAACCTTCAGGTACTGTAAGTGGGATCTCACTTGACCAATCAAAGAAGCATAGCAACCCAATGACTCATCTTGTCGATCATAGCGCTCAAATCATGTGGCTATTTGGATTCTACGAATATTGGACAACAAGTATGATGGCTCTCAAATATTTGCACGCCGTACAATTTCAAACGCACTTGTACTGACATCTCTCTTCTTTGACACGATGGATGTCGTATTTTTCAGCCTGCTCTGGGTTATGTACTGTGTGGGTCTTATTTCTATTCTCGACATCTTCAAACACTCAGATGCCGCTTGACCACATATGGGAAGGGAGAAAGCTCTTGAGTGTCTTAGCATACTTTCATCAACTGTTCTCACTGTTTTCTTTTATTTGCTGGTTGCCTTCGTCATTAGATTATGTTCACCTTTACGCCGAATTCCGGCGCCACTGAGACCCCTGGTCAATCATCCGCAGCTCGTCAACTATTTCAACCTATCTGTACCCATCATGATGACTACAGCTACCATTGCCTGGCAAGTATCTCTCAGTCTGGCTCACCAGAATGAGTCAAAGATGTACCTTGTTTTGCGAGAACGTCTTATTTCGGATGGAAAACAACTAGATAATAAGGAAACAATTCAATTCAAGCTCTTGTTTGAAATCTTGAGAGAATATATACATGTTAACCAGAAGCTCGTTAGTCTCCTTCGAGGAAATTCATACTTTTGGTTCTCTACTGGCCTTATTACTCTCACTGTAAGCTTTCCAGATCAAAGGCAAACAAACTTACAGATCAAAGAATTTATGTACCCCTCAGTTCTTTGTTACCACGGGCTGGTGTCTGGTCAATCTTCTCCGATATAGTGTTACTCAAGTTGATCGATTGGGATCGACGACTATCCAGACCAAGATTCAACAGCCTGGCTGCGACTCTGAGCAGCCTGGTTCTGATTCTGAGCAGCCTGGTTCTGACTCTGAACGTAATTGGAAACCCGATAAGGTCGCTGCGTCGCTCAGGCAAGGATATAGTTAAGTGAAATTGAAATCTATTTTTTATTTTCCATCGTTAAGGAGGAGTAGATGGAACTCACATGACGGAACTTCCCAACATAAAGTCTACATGCTTTGTCACTTTTCGGTTATGGCATTTTCAATAACGTACACCATCGTTGTCTGTCTACTGGTTGCCATTCAAGCCAGGCAAGTAGTTGACGAGTAAGTTATCATCTCGCTCAGTGCCCTCTGCTTTTCAACAACTGAAATAATCTCTTTGAAGCTCTACATGGAGGTCATTGGGCTCTTGGCTCTATCTTGTATCTGGAGTGATAGTAGCATTCGCATTACTGTTACAAAGTGTAAGTTATAACATTTCCATATGAGGCGCGTGTCCCGACAAAATTGATTTACGCGCCTGACTTTTGTATCACACTTGATGTTTTCCAGTGGCGGATATGCACCGATCTAGATATTATCATTTCCGAGAGTGCTCATACATCTGATCAAACAGATTGTACCAGAAGTCTTTCAGATGAGCTTGAAAGTCATTACATGGACGACGTAGTGATCCAGGGGGCACATAAGACTGAGGCGTCCGCACCAGTCGAGATTCAACGAGCTCAAGTCGGGGTTCGATATCAAAAGGCTCAAGTTCTTGTCATCCGTAAAGCCTTCTGAAATTTAAAGACTTATCAGGGAAACTCAAGTTATATTTTTACAATGTGAACGGATCACGTCCTCCATATTATCTTCTTACTTTAGATCTGTTAACCAAAGGATTTTTTTCTTCAATCGTTCCTTCTCCTACTGTTGTCATTCATTACTAGCATGAGCTCAAGAACACGGAACTGTCATCTCTTATTAAGGATTTCCCTCAAATCATCTAATGAATTGCTTGGGTATCTTGTTTTTATCTAGTCTTTCATAAGATTCGTCGATCAGCTTGTACATATTTTATCAATGTTGTGATCTTTCTCACCTTACCCTCGCACGGATTTCCTACAATGTCTGTGTTTAATTATTAATGTCAATGAATTCGACAGAGCTGCCTTCATTCTTTCTATCTCACACTGAGTGCGCAACAAAAAGAACTCAAAAAATATGTCGGCGCGCCTTTAGGTACGGGTATTCAGACCTAACAAACAGGGCGAGGGGGGCTTTGTTAGATTTGATCCTACCGAGGAGCATTCTGAATTCATGTACTGATCCCTATTCAACTGCCATTTCATCTTTTATCTGGTCAACAATATGCCAAAATTTCAGAAGACACACAATAAACATTCTCACAAACAGAATAGTAAATACTCACCTACCAAGTGGATTCCACCGTCTTCAGGCTGATCCGCTTGCTGGACCCAATTTCTCATGGCCAAAGAGTGTGAACAATCAGTTGGATAACAGGGAGCGAAATGCACCTATTGTGATAATGTGATGGATGGGAAGCCTCATGATTTGCAAAAGCACATGATAAGCTTATGCGAATCAATCCCATATCTCTCCCGCTATCTCATTTTTTGTTCATCAAAGTAGTTCAAGATCTGAAATTATCAAAAGACATATTGATTCTTCCTCGATTTTGGCTCAATTTTTCCTTACAAAATAACATTCCAAGAACAGGCGCGTAGGCGCGCCTTGTAAAAAAGGCCATGCCCCCAGTGTGATTTCTATCCCATCATTCAAGACCCTGATACTTCAAGTCTGGGGGAGGGGTTTTGGACAAGGAAAGGTGAATGGGTGTAAGGCATGTGAGGGTGCTGATTTGGTGGCAAAGCCAGTGGTGCTGATTGCATAATGTGCAAATCATACATCACATATTCCATACAAGTATTGCCACTGGAGCCGAACGTCTGCATTGCAAGATCAGGGAGCCAACCAGAGGTAGAAGCTGTTTCAGCGGGACTGTGTTGCAATGTATGTGACAATAGGCCTTGAACAGGATTGTGATGTGGCTGGTGTGACTATGGAACAACAGTGTGAAGGCTCAAAGGAGGTTGACAGAGACACATATTTCAATTGGGACTCGGAGCATGAAATTGATGGGGTTGATGATGTTGTGGTTGAGAGTACCCTTTTGTGTACAGATTTTTGGAAAGCCCAGGAATTGATTGATATGAGTGGACAGGCGACAAAGGCATTTCAGGCAAGTTGTTGAAGTTGCGGACAAAACAGTGATATTGATGAGATCCACAATCATTTGTGGATTGAAATAAGAAACAATTGTGGGATCCAAAGTAGAATCCGGGCATGTGCCCGGAATTATTTTGGCAGTAAATTTTGATTTTCTGGGCAAAAGTCCGGGCCCAGAATTCGAATTTACTGCCAAAAAAAATCTGGACACAAAGCCGGGCACGTGCTCGGCTTCTACTTTGTATCCCGTAAATGTTGTTGATTTTGTGAGATTCTGTCTCACAAACATTGCACCACACTTTCCTCACAAGCACATGTTTTAAAGGACAGGCAGGTGCAATTGTTGAGCAAACCCATTCAACCCTGGGCAGAGGGTGTAGTATTGATTAAATAGGTAATGGTGCCTGGTCTAGTGAAGCTTCCAATGATCCACTACACAGATGGGTGGTTAAATGTTTGGTAGTAGGACAAAATAGGACAATCTTACTTTCCTGTTTGAACTGCATTCAACTGTGACACACAGGGTCTCAAGAGCTTTGTCAGTTTAGCTGTTGGGTAGACCTTTGGCAATATCCTGTAATATGGTAGATCATTGAGGGTGGAAGCCAAGCATTGCAATGATAATCATTTGGCAAAAGAATGGGGTTGGCATTCTTGACTAGCATATGGATGATGTCATCAGTTTGGCAAAGTGACGCGCAGCCGAGGAAGTTATATCTGAGGAGATGGTGGTAGATTTTGTTGAAGTTTTTAGTATGGATGCCTTGAATGGGGATGTTGTTTTCAGAGATCAAGCAATGCTTGGCATTATCAACCCACTGAGTGTGGAAGCAATGAACAAAGTGTTTGCATTGATTGCAATACTTGGCTTAGAATTCATCCCGTGATGTTTGTTAACACCCATTGCATCCTTATGCATGGTGTTGGCTTTGTCCTGGGGGGCCTGCCCATTGTCATGGTTTGTTCAAGGAAAGAAAAATTGATAAGCCATCAGAATGAAGATATGTCAGATAGACAATGAAAGGGATGTACCAAGGTTTTTGCTGTGGCACAAATGGCCCTCAGTAAATGGAAATGGAAAAATAGGTGGTGGGATGCTTCAGAGTGTTCACTTGTCTCCCTGACCAATTCCGGCAGTGCGCAGTTGTTCATAAAAAACTTGGGAGAAACTTCAAATATGTCCTTTGACCTTTTTAACAAGTGGGTGATGCTTTTCCTGCATAGTCAATTCATGGGGAGCCACATGTAAAAGAATCAAAAAGTAAGGATGACAGAATAAACAATTGTTTATCCAAAGTTAGGAACCAAACAACAGGGATGCCACTTCCAGTTGTGGGATGGCAAATGACAAGAGTGACAACTTAAGTGAGTTTGAATAGGGTCCATTTTGAGAAAGTCAAACAAACATTGCAAGTAGATTCAAAGCAAACAACATCCCCACCATACTTGGAAACCAGGGCAGGTTGCCAGGGTGAGAAGAATGTGACTTGGAGTTGCTTGTTGCTTTGACTGATTTGGTTCATGACATGCCACCCTCTTTGCTGCAGATGCTGGAGCCACATATTTCTTGAAGTGACAATGTTTGAGTCAAGGTGCTTGATGCAATTGGCATGAAGTTTCATGGCATTGGCCCACAATGTACACGTAGTCACGGAAAAGCTACAGTTTTTTGATTTTTTTTAAAAAAACAAAGTCAATCTGTTTTTACAAATTGTGCCACAACTTTTTATTACACATACAATATTACCTGTTGGAGATAATGAGAACTAAAGATCAGCATCTTGTCTATCAGATTATGTATGGACAAAGGTTTTGAGTGCAAAGAAAATGTATTTTACCTGGCTAATTACCAAGGGGTGGATCCACCCTTGGCTGTGATGACAGCTTGAATCCACTCAGGCATTGAGGCAGCTAGATGTTCCAGTTTTTCAGTAGGCACACTCTCCCATGCCTCTAACACATTGGCCTTCATAGAATCTAAATTCTTGATTGGATGCTTGGTTGAAATCTCGGATTTCATGATGGACCAAAGATTTTCAATTGGGTTTAAATCTGGTGACTGTGCTGGCCACTTTAACTTCACAATCCCCTTATTCTCACGCCACTTTGAACTGAGTTGAGAGCGATGGACTGGGGCTCCATCCTCCATCAAGATTAAATGATTGTTATATTGGAGTAGTCGTGTAGAAAAGGGCCGAGTGATTTTTCATAGACTTGCTCAATAAAGTTTTCTGAATTTCGACAACCAGGCTCCATTATGACGAGCTTGAGCTTGTGTCCAGGAATGAATCCACCCCAGACCATCACTGAACTACGGCCTGATTTGAAAGAAGGCGCCAAACAGGATGCATCGTACTTTTCAGCCACTTTTCGCCACACCCGAACTTTTTGATATGGCTTTCCAATCTCAAAGGTGGATTCATCGGTCCAAATGACTTTCTTCCAATCATCCACCGTCCACACCGCATAATGTTTTGCAAACTCCAGACGTGCTGCTTTATGTTTAGCACTCAAATAGGGCTTGACTATTGCTACTCTTGAGTTGTAACTGAGGGATTTCAGAGCAAGTCGAATTGTAGTAGCACTCGCTTTTGTTGCAGATCCTTGGACTATCTCACACATTGGAGCCCGTCGAGACTTTTTGACATCACACTCAAGATGTTGGAGATCACGATTGTTCAATAGAGATGGTCGGCCAGATGGTTTTTTGCCTTCAAGTGAGCCTTCCGCTTTATATTTTGCGAGGACAGATTGGACTGTGGTGACTGGACACCCTAGAGTTTGGCTGATATCTACATTTCTTTTCTTTGCTAGGTGCATTCCAACCATTTGGTTTTTAAGATCCGATGGTAAGGGCTTCATATCGACAATTTCAGAGGTGATGATCCACACGTTTGACCAGAAGATTGGTAAACAACAAAAATCAAAAACCAAAAAATTAAGAAATTAAAAACAAAAAACCATAGCTTTTACGTCACTACGTGTATGTTGATATGTTGATGGCTTGGGTACTGTCCCAACAGGACCTGCTTCATCCTGAAAAAGGTGTCAATGGTGATAGTGAGGATGGAAAGAAGAAAATTATTGGAACCAGGTCAGGACAAGAGAGGAATCTTTCAGTAGACCACCAAGTAAGTTCTTCAATAACCTGGTGGTCAGCCACTCACACATGACAGAGGGAAGTTGCAAAAGGAAGTATACAACCAAATAAAAAGAACTTAGTAAACAAATGAAGAACACTACAAGAGAAACAGATATACCTTCAGATTATTTCATTCAACAAGAGGGAAAAAGAATCTTGTGGTAAACAGAGGCCACTAAGGACCCTGGAAAGCTCTCCTTAAACCTACTGACGTGTTTGGTATGATTTGAGTGGTCAAGATTTGGTCATGTTACCAACCAAACTGGTATGGAAATGGCTTTTTAGTCATTCATCTTACAGATGTGCCCGGTATGATTTTTTAAATCTCAGCTTCATACCATGGGGCTCATTTTTGGTACTGAAATGTTACCAACCAATTTTGTATGAAAGCTCCAAAAGTCCGGGATCTTTGGGTATGAAAATTCTCAAAATCCGGGTTTTACATTGGTTGGTTCAGGGGGAGCTTTCGGGGGTCCTGGCCACTATATAAGAATACAGTACAAGCTCAAACCCAAAATCAAAAATCCAACTATCCCATATGATCATCCAAGGAAACTTTCTTAATCATTTAAATACTAATAACTATCACATCTCAGTACAAAACTAGTTCTTGAAGATAGTTTTCATACTAATAACTATCACATCTCAGCACAAAACTAGTTCTTGAAGACAGTTTTCATACTAAAACCATGAGTAAATTAATTGTTGAATAAAATCACAATAATTAGTTCTTGAAGATAGCTTCTATTTAAAAGATAACTTGAATAATCCCTGAACTACATAATGTCACAGAAAGTTCTTGACCATCCGTCAATCAATTTGATACATTATTTCAACATTTTGTTCCTCTGACAAGCTCTTTGGTCAAAATACCCAACTTCTTGCTTTTAGAAACTAACCACTATACTGATATACGCCTTCATGAATATTTCCTGAGTAGCCATTGTGATATATGTAGTCAATTTTTGAAATGCTTGTCCTAATATGAACACAGTTGCAAAATATATTACCTGTGATTTGCTTATCTCGATGAGCAGATAACTGAGCGGACCTGTATGTAGCTGATAGCAAAGACTTTACTCAGATGTATGCACATATCACAGCCCCAGTTACTAGTCACTGGCAGGCCAGAGATTACCACCCACTTCAACAGGATTTCAAAATGATTCTAAAATGATTTTATGCCTTCTTTTTGGTTCAGATGTGCAGTGCAAGATGATTTGATGACACATTCCACTCTCAATGTTATTTCCACCCAGGAACCAATTTGATGCTGGCTGTGAGAGCAGTTACAAAGGAACAGTTGTGTCCATTTGTGTTGAAGAATATTACCAGCTGCCTGGTGTGGTAAGTTGGTGATGATGAATAGGACCAGCTGCTTGGCATGGCAATTCAGCATTGATGACTTCAGGAGCTGTGACCTGGTTTAGCCGCCCATTCTGATGGATGCCCTGAGCAATCCATGAAGACAAAGCTTTCATAGCAAAAATGGTGTTGTTGGCAATGCCTTCTTTGCAAGGGAAAGTAGTACAAAGAACAGGAAAGGGCACTGGGGTTGTTGTTGTTAATTAGAGTCTGGGGTGGGATCAAAACCAGAAGGAGGGGATCAACATGAACTCACGGGAAGGCTAACCAGTCATGAATGTTAGTGGCACAAGGGAAGTAGACAAGGCCACTGTGCCCAGTGTTGGATCTTTGAGCACTGGAGCTAGTGTTGAAATCCTCAGCCATATTGTGGTTGGAGGATTGAGTAAGAGAAGGTTTATTCAAGGCCATGGTTGCCGGCTAGATGAGATTGAGGCAGGAAAGGAAAGTTCTGGGGTATTGAGGCAGATAGGAAGAGAAGAAACAAGCTTTGACTTGCTATTGGTAAGATTGATGAAGCATTCAATAGTAGAAAGATGATAACCAATGCACAGAATGTGGGATGAATTAATTAACAAATAGCTGTGACTTGAAGCAAAATGACAAAGTGGGAAGCCCTTCTGGGATATGTTGACTGAGTAAAAGAAGACTCGGGTACAAGACAAGTAAAAGAATCCCTAGAGAACAACTTCCAACAATAGTGAAAATTCAAAAATTTGACAAAGTATGTGAAGGTTTTGGCCTACAAGGAAGTCAATAGAAAGTCAACAAGTTCAATGTTTTGCTAGGTGAATCCTTTGTGACAGAGAGATGAAGGATAAAACAAAAAGAATGAAGAATAGTTACCCCTCCTCATTGCCCTCCACTGGAGACCACCCCAAAGTGACATCTTCAAGCCGCACAAAGGTGTACATATAACACCTGACTTCCCAAAAGCAAGCTAAATTTGCTTTGATCTTTCCCTAGGCAGATTTACAAAGAATTTGAAAAGAGAGCACACCATGACCCGTGATCACAAAACTTGACAAATCCAGGCACACAGAGCCCAAGCTTCACAGATCCAAAGAGCAAGCCTTGAGTACAAGATTCTCTTTCCCTATTGAGATCATTCAACCTTCAAAGGAGACATTCCATATACTCCGCAGCAGAAACTGTAACAAATTTCTGAGCCACATATCCCAGCTCACAATTTGGAAAGTGTTGGTCTTTTAGACCCAGGGATTGCACACCATACATGGTGTAAAGAATTTAATCTTGTTTTGTTTTTGTTTTCTTACATGATTATCACAATTGAGTTTGAATGATGAATTCCTTCCTTATAATTTCATGGTGGACTATGCAATTTGAAAAAAAAACATTGTGATCTAATGTTAATGACAAACACAACTGCGAGTAAAACAGAAGATGATTGCAATTCAAAATGATTGAACCTTGAAAGAAGAAGAAAGAAAAAGACTACCGGAACATCATAAAAACCTCTCAAAGCATTATATAACTATATATATATATGAACTTCAACATAAAATTGCTAAACAAATTCCTTGAAAAAAGAGTCATTAATAAAAAAGATATACATACATCATAAAAAACGGAAATTACCATAGCAAAGAGCCAATCTTGATCAACTAGCATCATGACAAATATACATAATCTTCCATTCACCCATAGATTCTTTCCAAAAAAATTGACCTTGTACATCATCATTTAACCTATCCATCACAACTGGTCCATCGCCAGTTTCGGTTAAATTGGAATCTCCACTATCATGACTATCTGTCCTATTTAATCCAATTCTCTTCTTACCTGTTGAAAACCAAGCTCCTCCATCACATAAAAATCCAATCTTAGCACTATAATCATAAGAACTAATATCTGTAATCTCTTTATCGATTTGTTTTGATCCTAAATCCTTGTGTTTTTCTGTACGCTTATCATTTAAATCCATAGTTTGTTTTAAATCATTTGATAATTTACCTAAATGTTGACTTGCAGGTGTAAAGAATGAAGTTTTCGATTTTCGATTTGAAATTATACTTAAATCACCATCTCGATTTGAGTTCCATGATGATCTTAATGAATTGAGTGAGATAAAACCTTCTTGGACTTCAATCCCAGTAGCTGTAAAAGCAGTTAAACAACAAAACAGTTCATCTGTTTCATCACTTTTATCCGTTGGCTTTGACTTTGGTCCTTTTTGTAAGGGCAAGTTCCATTCTTTGGGTGTAGAGATGATATGAGCTCGAACCTTCACTGGTGCAGCTCTCCAAGTGAAGGTATGGATCGGTTTGAGAACAATAGGAGATGAAATGCCAACAGAGTTATTAACTGTATGCGAAGTTTGTTCTGACTTTCGTTGTGATCGTTTCCTAGCACTTGATTCGTTACCCAATGGACTCAAAACCACATGCGTTAAATGACCACGCGTAAGGAGATAGAGAGATCTCATGACAATTCGATTTCTTGATGAATTTCCTATTTGATCACGTGATGGTAAGGTAACCGGTATTAATAATTCCTCACAGCCGATCCATCGTCTATCACTAGCCGATCGATTAACCCTACGGCTATCAACTCTGAAACTATCATCTCTAGTGCCATTGCCGTCACCAAGTCTTCGTCCCGTCAAGATAGTCTCTGAATTCAAAGAACTACTTGTACCAGGTCTAGGTAAGTTCATCAGAGTAGCCTGAACACTATCGAGACTAGCTAGACTACTCAAACTACCCCCTGTCATCTTTCGACCATTCCCTATATGCCCAGCTGCACTAGTACTTTGACGAGTTGACATCGCGCCTTGGAATTCCACTTCTCTTACACAAAGATCACTTAAGCTGATCACCACGGCGTATTCTTTCATGGTCACTAATACTGATCCTTCTCCACTCCCTATACTTGCGACATTATGACGGGTGCTAAGAACCGAGTTACGAGAGTTAGGCGCAGTTGACATCATTGATGATCTTGGATTACTGGGTCTTGTGAATTGAGAAGAGATTAAGTCAACTGTTTTGGGACCAAACGGCGCTGCCATCTCTGAGCATAGTCTAGGAGAGATCATATATCAGAAAGATGGTCATTGGTTTTGATTTATGGATAATTTAGATTCAGAGCAAAAAAGAGGTTTTAGTACTTACTGCCACGTTCGTTTGGGACCGGGAAGCGATTCGAGGACAAATACGATCTGTTTAGTGGCAATGATCAAATAAAGAGTTTTCGGAGATTCATGACTCGGATTATTGGACAAATCGCTGTCGGAATCATCTTCGCCATCAGGATCATTAGCAGAGAATGAACGAGAGCGTAGGCCCATAGGAATCGCATCAAAGTCCATCCCGTCTATTGCATCATTGAGAGAATTGAACCCAGGTATGGGAGAACGTGCCAGCTTGATGAATAAGATTGGGCCATGTGCATTGATCCGAGGGAGGTCGAGAGATATAAACTGTTTTGCCCATTGGAGTGGAAGTTCAAGATAGGATGTCGCAGGCTTTGTTGGGAAAGAATCTGTCAAGCCGAGCATACAAGGTCATCATGAATTCAGAAATACCAAGCTGCATGAAGAACGCGAAACAAGCATGATCTACATACCAGATTGATGATGGTCGAGTTGAGCACGTGAGTTGGCGAGGGATAGCTTTCGACTAGTAACTCCATGATCAACTTTACTTTTGCCTTTATCAAACATTGACTTCAACCCAGCCAACGCATGAGTACCCGCCGACAAGGCTGACATACGTTTAGAATTCGTTGTGTGTTCATATAAATCAAGACATTCAGAGTTCTATGAAGCGAATTTTAGAACTCCACAAGGTGGAAAACTATCAGAAAATCTATCAACTCAGGACCTATAGTTCGGTCAAGCGCCCAAAAGAGAGTAGATGAAACTGACCTCGCTAAAAGCTCGAAACTTGACCAAATTAATCATGGACTGTAGCGGCCACATCTTTACTGACTTACTTAGCCCATCTGTATTGGTATCCAATGTTAAATCAGAGAGTTGAGTGGTGAGAGCAATGAGGATTCCTGAAATGGCTCCTGTAGCATTAGAGGCTTTATCTTTTGCATTTGGTTCTTCGACAGCAATTTCAAGTTGATGTATACCCATACCATCCCAAATTTTATATATCTTACAGTCCGTACTTGATACTGAATCCGTCTTGATCGTATGGGAAAGAGCTGGAACCAGATCACAAACATAAAGACCATCTGCAGTTCCCACAAGCAAAAAACGTTCTACCCTTCGACCATCTGCGAATAAGTTTGGATGATTTAATGGAAGAGGAACAGCACAAAGTGGTTGGGAGTTGAATTGGGGTAGAAATCGTGACCCAATCTGATGAACGGAGGTGGATGGAGTGAGATTTATTGCGCCTGGGCCTGGTTCGAGAAAAGGGCGAGCGGGTGTTGCAGACAGAGGGTTCAAGAAGCCTTTAGAGGCTCGAAGTAGAGCGGTCTTGTGATGCTGAGCTGCAGAAGCAAAAGCAGCAGTTTCATTTTGAGAAGAGATGATCGACGGATTTCGATCAAGCCTTGGTTGTTGCTGTTGTCCATTGAAATTTGGGGTGGGTGGCTCCGGAGTTAAATGATCTTGAGTCGAATGATAATCAGGTGGGTCCCATCCAGTTCCAAAGCTTCGACCTTGGGCCGCAACTTCTCGACGTTCTTCATCACGTTCGTGAACACGTTCCCGTGCTCGTTTTTCGATCCAACTTTTCCATCTTCCAAACCGATGACCTTCTTGATCTTTGAGATCAGTATAGGTAGGTAATTGTTCGACAGCAAATTGATGGTTTGCATGAGGTTGAGAGTAATCATGTGGCCGTGATCCTGAAGTCTGGTGGTCTGGAGAAGTAATCAGACTAAATCAGATTCCAGTAGGAAGAGACGGATAGATCTAAGTCAGTCTTTTGAGTAGTTAAGCTCATTGACCTGAGGCTGAAACTGAAGCCGATGATTCCATGTTTAAGATTTTGATATAAGGTGATGATTTGGAAGCCTTCAAAGCTCTCTTCGTGAGTGAATGCAGTTGAAGATTAAAGCAATGTGATCAGAATTGGATCCGATTGATTGCATCGCCTTTTTTCTGTTTGAGTATGTTGTCTTGAATGAAAAATTGTAAAATGTTAAAAGCTTGAATGTTTTGAAGTCTAACGAAGAGAGTGTGAGTGTGCGTGTGAGTGTGACTGCCAAGAGAATTTCAAAATGATCAACTCACACCGCGGGAATGATTAAGTTCGAAACCCGATTGAGCGAAGTTGCGGTGTCCGACTCCGCAACTTTGCTCAATCACGGATCTTGTTCACATCACGTTCACAATTCGTTCACAGGTTTCCCCCGAGCTCTACTGATACTCTGCCTTTGTATGTATTCAAGATCAAATTTCAATTCGTCCTTGATGAGCTCCTTTCTTTGTTGGTTGAGCATCTGGAACATTGAAAAAGATTGACATAAGCACAATTCACTGTCCATGTCTCTAAAAAGATTTGCCATAAACACACAGTGTTGTTTAACATTGTTGGTTAGCAACCCACATGATGGTGATGGGACAATACTTCATGGGGCATGGTGAAAGCACTGAGATGAAAATTGGAAAGATGAATTAGATTAACAACAAATGTCAAAGACTGATGACTTGTCAGACTTTCTGTTGTATGATTGTTACTTAAGATTGTGGAGGGTAACTGGAGGGAAACCTGTGAACGAATTGTGAACGTGATGTGAACGAGATTGGTGATTGAGCAAAGTTGCCGACTCGGACACCGCAACTTGGCTCAATCGGGTTTTGAACTCAATCATTCCCGCGGTGTCAGAATGCTTCAACCGATCATCAGTGTTGACCCGGTACCGACAACATGAGATCTCATACATGATTTACCCGGCTGCGCAGTGCCAGCTGGTCTGATCCCTTCTGATTCTCAAGTACTTCCCAAGTTCCTCAACCATGCTACTTGTCTTGAGTGCTGCAGAGAGCCAGAATACTACTTTGAACCCAAATAGTCATGTATCACAAGACAGAGATGCATGAGGAGGTTATGTGAATACACAAGCTAGAGATTGATTTTTGCTTTGTATGCCTATCTATGTGAGTGTATGTATGTAGATAAACCCCAAATCTATAGAGGAAACAAAAAGACAACGGCTGGCGATTCTCGCTGGCAGAGTTTCTTGTACGAGGGGAATATAAGCCGACCTTATCAGCAAACACTTATCATTTTTTTTTCAAAAAACTCCTTGTGTATTCTTGACAATGTGACTGTCAAGGATTGGCATGGACCAAGCTTTGATTCATTATCAAGACATTTATAGAAGCTCTGGCTTTCTGATGAGCCCAAAATTGATTACTTTGACCAAGAATTGCAAAAGTTATGAGCATTTCCAGAATGCAGAATGTTGTCATGAAACTCAGGAGCCAAATTTTGAGAGCATTCAAAGCTGCACGGAATAACAAAGTCATGATGCAGCCAAGGCATAGAACCAACTCAGACAGGGAGAATTTAACATGACCCAATCCATTCAAATGTTTTGTCAAAGTGTCATAGCACTCTTGCATACCTCATTGGCAAGCGTCCAAATCCCTGAACCATATCACAGAGATCCTTGGATTGATACCAAACTAATACATGTGCTCTTTTTTTGAAAAATATTCAAAAAATGACCAAGTGGAATGAGTAAATAACTCTTTGAACAACTTTGTATCAATCTTTTTTGTTTTCAATTTTTTTTGAATGATCAAAGAAAATGGAAATAAGTAGGAAGTGATCAACTCTTTGAAAAAGTATTTTCATAAGCTCTTGATGGTTTTCTGAATACTATCATATAGTCTTCTGAGGGAACTTCAGAAATGTGGGTTTGACATTGTGTTTCCATCATATTTTGTGATGTTTCTCAATTGATAGCAATACATATGCTCTCATGCCAGATCTTGGCCACACAGTCTGTTGCCCGGAATGTGTTTCATACAGCTATGTGGTTTGTTATTTGTTGGCCCACAGCCTACTGGCACAATGCCTTATAATGTGCCCTTTCATAAAGTATGGCAGTTCCAAGATCTGCTTTGTAGATTTTATGTCGGAAGGATTCAAGTGTCAAAGTGCAATTTCTCATTTGACTAAATGGGTCAATGTCAATTCAGTATATATAGCCAAAAGGGGAATTTGTAAATGTACCAAGGGCCTTGATGATCATGGGGTTTTTTCTTAGTACATTCAACAATATACACTCTAAAAATACAAAACGTACTCAGATTGAAGCTCTCAACACCAGGAACAATATGCCTATTTTTTGTAGTTGTTGCCCAGAAAATGTTATAATTTTTGTAGTGTTACAAAAGCTTGGCCAAATTTGCCCACAAAACTCCAGTAAATTGGCAGGGAACCTGTGACAAGCTTTTCCGAATTGACTGTACATGTGACTGGATTTGTGAGTGGGCATAATGTTAATCTCATCATGTTTGAATAAGAAATGTGATGTCACACTGAAATATAGGATCTATATGACCCAATCATTGCATGGGATTGGTGATCAGTGGCAATTTAGGAACACTGCAGCAAAAATAGGCAAAAAAACAAATCTATACCATTCTTGGCTAGAGTCAACAGTCTTGTGAATTGGGAAGGAGATGGACTTTTTTGTGGTACTCTAATGAGGTCTGACCCACATGAAGGGTTTTATCATTCAATTAATGTTGGTCGTTTTCTATATATCTTCATCTTGATTGGCCCCCTTACGATTTTATAGACCCAAATGAATTTTGGTACTGTTTGATGACATTATGGGAAAAGGACCCATGATACCCCAAGATCAAATTTGAGAGACTTTACATAATCAAGTTAGGTGACATCTAAATTTTAGACCATGTCTCTCCACTGTCACATTTCAATTTCTGACCTGGCTCATCTGCAGTGTGAGTGAACCCAAGTCAAGATCGATTCAATCACACCCAAACATGACATCCAACTCATTTCAATCTCAATCTCAAGCTCAATCACAATCACAATCTTGGTCAAATCATCAATTCCATCATCAATCAAACTCTCAAAATATCATAGGAGAACCCGTATCAAATCATCATAGATATCAACCTTCAACTCATCCATCATTTTCAAATCAGAATCATGGTCATATGCTTCCACCTCAAGCTCCTTCATACTTGAATCATGATACTTATCCTACTTCATCTAGAACGACCTACGATCCTAATTTACATAATAATATCTCATATGATCCCTCACAATACCCTCCTCCGCCACCACAATTCCAAGCACCTGAACCTTGTAGTGTGATCAAGACTTATAGGGCTTATTTTAGTTTAGCAGAGGTGGATAGGATGGTTAAGATTCAGTCTGCTAAACTTGCTCCTGCTAGGGTTGAAGCTACGCGACAACAAGCTTGTGTTTTTATGGACAAGGTTGGAATGCGATTAGGATTGTAAGGATTCTTTGAACTAGCCCCTCGGCCTGTTTTCCTTAGATCAACATCGATTGGCAAGTTTGAAACTTTTGACTGATTATGATCTTGTTTTTTATCGTAGTCCACGAAGGACAATAGCTTCAGCTCAATTACTCTATCATCGGTTTCATCTTTTCTTTCCATTCGCATCATTTAACCCACATGAAGTTTCAATCTCATCACTAATGTTAGCATCCAAGATGGAAGATACATTAAAAAAATTAAGAGATATACAAATGACAGCTTGGGTGATACGAAACATTCAAGATGGAGGTACAGGACAAGGAGAACCAGAACCTTCAATAATCGATTCAGAAAGAAGTAAATTAGTTGGAATCGAAAGATTATTACTTGAAACCGTTTGTTTTGATTTCGGTTCTGGTAAATTAGCTGGTGGTAAAGATTTATTTGGTTATGTAGTAGCTATTGGTCGTCATTTGCATTCTAGTAAAGGACTTATACATCTTGCTTTTAGACTTGCTGTGGATTCATATCGCACATTGGTTGCACTTACTTATCCTCCTCATATCATTGCTTTAGCTTGTCTTTATTTGGCCTCCTTTTTCGATCCCGATCATCATCATTACTCTTTTGGCGCATCTGGTAGTAAAGCTGAAAAGGTTGAACCGCACTTTGAGGTAGGGTGGAGTCGAGCGTTTGACACAGATATAGATGATATTGAAGGTAAATACGTTACTTGGATTCATTGATGATACGATACTTCTTACTGACCACATTTAATTTCCATCAACTCATCTTCTTAGATATATGTCATTCGATCCTAGACCTGTTCATCTCATTAGCAGCCCCTCTCAAAGCAAATCAATCACCAACATCTCCATCCGAAGTAAAACCCAGAAGAATATCAAATCTGAACACATCAACTTCATCGGCCACAGGACCATTTCCAAGTTCCGATCAACTTACCAAACTAAAAATCTCATTACGTGAAAAATCAAATGATCGGGGTGACATTGATATAGATCCTAAAGATGATAATCCTTCTAAACGGATTAAACTTATGGCTGGTCTAAGTCATCAGGATGAACGGTCTGATGAATTTCAATTCGAAGGAAGAGAATTACTTGGAAGAGATGACGTGACTGTTAGATTTATCTTTGGAACTAATGGATCTCGATTGATATCAGAATCAACAAATTAATTAATGAGACACAGATGAGCAGTGTGATGTTCTTTAGAGACAGAACTTGGACTGGAGTGTTGGGGATCGGGTGTATACTTTTTTATTGGATCGAGGCAAAAAGAAAAATCAAAAAATCTTTCAAGATCACTTTTCTGGGTTTGGAAGTTTGTGTTATTTTGAAGAACGATGTATATTTATTTCGGATTGAAAAGTTTAATAGATTTTGATTAGAATTCATCCATTCAGGATTTCCTATCGTATTTTTAATAAATCTTCCAAAACATGTATGACTTCTTATCGAGTTATGAAGATTGATAATATCATGAAGTTGAGGGATCGTAACCTTGTGAGATTATTTTACAAGTCAACCGATTGAGGTGCATATATTACTCAAAATTCGTTTGTCTATTTGAATTTCTTCGAAAATTAAAAGTGAGACAAAAGATTGTTTGGTCTTCAACCAAACTGTAAAGTATGTTACAACTTCAAAACTCGGTAAAGATCATCATAGAGTTTCAGGAGTTTCAGGAGTTTGAGGAGTTTCAGGAGTTTCAGGAGTTTCAGGAGTTTCAGGAGTTTCAATGATTTACAAAATATAAGCCAGCTTTTCTAATCTTATCTAATTATTCTCAAGATGATAAAGTCAATGAAGTCAAAGTTATGTCACATGACTTGTGAATTGATTTTAACAATAGGGGGGCTTGATTTTAACAATAGGGGGGCTCAAGTCAAAATATTTTACTACTTTTATGGTAAAAAACTTTTCCCAATTGTGGGATACAAAGTTAAAACTGGGATTTTTTTCCCAGTTTCCCAGTTTTTGTTTTTGGCTGTGTTTGGAACTTTCCCACGTTCTCCCAGTTTCCCAGTTGGTGTTTTTGGCTGTATTTTGAAAATTGGGAAACTGGAAAAAAACTCCCAGTTTTAACTTTGTATCCCCTAAATTGCATAAAATTTAAATTTACACAAAATTTTATGCAATTGGGAAAAGTTATACAACATCCCAAATTTTTTTGAGAAGCAAATTTACGCAAATTTGCGTAAATCTGCTGCTCAGAAGGAGATCTGAAAGAAATTTTTACGGCCCTTTTTTACGAATTGGGAAAATGTTTTTACAGCACGGTACCGTAAAAAACTTTCCCCAATTTTTTGAGAAAAGGCCGCAAAATTTTTGACTTGAGCCTCCTTAATAATCCAAAGTACATACTAAGGGTGTGTTCACTTAAGCAATTTCTGGTGAGAAATCACATTCTGCAAAATTTAAAGTGTCTATTTGGTGGTGCATGTTTCATTTTTGCATTAAAAAATTTACAGAATGTGATTTCTGGTCAGAAATTCCTTAAGTGAACGCGCCCTAAATGATCAATAAAGGATTCAGAGAATCCTAATCAGAAACAAAGAGAAACAAATAACTCAGTCTATGGTATCTTGAAGGAACGCTGAAAGATGTTAGGGATGAGGTATTGTTGATAGTTTGTAAAAGAAGAAAGCCTTTGAATCAGACAACAAGGTACAGCCATTCCGATATTAAGGGGTTTCAAGTTTAAATCTTTTATACGATTTTTTAAAAATTTGTTCAAGTTTTATACAACACCGTAAGATTTTAAATTTGACCGTTTGTAAAAATCACGCACATCAAATAATTACCGTCGTAAAACAAATCAAAGCAGTGAACGTATTGTTCCAAGATTTGGCGACATTTCCTTTGAAGAGAATGACAAGATGGCCTTCTTGACCAATCTCATCTTTGATGATGTGGACGATACCATGATTGAAAAGGTCAAATTGTTGACCAAATGATTTTTAGAAGCATATGTTTATGCTAATTTTAAAACGGGAGACATAAAAAGGTCTCCGGTTTTAAAAATATTTTACGTAAAATTTACGACTTTGTCCAAGTTTTTCAAACGTAAAAATACGGAAAATCTTGAACTTGAAACCCCTTATTGCTTGTAGCTCCATTTTGAAAAAGAAGAAGTCAAAACCTAAGGGCCCGTTTGGCTACACTTGTAAAACTCTATAACATGTTATAGATCACCAAATCTAAAAAGCCTTTTTCATTTGAAATCTTTTATGAGTTTTGAAAAAGAGGTGATGTTTGGCAACGATATATGATCAATATATCAGATCATATATCACAATATATTCAACTGATCTGAAAAACAGCCTCGAGGCTGTTTTTCAGACAAAAAACACTTTTTGCCCCTCTCTTGATTGAACTTTGTCAAGTTCAATCATGATCGTGGAAATCTTTTGATAGCTGTTTTGGACGACTGTTTGGTAAATTGTATAACCAAATTACACTTTTTGGGAAACGCAGCTGAACAGGCCCTAAGTTTTTACTCAATAAAACTTCAAACTCAGCTGTAATTCAAGGCAATACAGCCAAATTTTGGGTTTTAACCGGTTAAAACTTAGGTTTCAAGCTCACACACTTTTTCTTTCCAAAAGGGTGCGAGAAGCAATATTGGAATGGCTGTATATAAGAACATCAATACAATCTTTGGTTACGTTAAATCATGTGAGTACAAAATGGATATATTCACAACATAAGTGATTAGGCAATTAAATTAGAGACATAGTATTTATATTGTTAGTATACGCATGTAAAGATGAATATACTCCAACAATCAAGTTTACTATTGAAAAGATTAGAGAAGAGTGTTGGATGGTCTTCCAGTAATTTTGAAGGTCTTTTGAATCTGGGACGGTAAGATCTTCAATTTGATGCAACCTGGCAAACCCTAAAGCTATGATGATTCTGAATAGAGCATTGTCAAAGATCAGCTTGAAGAAATATGCTGAAGTTTCCAAACCATGTATAGTAAAGGTGTTTTATTGAGTAATTCATCTTGATCTAGCTTTCAAGCAACCTTACATACCTCTAGTACAAAAATAGTATTTTTGATTGGTTTTTGTTTCAAACCTCAATAACTCAGTCAATTTCCATGATAAAGGTTAATAGACTATATATTCTTGGTGGAGAGAAACAGGAGCAGTTTTGTACAAATTTATATGATGTCATATGACCAACACCCCTGTTGCTCCGCTATAATTGCCAAATTTGTGAGTGGAGCGATTTGGCACTATGATAAAGCGCCCAATTGCTCCGCTAACTTTTAGGAGTCGCTGTGGGATCTCAGAGCGGTGCACAAGATCCAAGGGCTCCACTCCGCTATGTGCAATTTTCATGGGTCATAGCGCTTAGAAGCGCGTCTTGGGACTTGTGTAATTGGCTTATGAGAGTTCAATCAAAATGTTGAAGAGATGAACTTCTTTTACAAGTTCGCTATTGCTAAATAGTAATATGCAATCTTTTCAATGAATTGATAACAAGATTTGGGTATTAAAGCTGCTACATAAAAGGTATTGAATATCTACTTGAAGCAACGCAGATTTTTAGACTTGTTCAAAAGATCCAAATGTTCAAGAAATTGAGAAAAATTGTAAATTTAAGGATGAAACTCAAGTGAGATGAAATATGTTAAGAATTGTAAAATAATCAAGAAATCGAGAAATTGAGACAAGAAATGTCTTATTCTATTCTGAAGTTCTGAGAAATTTGATAAGTGTGTGTCTGTGTGTTGGTTTTTATACCAATCACTTCACTTCTTCATCAAACTAAACTAATCAAAACTCTCATCATAAAACTCAAAAACTTCATCAAAGCTCATCAAGAATCAAGAATCATTCATGGATATCATATTTCCAACCAAAATTAACTCATCAAAACTCATCAAAATCAGAAAATCATATACATGTTACAAAGAACTTTGAACAAAAGACACACCAGGTCTCCTCTCCCTCAAATGGGAATAGAGTGTAAACCAAGCTTTTGTTGACTATGGAAGGTGAGAACTATTAGATCGCAAATGAAATCAAAAACCGTGGCCAATTTATGTAATTGATGAATGGAAGCAGTTAAATGGAGGTCAGAGTTGGTCGGAGAGGGCAGGCATTGAGCCTAAATCAGTACCCTAGAAGCGAAATGGAAGAGAGTGGGAGAAAAGAAACACAGATGACATTGTTATTATAAAATGAAGATAAATGAAAAGACAAACCCACCAGAAAATTTGAATGCAAGGATTGGTCGGAGCTGACCTTAATGAATAGAGTGATATTGAAGTGGAGGTGGTTAGAGTTGAGGAGGAGATGAGATAGAAGGGGTGCCTAGAAGTGAAACAAAAGGAATCAAAAAAATAAAACAAAGAAGATGAAGTCAGTAAACAAGAACAAATAAAAAGGAAATAAAGAAAGACTTACACATCAAGATACAGAATCAAAACTTAAAAGAGTAAAGCTGAAAGATGATAAGGAAATCAAAATGAAACTGACTTACATATAGAAATCCAAAATCAAAGTTGAAGTGATTGATCAATGTAGAGTCCACCTGAAATCAAAATTTGAACAGTGAATCCAAGACAAGATTAAAGATGAGGGAATGAGATAGAAAACATACCTTCATCATTGATTGGTTTATCATTCCATTAGAATGATGATAAGAAGCGGATGGATCCTGCTATGAGGTGCTACCTGTCGCTAAGCGCTCAGGGTTGCTATGGCGGGTGATAGCACAGCGGAAAAACACTATGTATGGCGGGCAGATCTCAATCCCGCTATAAATTTTTGGGTTTTGCCATAGCTATAGCAATGCATGACACCCGCTATATAGAAAAAGGGCTAGCGCGGGCGGGATGCGCGGTCCGCTACCGCTCTGCTTGCGCTATCTTGGGCGGAGCGCCGGGGGTGTTGATATGACATTATCTCAATTTTGGTGGTATCTCAATCACTTTTCAATAAAAGGGGGATATCCATTTGACATCCAATGCAAAACCAATCCAAACCATTCTCAAGTTGCCAAGACACACTTGCCTTTCAGTGACTCACAATCGAGGGCTGTACAAAATCTATTGATGTTTTCAGCTTGCAAAAGCTTGACTTCACTTCACAATTATGGGCCAAATTTCAGGTATTTTTACAGGTAGTTCTTTGATGATTTTCAACCTTTATTGTGAGTACATTGACCAATATATATTTGCAAAATTGAAGCCCCAAGATCTAAGAACAAGATGCCTGTTTTTTTGGATATTTTGCTCTCTTCCAGGTGTCTCAGTGCTTTTATGTATCAATACTTCTCTTTGATATGTACCCAAAAAATATCTTTCTTTGTATTGTAATTGTTAAGATACAAGGTAGTTAAAGAGTTAAGGTATCTTATTTAGGTGGTCAAAGATCATTTCCCGATTTGGTCATTTGAAGAGATGTATTCAAGGTCAGAAGAATGGGGTGTGTGTGGCAACATTGGTGGAAGAATGGACCAAAGGGGTTAGCTGGAAATTGTGAAGCAAGGGGGCGTTGAAAAGTTTTTCTTTGGGATATCAGCTCACTGTTGTAAATTTCTTTCTCCCTCTTTTCTGATTCTTTTCTTGTCGAAAAGAATCAGTAAGTCTCCTCCATTTCATTCTCAAGATTTGTTCGTATACAACTTTTTTACTGATACATCACTCTCACTTAGATATTATTTCATTTTTACTTTGTTTTACAACCTCTTACGCGCGCTCCTCATTCCCTTTCGAGCTCGCAGGTTTGTCAAGTGTTCTCGACGTTGACCTAGCAGATTGAGCTGTAGTCTAACGCGATAACTTGTGCCCTCAGGTTTGTCAAGTGTTCTCGACGTTGACCTAGCAGATTGAGCTGTAGTCTAACGCGATAACTTGTGCCCTCAGGTTATTTCCACAGTACTACAGATTCAAATCCGTGTCATTTTGTGATTCTTTTGAATCAGTTCGTCGAGAACTTTATATGGTAGCGAGAGTGTATACGATCAATTCGACCAGTACCTTTCTTCTTGTATGAACTCCGAAGACGTCAACCCCTCTATTGTTGACGATTCTCAGGACGATTCAACTGTTACTGAAGGCTCTAGTCCTTCAAGTTCCACCGATTCCTTTGGAACGGTAAAACAAGATTTTACAAATCCCCTGTCATCAGACGCTATTGCTGGTTCTTCGAACTTGGAAGAACCTGTCTCCTCAAAAATGACCGATCAAGTCAAATCCCGAGTTTTTGGTGACCAAATTCAAAAGTACTCCCAGATCATGAACAACGCTCTGAGCAAGTATAAAGTTTCAGATGATCTTACCGATGAAAATTACATCGAGTGGAGCCAGTCCTTGATGGAAGTTTTTCGTTCACTTGAATTTCACAACTATTTTAAAATTGAGAACTACCGAAAACCTGCTTTATCTGATGAAGAACACGAGAAGACCAGGTTTAATCTTACCACCTTCGTTCTCCACCGATTGGACTCAACCAATAAAGTCAGAACCCGAAATCATTTAACGGATCCCAAAGACGCCTGTGAAATCATATACGATCCTTATGTTTGCTGGAAGTTTCTCAAAACTTATCATAATCGTGTCTCCAAGGACAAGCTTGAAGCGGTCACAAGGACTTTGTACGCTTGTCAAATTTCGAAAACGGAATCTCTTTCAGTCTTTGTCGATAAATTTGAAAACCTAGTTTGAGAATTCTATTGCTTGAATGGTGAATTATCAGACATCCAATCCGCTCGAATGCTGTTGGGGGCTATCCCATCTCTCTCTGTCAAAACAAAAGAGTACATTCACAACTCCGTGGTGCCTCTGACTAGAGAAGGAGTCGCTACGTACCTCCGAAAGTACGAAGAACAACATGGTTGGACCTGCTCTGCAATCAGAGAGGTCAACTCGGTTTCAGCTCGCCAAGTCAAGAAGTCCTCAAATGAATGTACCCCGGATGAATGTGTCGGTCCTCATTTGGCGAAGAACTGCTGGTCTAAGCCGGAAAATGCCAACAAGAGACTCGCTTTTCTTTCTAAAATCAGAGCTAAATCTGGGGGTGCTGTCTCAAATTCAATTTCAAACTCTTCTGATCATGACACACAGTCCTCAATCAAAGGTGTAAAGAAGGTGTTCGACTCAAGCGTGAATTCAGCCTCTGCAAGCATGGCTTTCCTCTCTTTGAACGTTGAATTCGACGACAACGTTTCTACAGAATCAACACTTGAATCGATTTCGGCTTCGCCTTCTGAATTCGAAGAAGACTCAGTTATGGATGCTTCGGTCTCTGCTGCTCTTACCTCATCTAGAGACTGGGCTTTACATGATACTGGTGCCACTCACCATCTGTTCAAAGATAAGAAATTCTTTGATATCTCAACCCTAGTAAAGATTGAAGATGCAAGCAAACGCCTCAAATTGGCCGGTGGCGACATGTCCTTGGCAGTTCATAGCCGCGGTGTAGCTAAATTGCTGGCTGGAGACGAAACTCCTTTTGAACTTGAGAATTCACTCTATGTTCCAGAATTGTCTCGTAATCTAATCGCTGGGGGTTTACTGAAGAAACTTGGAGTCCGTGAATTGTTCCACAATAGCACCAACTTCTCATTAGTATTGAATGATCTAGCAATATTTAATGGTTTCATATCCGATAACAATCTTATGTTCATCCTTCTTCAACCGGTGAGTGGCGCACACTCTACTTCAACTTCGGCGAATATTACTGAAGTCTCATCATCACTTCAACACCGACGTTTAGGACATGTCAGTCAGAAATACCTGAAGTTAATGGCGAAACATGAGAGCTTGGAAAAATTTGATTATCAGGAAGAAGAGCTAAACTGTGAAATTTGCTCTTTATCCAAAAATACCAAGCTTCCACATAACAAAACTAGACCACGTGCTCTTAACTTCTTAGAAAATGTACATGTTGACTTGAGTGGGATCATAAGAACTACCGGAATCAACAATGAAAATTATTTTGTTCTATTTTGTGATGATTTTTCCGCATACCGCCATATCTATCTGCTTCGAGACAAATCAAAAGAAGACGTTTTCGATGTGTTTATGGCGTACATTGCCGTAGCTGAAAGGCAAACCGGTTGTTCCTTGAAACAATTTACCCTTGATCGGGGTAGTGAATTCCTCAATAATCTACTTGGTCCCAAGCTCAAGGAGCTAGGAATAACTCTTCACCTCACTTCAGGCTATGCACCTGAAGAAAATGGTGTTTCCGAACGAGGTATGCGCATTGTCGCTACCAGGGCCCGTTCGATGATGCTGGAATCAGCTTTGCCAATCAGATTTTGGTATCTTGCTTGTAGCGCAGCCGTATTTCTGACAAATCGATGCGTGACTGCTGCCCTTGAAACTGGCAAAACACCTTTTGAAGTGTGGCACTTCCGAAAACCATCTATTCACCATCTCCTAGTGTTTGGTTGTCAGGCTTTTGGCCTAATCAGGAAAGAACTGCGTTCATCAAAATTTTCTCCTGTCAGTTCGGAAGGGGTGCTCGTTGGTTTTGAGTCTGATAACTTCAATTATCAAATTTATGATTTAACTTCTCGAAAAATATATATTACTCATCATTCAACATTTAATGAAGATGTATTTCCTTTCAAACTCATCAAACCCATCAACAACCCTGAACCTAACAACTCAATGAAATCACCAGTTAAAATTAGGTTCTTCGATGATCAGGATGAAGAATACGACGATCAACCTTCTTCTATTCCCGCATCTTCTGTTATTCCATCTTCTGTTATTCCTCCTACAGAAATCCCATCCAGAGACATGTCTGATAGCCAACTTCCAGTAAATCAAATTGAAGAACCAGTACGTCGTTCTGGTCAACCTTCCAAGAAAGTCTATGACACTTTAAAAGGAATGTGCTCTTCCGCCATATTTGAAGATGATTTTATCACCAAATCTTTCTTTGCGTGTTTATCAGCCGAATGCAACATATCTGATATTATGGAAACACCTGATCCAAAGTCCTATAAACGAGCAATGGAATCCTCAGATGCAAAATTATGGCAAGCCGCGTGTGACAAAGAATTTAATTCACTTAAAGAAAAGAAGGTTTGGGTGCTGGTAGATCGTCCTAAAGATCGTCACGTCATCAGAGGGTTGTGGGTATTCCATAGGAAGTCTCTGGTGGATGGAGGCATCAAGTATAAAGCCAGGTATGTTGCTATGGGCAATACCCAAATTCCTGGTGGAGACTACGGAGATACGTTTGCTCCTACCGGAAAGCCAGGTTCATTACGACTGTTAGTTGCCATCGCGTCCATCAATGGTTGGGAAATTCACCAGATGGACGCTGTAACAGCTTTTCTAAACGGCAAACTTACTGAAGAACTGTACGTCGAAGTACCTGACGGATATCGGACTGCTTCCACTGTGGGAAAGGTCTGGAGAATGTTGGGATCTCTGTATGGATTCAAACAATCGCCGAAAATCTGGCAGGACGACGTTGAAGCTTTCCTCATTGAGATTGGTTTTTACCAATGTGAAATAGATCATTGTATCTATATCCGATCATCTGGTGATTTGTTTACTGCGGTCTATGTTCATGTGGATGATCTTGCGATTACAGGTAACGATATCGCTAGGTTCAAGGTGGAAATTTCATCTAAGTGGGAGATGGAAGACCTGGGTTTGGCTCACACAGTCGTAGGTATTGAAATTTCAAGAATTAACAATCACACGTACTCAATGTGTCAGCAAAAATATGCCTTGACTGTTTTGAAGCGTTTTGATATGATGAATGCAAAGCCGGCAATTACTCCTTTATCTCCTAACGTCAAGTTACTAAAATCAACCAAAGAAGAAGCTCAAGAATTCGCGAAGACCAAACTCCCTTACAGAAGAGTTGTTGGTTCACTGATGTACTTGGCTCAGTGCACACGTCCTGATTTAGCGCACGCCGTTGGAGTGTTGTCCCAACATCTCGAGGCTCCCAACAAGACTCACTGGGATTCGGCAATTCATGTTCTACGATACCTTATTCACACGGTAAATGTAGGTATAGTGTACTCTGGAGAGTCCGTCAATGTGGTTTCCGGTCAGCGTAGTTTTGAATGTCCTGTCTCTCATTGTGATGCAGATTGGGCAGGCGATATCAGCACCCGCCGTTTGACCACAGGTTATGTCTTTGTACTAGCTGGTGGCCCCATCTCCTGGAGAAGTCGCCTTCAACCAACTGTAGCTTTATCATCAACCGAAGCCGAGTACAGGGCTATCACGGAAGCCGGTCAAGAGCTGCTCTGGTTACGAAACATGATGTCAAGATTCGGTTACTCCGACCCAAATCCAACTGTCTTACAGAGTGACAACTTAGGAGCTATTCATTTAACATCTAAATCAATTTTTCATGCTTGAACCAAACACATAGAAATACATTATCACTGGATACGTGAAGTAGTTAAGAAAGGTGATTTATCATTAAAACATTGTCCTACGCATTTAATGGTTGCGGACTTGTTAACTAAACAACTACCTAAAGAACAGTTCTCATCTCTTAGAAAACTTTTGGGTTTACGTTTTTTAGGGTAAATGCTCTTTGAGGGGGTGTGTTAAGATACAAGGTAGTTAAAGAGTTAAGGTATCTTATTTAGGTGGTCAAAGATCATTTCCCGATTTGGTCATTTGAAGAGATGTATTCAAGGTCAGAAGAATGGGGTGTGTGTGGCAACATTGGTGGAAGAATGGACCAAAGGGGTTAGCTGGAAATTGTGAAGCAAGGGGGCGTTGAAAAGTTTTTCTTTGGGATATCAGCTCACTGTTGTAAATTTCTTTCTCCCTCTTTTCTGATTCTTTTCTTGTCGAAAAGAATCAGTAAGTCTCCTCCATTTCATTCTCAAGATTTGTTCGTATACAACTTTTTTACTGATACATCACTCTCACTTAGATATTATTTCATTTTTACTTTGTTTTACAACCTCTTACGCGCGCTCCTCATTCCCTTTCGAGCTCGCAGGTAGTGACCTTTCTTCTAGATCAAATCATCTACTATTCTCTCTGATCTTAATCTTGTTCTTCTCTCTACTTTTTGTCCTGTGATCTCTGTAGGTTTGTCAAGTGTTCTCGACATTGACCTAGCAGATTGAGCTGTAGTCTAACGCGATAACTTGTGCCCTCAGGTTAGTAAAAGTCTGGTCGAAAAGAATCAATATTATTTCATTTTTACTTTGTTTTACAACCTCTTACGCGCGCTCCTCATTCCCTTTCGAGCTCGCAGGTTTGTCAAGTGTTCTCGACGTTGACCTAGCAGATTGAGCTGTAGTCTAACGCGATAACTTGTGCCCTCAGGTTTGTCAAGTGTTCTCGACGTTGACCTAGCAGATTGAGCTGTAGTCTAACGCGATAACTTGTGCCCTCAGGTTATTTCCACAGTACTACAGATTCAAATCCGTGTCATTTTGTGATTCTTTTGAATCAGTTCGTCGAGAACTTTATAGTAATACCCCAAGAGTCATCCATGTGTGTGTCAAGACCTGTGATATTTAACTCTTAACATATGATTCATAGAATCAGAGAGAAGAAAGTTCACCACAACTTTGGGGAGCTTGAGAAGCCATAGTTGACATTTCTGTCCGCACATACAGTGTTTATAAATTTTATGACTTGGAAAAACTACCACTGGTTTGAGACTGAAAGAGTTCAAAAAAGCAGCTACCTCCAATTAAGACAGGAGAAACTTGTGCTTGCCAAAATGATGGTAGAGAAGAAACAGAATGAAGTATGAGATACGGTGCAAGTCCATTGTGATGTCTTATGTATTGATTGAGTTGTTTGGTGAAGGATGTCCAAAATTCATGTTTGTACACATCCTGACCTTGCTAGAAGTAGGATTTGTAGCAAGGCATAAAGGTGAAACCAGTTGTAGAGTGTTGTGTGTACACAACTGCGCCACAGCAGATCACGTGACAGTTGTACAGCTAGTACATATATAGTCTCCGTCCTTGGCATTGGATTCCACATCATCATCACTTAAGTTGTGGAGCTGATACCTTGGACAAGAACTAACCTGTGCCATTCAACCTATCTGTTATAAAACCTCCATGCCAGGAAGCAAGGTATCAAATGAGCAAGAAAACCCATTGAACTTGGGTTCTTGAAACCTAGTTCTGATCAATACTTCTTCTGCTTCAGGTCCAGAAGTGTCATTAGTGTTTAAAAATGTGTTGTCTGAAGGTTTGGCAGAGATAGGCCAGAGCTCTTCTGTGAGACCAAAATAATGGAATCAGACAAAGGAGCAGCTGGGGTGATATTTGAGTAAGGATTTCTAATTTCCAATGTTAATTAAAAAGCTGATTTTGAAGATGTCAGGGAGCCTCTTGATGCTGCAAACTGCTAATGGATCTTCTAAATAGGTGGAGAAGAGGGAAGAGGGTCAGAGTGAATGGATGACTCAACATCCGATGAAAACCCCATATCAAGTGTGTCAATCTTGAGTTGTCCAAGGAAAGTTTGCGTGTTGTCTCATTTGTGAGCACTTCTTCCTTGATGGTGCTCAAAGCATCCATATTTGTTGCTTACCCCATGAAATCTGTTGCACTGATTGTATGAGTTGAGGAAAACACCCACATTCTACTCAGCACAAGGCTCATCAACCTTAGGTAAAGATCTAGAATCTTGGACTTTGTATGGTGGTTTGTTGCACCTTTATTTGGCCTTCAAAGTATTTTGACAACAAGAGGATTGATAATAAAAGAAGCTGCAGCTGCTTCAATAGCAAGACAAGGCGAATGCAGAGGGGAGCTGGAATTGAGGCCTTGCCAAGTTTGCTAATGCTACTATAAAGGATCTGTTTGTTGATGCCTTTAAGTGAGTCATGACTGTAGTCTTCCCAAAGTAGATCAGGCTGTGAAACAAATTCTTCACAAAGTTTGAAATCATAATCACCAGCATATTCCTAGTGAACACAACCTTGAAATAAACCTGGAAGAACAATGCATTTGAAGATTTTTTGATGGAAATAGTAGCAGGAGCAAATGCTGAAATATAGGTATGACAGAGAACGGCCAACAGGTTTTGCCAATAGATTAATCTCCTTAGGTGCAGCTCCTTTGATATATTCAAGATCTCTATCTTCATTAATTTGAAGGTGGCTTTGAGGAGCGTGAAAGGATGCCACAGTGCCATAAAATCTTTGTATATCAACAAAGTTGTATTCAAGAAGATCTTTGGTGTGAAATTTCTTCAATTTAGCAGTCTTTTATTACAAGAATTGAAATTTGATGTGTGTTGTTTGATGTCAGATTTTTATAAGAAAAAAATGTATTGATGTGAAGGGAACAAGGAGTGATTTCCTCAGTCACCAAGTGCTATTTTCCATCCAAATATGGAACATACATGACCTCATCCATGATATTTGGACCAGCACTAGCCGGGTATCCAGATACAGCTGGTGCTGGAAAGAGAGGTTTGTAAGAACACAACAAAGAAGGAGGAGGGGAGGAAAGTCCCTTTTCTGTTTCCCTTTGTCAATCTGTTCAAAAAGTTTAACCAGATGAATTTGTCAAATCTTAAGGATTTGACACAGGCCTTATGAGAATTGGATACAATTATGGAGGGATAGTCCTGCTAACAGCTGTTGACCCACTGATGGAATGCTAACTGCTGAAGAAACACGTCTAAATGGTGGAGGGGGATTTGTGTTGAGTGATCCTCCTGATGGACTGGAAGGGAACATAGATAAGTCAAGAATACCAGAAGTGCAAACAGCTGAAGGTGTTGGGACCAGAAGATCCATGAACCATTTGAGTGGAGCAAAAAGCTCAACTCCAGGAGGTTCTTCACAGTTTTTTCCAAGAATCATGACTGGATCAGCCAGAGGCTTGAGGCTGACAGGGATTTTTTCCGTAGTCTGATAGACAGGTCTGCCTGCCCTTCCTGTATCATCATGATTCTTGAGGATCTTATTGATGTCATTGAAATTCTTAGTCACTGCATAAGAGTTCTCAAGCATAATCAAGACGATATAAAAAGAATAGAATGATATAACGATTTTTGTAAAAAAAAAAAAAAAGACCATGAGAATGTAAAATAGATTCATTAGGATCATATCTTTAAATGAATAAAGAGAAACTGGGGTTCTGGGAAAACCAATTCATTTGTCTATCCTAGAACTCCATCCTTTCTAGACATATGAAGAGAATAGCTTGTCTTGAATGTAAGATTGGCTTTATGCTTTTTGTCTGTAAGGAATGGAATTCTTTGGGTACCCGCCCCCTATTATCCGAATGCCCATCTTGACCCCATTCCCGTTTGTCAATACTCGTACCGGCTTCCGGTAAAGTTTGATTCATCTTACAACGTCGCTTCATGATCGTGATCGACTTTCCAAAAATCGAATGATTCACAAAGTATAAGTTAGGTTCTGATAAAACTTATTGAAGGTTTCATTGGTCTTTCAAGATCGTAGAACTTATTTGGTTTGATCTGATTGACAAGATAGAAATATTGGTAATCTGATTTGATGATTTACATAAAATCAGATAACTCATTATTTTGGTGTACAATTTTTTCTGCAGGGTTGTTTCAAGATTCGATAATGGAGTCAAGCATACTTATGAAGCTTAACCCTTTGCCCATCAAACGTCTAATTTTGATTGACATTCCGATACTTGGATCGAGGATTTGTAAAGACCAAATTGTCTCGTTGGGATTCGGATCATTCGGCGCATGTATTCATCTCACTGTATCGCAAGCTTTACTCGGATTGGTACATACCGAATTCTCCCTGTGTGAGCGACTCTTGCCGTTCTTGCCGTTCTTGCCGTTCTTGCCTGTTCTTGCCGTTCTTGCCGCTGTGCAGCTATTTCTCATTCAAAGTTTGACATGTTGTTTGGTGATTGATTGTTCTGGATTGGGATAGACGAGATTAATTCGTTATCAACAATTCTCCAGAGTCATGATCGAAAAGGATCGAAATCATGTGAGGCACATTTCTTTTTTACAATTTTCCGCAACGTAGATCAAACTGTCAAAGCCGTATGTATTCTCCAATCTGCAAACTGTCAAAACCTCCTATGATCATATGAGATGCTGGTCAGCTTTGGTCAGCGACTGCGACTTGTCAACTTCTCGAATCTGAGTTGATATCGTTACCAAGATTTTAGATGGGGATTTTAGATTTCGTGTTATGATTGATGGATACCTGTTAACCAACTTTTTTAGTGTTCAGGTTTAGTCCTTTTTCACTGACAGTGGTATATGATTAGTCGATTTTACACCCCTGTCTAAAAATTAAATCGCCAGGTTTAAGGATGAACCTGTGAACTAAACGCAAGAGGCGAAAAAAGAAGTAAAGATCCCTTCCCCTGGCAAGTTTTTCTGCAGTGCAAGTTGATTTTTCGGTAAAACAGGCAACTTTGAGATCGACTTACTAAGCAAATCGATTTTTGGTGGATTAATCACTTACCGATGATTTTACACTTTCACTCATCATCAGCTCATAATCTTCATCCGAAATTGAGATGTAGACTAGGATTGGGTTTGGTTTTTTTTTCTTCTTCTTTCTTTGAATCCAGATTAAGATTTTGATTGATCGTCAATTCAAGGGATCTGGTTCAAGTTAGAATGATATTTGTGTTTTTTTCTCGATTCGGGTGTCAAAAATGGCTCTCCTTTTTTTTCCGTCCCTGTGTCTGATACACCATTTAGAACATGAACTTCAGATTACTAATCATTTAACTGATGATGAATTGGTATAATAACACTAATCCATGATTCTTGGTTGAATGATTATATGATTCTCTTACATTACATTTTGAAGGATTACTTTTAAAAAAGCTAATTCTCAATCTTAAATCAATCCAAATCCGGATCCCCTTGAAACTTTGACTTACTAAGAAATACTCAAATCAATCTCTTTGAAGGCAATCAATTTACTCACTAATCATCAGCATTCAAACTATTGTTCCTTGTTTCCTTAATCATCGTCATCACCATAATTCGCTTTTCAGATTTTAATCAATCACCTCACTCACCTCAATAATCACCATCAACTATTAATCATACTCATCATTTCATTCTCACCACCTTTTTTTGATTCCATTTCATTAGTCAAGAGATCTAAGCACAGTTTCAGTTTGAAAGAGTCGAACAATATATTTCATTAAGATTTATCATTATTTCTCTTCTGCTGTGTTCTGAAAATCTTGTAAACCGTTGTAGAAAGTCGAAATCGAAAACCCTCATTCGAGTCTAATAGACCCTTATTCGGATTTGATTTCTCAACTTTTTGATATTTCCCCATCAAGAGGATTTATAATACTGAGAACATCGTAAATCAAAACATCCTCAATTTAATCTTTCATCATCGTTCATACAATCTCATCCTCGATCACCTTCCAGTTTTGACCTCTATCACTAGCATATATTCCTTTTGATTTGTCGTTTTAAATCGACAAGTATGGATTCCAAAATAGATACATCACCACTTCCAATCACAGTCACAGAAGCAGATCAAATTATCTCACGTTATGGTAATGACGCACCCTCTCCTTTACCTTCAAATCATTCCCATTCTTTGACTACTTTACATCAAAACAGTAGTGGTCTCACTTTAGCCCATCAAGATCAAGATCAACAGCATTCAACAACCAATCATCCGTCAGATCAAAATCAGCATCATCATTCTCAAAATGCATCAAAACATCCTTCACAAGAATTTGATCCTAATCGAGTGACTTGGTTACCTGATGATCCTGAAAACCCTCAATCTTGGTCAGATAAAAGAAAATGGGTCTTGACTGTGATTTGTGGTATCATCACCGTTAATGCGTTAGTTCATTGTCATATTCAAACTTATTTATTTGTTGATACTTCCGTGGCTCATTCTCATTTTGATTTTTTGATTTAAAGTACATTTGCAAGTTCAGCACCTTCCTCTGCTACAGAAGATATTGTGAAACAGTTTGGGGTTTCATTAGAAGTGGCTACATTAGTTACTTCTCTTTTCTTATGCGGTTATATTGCTGGGTAAGTTTCTGTTCTGTATCCTCATCTTTTAATTTGACAAAAAACTGAACTTAACCTCTAACTTGTTTTTTTCGAAACAAAAAGCCCCTTGATCTGGGCACCACTTTCTGAGTTAATAGGACGACGACCAGTTTTCCTTGGAACCATGATTTCATATGTAATTTTACAATTGGGAGAAGCATTAAATACAAATTTACAAACGATTTTAGTCATCAGATTCTTATCTGGTGTAGCTGCTTCTGCGCCTTTAACCAACTGTGGTGGTTTAATTGCAGATATCTGGGATCCTATTTATAGAGCTCCTGCGATTTCTATCTTTACTGCTTCTGCTTTTATTGGACCTGTACTTGGACCAAGTTGAGTCAATCTTAAATCTCTCTCACATATTGGTTTCATTTGTCTGATTCGATTTGTCTCTTTCACAGTTGTTGGAAGTTTTGTGGCTGGATCATATTTGGGATTCAGATGGATCTTCTGGTTGATGATGATCATCGGTGGCGGATTCACAGCAATGGTCTACTTCGGATTACCCGAGACTTATGCTCCGATCCTCTTGGCCAAGAGAGCAAAAAAGAGGAGGGCAGAGGAAAATCGACCTGAACTCTATAGTGATCATGAACGTGCCGATTTTTCTGTCAAGGGTATACTTCACAGGACCTTATTGCGACCTTTTAAGATGCTTGCTTCTGAAGTAAGATTTTTCTCCTAAGCATTAATCTCCAGCTCAGTTGATACTGATGTTTTCCTCTTCCGATCAGCCTATCTTGGTACTCGTGACTGTTTACCTTTCTATCGTTTATGGTCTGCTTTACGGTCTATTCGAGGTCAGTTTGAGCTCTACCTTTGGATTAGCTAAGCAGTCTGTCACCTTTCTGATGACTCCATTCCGAAATCAAACATACAGGCTTTTCCTATCATCTGGGGTGACCTTCGAGGATTCACTCCTACTCAAATTGGATTACTGTTCATCGGAGTAGGAATTGGTACTACTCTAGGTGCCGTCATGAATATATATCTTCAACAATCTTTGAAAACTCTTGTGCCCAAATGGCATGGACATCCCCCTTGCGAGGTTCATCTTTATGGATCAATGCTTGCTGGACCGTTCCTTGTGATTGGTATTTTTTGGCTTGGATGGACTGGTGCATACGCTTCTATCCCTTGGTGGGTACCTGCTATTTCGACGATCTTGTTGGGAGCTTCGTGAGTTGTGTTCAATGTTATCTATTCTAATAATACCAGAAGCTGATCAAACTTAATCATTTAGGTTTACTCTTGTGTTCATCTCATTTCAAGCTTATTTGATAGATGTATATCTAATGTACTCAGCATCAGCTCTAGCGGCAAATACGATTTGTCGATCTGCTTTTGGAGCGGCATTCCCCCTTTTCACGTAAGTTGTTCTCAAGTATCTTTATCATTCTCATCATATGATCAAGGCTCAGTATTCAATCATGATCTTTTTTCGGATTCCTCACAGACGACAAATGTTTGAAGGTTTAGGTGTTCAATGGGCTGCAACACTTGTAAGTTAAATTATTCGTGTTGGTCTTTTAAAGGCTTGAGTTTTGATGGTTTGAATTCTATGATTTAGATCGGTTGTGTTGGATTATTAATTAGTCCATCGCCATTTATATTTTATAAATATGGGTCGAGGATAAGAACTCGATCAAAATTCGCACCTAATCTTGATTTACAAATGAAGTCCACAGTAGAAGAAGAAGAACAAAGAGAGAAGACACAAGAGAAGAAGACAGAAGAGACAATGGCGGGGAAAAGTAATAATCATCAAAAGGGTCCTGAGATTGTTTAAATTATCGAAGGGATCTCTATCTTTCTTCGTGGCAAGGTCATCGAAGATGACTCTATTGATTTTGGACATACACGATCCATAGTTTTGGTCAATTTATTAATCTTTTAGTTTTCGGTATTCATTATGTTTATATCTTGGGGTTTTCATTTTATCTTCGTTTTTTGTCGTCTCTAGACTTGTACTACCTAACATCATCAAAAAAACTCCCTTCTCATTTGCGGAAAATTTCAATGATTACAACATAAATAGTTTTTTCCTTTCAAATTTTGAATTCGATTTTCCAATTAACATTATGTTTTATTGTATCTATCTCTTTTTGATTATCATTATTTACTACTCATCTGTATCTTATATAGAGCATTTATGATGATAATGCATGAGACTTGTTAGATTAATTTGATTTTGGGTCTTTGTTCTGATTGGAACATGTTTTGGTCTATTTAGAAGGACAAAATAGGATTTCCTCTTTGCCTCAAACTGGTATTCCCACTAAGGACGTGAGTTTTTTTTACATTTATCCCTAGAGAATGTATGGCAAGTCATTGAACGGTTCACTGCAATTTAAATCCTTTTACTCTACTATAGACGCTTACATTTTGATGAGACGCTTCAATCAAACTCAACAAAGTGCTATGGCGCGTCGAATTTTTTCTGATGAGACCCTTTGAGTCTTTAGCCTGACTAATCTCAACAAGTGAAAACATGTTTTGGCGATCTTGAAGTTTTATAAGTACGGTATGAATTGAATTCAATCAATGTCTCTGAGAAAAAGCCATTCCCTCCACGACTCTGCGGCTGTTCTGCGGCTGTGATCACATTGAGTGATCGCGGTGACGTCACCGAACAACACTTTTCGACGAAATGGGGTGGTCGGGACTCGGTGTCTGACCTCCGAGTTTACCGAGAATATGTCCATATCTCAATGTCATTCACTGAGGGACCCTTTCGCTGTGATCACGATCTTGTTTACCGAAGAGCCCTTTCAACGAGACTCGGTGATCGGCATCTGAACAGCATGTCTTTCTTAAATTGATTGCTTTGAGTGTTATCGTAGACGTCAAGGCTCTTAGACACATGTGGCGATGTCTTTCCAGCACAGTTTAAACCTCTCTGGCTGTGTCAGGGGAAATGTTGCTGTTGGCTGTTTCAACGAATACAAATTTTATAAGGGCATGGTGGTCATATCACATCGATGTCGACGCCAGAGACCGAATCTCGGTCTTTGAAGATGGGTCTCTTATCACCGAGCTTCCAGGCTGTCTCCAAGATTTCTAGGTTTATGATTCGCGTTCAGGATCACACTATATAACCTGCTTGAGTTCGTTGTCATGCTCCTCAATCCTCAATTTTCAATCATCTACACGTCAAAAAAACAAAAGATTAGCTAGCAAATCATAAGACATCTTTAAGATGAAACTTGATACTACCATTTACTTTATGATTACCTTTCTCCTTTCGAATTTGATCCAATTTAGCAAACAGGCTGATCCGACGATGTTATGCACTCAGGGTTATGCCGCTCGACCAAAGATCCCAAATTCGAGTTCTGCGCCAGTCCGTAAGTACAGTCTTCAAGTTCCAGGCCGGTATCATGAACCCAGTCAAAATTGTCCTTCAGAGATATTGTGCTTATAGGTTTCTTGGATTGGACTTTGTAGGCTGCGCCGATGATAAGTCAATCTCGACTTATGATATCACTCAATGCTCACAAAATGGTAAGCAATCCTTACTATTCTTGAACTGTAAATAGCCATGAACACTCATGATATCTATCGAACTACAGCTCCAAAACCACCTGTGGGGATGAACTGCTTGAATCACTATAGAGGAGCCCCATGTGAGCAGTATGCACTTGACCGCCCAAATCAACCAAAACCATTTAGTAAGTCAACAAATCATAATAGATATTGATGACTGGATATACATTATCCATGCTGAGGTTCAACTTCCACTAACCAAAAATGGATGTGATTTTTTCTTTCATAAGCTTGTTATCGCATAAATAAGAAAGCAAAAACCAATCCTAATAAGGCTTTTCAATGTGATAACATAAACAATTACATGAGTAAGTCAATTTCATATGTCTCAGAAGAATTCCATGATTATATTAGCTGGCTGATACCGATTATATAAAATCTTAGAATGTACAGGTTATGCTTCAGTTGTCTGCCTGAGATCTCAAGGGTGTACTTGGTAAGAAGTCATTGAGATAGGAATAGAAATGGAAGAGAGTCAAAGGCACTTCTTTATTGATTTAGTGAATTGAAACATGACAAATGGTAGGGTCTGTTCAAGGACTCTCAAAGTATATGGTCTTCTTAGTGTTGAGGTCTGGCCTAGCTAAACATTATAGATGGAAAGGCACTAGGCCTAGTCCCGCCTGTTTTTGGTTTAGACCATTTGAAATGTTTAGAAAGTTTGAAGATTAGACCAGTTTCACTTTATCCTGATGTGTCATTATTGTAACACCTTGTAACACCTTTCATATACAATAGATGTCTTACCTACTATGTAGTTGGTTTGATTTTTCTCTTGTCACAATTCTTATTTATTTGGACTGATTTACACTGACACTAAATCTTCCATGTACAACTTTATTTTTCTTGCATATGAAATATCACTATTCTTGTTTGTTTTGATTGCTTTACACTAACATCAGATCTTCTAGTTTTGCTTGCCCCTTGACACTTAGTACAACAGAGTATCAGTATAAGACTATGGCTCATCACATTTATACAGATAGGAGCAGGGGAGATCACCAGAGGACTGTTGGAAATTAAGTATGGGCTATATCTGGCTGTATATGTACAAACTTCTGCTGTATAGTAATGGATACAGTTGAACTTGGCATTCACATCTGCCAAAGTGTCATATATAGTGATCAAATCAAGATTTTTTTTACTTTGTTTCATAGTCCCAAAAGGGTGTACCATGTTTTTTGGTGTTGGAAAGCAAAAGAAAATATACAAAGCTACAAGGTCCTTGCAACCCAGTAAGGATGTATTGTTCTCAATCCAAGGCTTACATCTCTTATATTGATCATCTTTCATTGGATAAAGTGTAAGGATTTCTGATCATTGGGATATGAATGTGGTGTGGAGATGGAGTCAAACCACCTTCAACACTCTAGTATTTGGATGTTCTAGGTCTGTTCAAGTTATTGATAGATCTAACAAAAGCAATGAACACTTCAAAAGATCCAAAAAAGGAGGTTTAGGTAAATGTCCAAGGAAGTTGTTTATATGAAAACAATACCAATGCATTTAACAAGAGTCAACTGTATAGCCAAATTACAAGGCAATCAGGGACTGTGTGTATGTTAATCCTTTGAGAGTGAGGAATATGAGACAAGATCTAGAAATCCTATGTTCCAATACTAGGCAGAAGACAAGTTGTTCAACAACACATCTCCATTTATATATGATCAATTGGTGGAAACTTGAACCACCAATTGCGGTTAAGGCAGGAATACAAGCTATCCTACGGGACTCAAATGCAGACTCAAATGAGCTTGAAGGAAAGTAAAGGTGTTTTACTGTTAGGCATATTTGACTGGGCAACAGATTATTGTCAAATACCAACATTACTATCACAATGGCTGTACCTGATGGTGTTAGATCTAGACAGCAACATATCACTTGACACACGAATCACCTTTGGCGGGGTAGCGGGATGTGGGATGTTTGGACAGGCAGGGCAGCGGATGCCTGGAAACTAGTGATGATATCAAAATTCAGATTTGATATGGGTTTTTGATGGGCCAAATATACTCTTTTCATCAAGAAAGACAACAACTCAAATCAAGCACCAATGAAAGAGGTGGCACAAGCAATCAAACACATGGAGGTGGTCACAAACTCCAACGAGGTGTGGGAGTTCGAACATATGTAGAAGTATTTAGGTCTGATATGGGATGGGAAAAACAAAACAGTTAGAATTCCAGAAGAAAAACCAAAGCAATGACTAGAGCAAATAGTGTACACATATTGATATTTAGAAAAGGATGGGACACACCAGATGGGGAGAACTTGCAAAGAGACACAGCATGGGCCAAGACAGTGACGTTTTGTCTTGGCCTGATTAAGCTGGCATTGATAACAGAAGCTGAAGTCAGGGAATTCTTATGCCTGACAGATAATGTTGTGACAGAAGGTGCTGTGAGAAACAGGAAATCAAGAAACCATTGGGTGAAGCAAGAGCGGATCGAGATACAAGATGAGATGCGCAGAAGGAACTGTTGCATAAGCCAGAAGACAGTATATTCCAAAGATAATGTGGTGGACCTGCTGTTGAGAGACTTTTCCAAACAGGTTTCAGATGTTGTAATATGTAGACTTCCTTCTGATCTAATAACTTTTGTAATACAAGAGTGTTGGAGAACTGACTCACGGAAATTATTGACGGTTAATTTTAAGGAACTACATGAAAAAAATGCAGTTGAGGTAATTCTCACTGATAAGATTGAGAGGAAGCACTCCACTTTCCCAGTATCTTTGATCAAAAGATATGATAAATCAGACAAGAGTAAATTCCCTCAGAGGAAGATACCCAACATTGTAGATGCACCTATTGTGGAAGAGGTACAAGGACAAATTCAAAAGATCACACAAGAAAAATTAGTAAGACTAAACGGGAAAGATACACACCTGTACCTTGTAAGATTCAAGAAAAGTACTGCAGACATAGACAAATGGCTGGAATCCAAAGATATGCCTAACACAGTGTTGCTATTGACAAAATTCAGAGCAGGAAAACGGCCACGATGAAGCTAAAGTCATGAGACTTTACCTTGTAGTGGGGCAATGTCAGCCCTCATGTGTTTAAGTGTAAACACCAGAAGGACTTCACATAAACAGACCACAAAGACAATACAACTACTAAAAGAAGAATATAAAAACATATATTAAACATAACTAAAACACCTTATTAACCTAGTTTCAAAGGTCTAAAACATTTACTCAAAACAAAAGATTACTTAACAAGATTCTCAGATGATAACACTAGTAAGAATTGTACAAAAGGAATATTCCTTTAACAAACAATCAAAGAATTCAGCTTAAATGAAAACAATATCTTGTACACAAGAACAAGAACTGAAACAATAAAAGATAAACATAAGCCAACCTCACACTAACTAGAGTTATCTGACTTTAAATAATCCCAGGGAAATTTGGTAAGTGAAATTATAACAGAACACATAAAACTCATATAAATACATTGAAATCAACAATTACAGAATACCATGTAATAGTGTGTGAACATTGAAGTGATTTATATATCAATTACACATTCACGTAAGAGGACTCTGTGACAAAGGAACTCCAACTGTACTTTACTAAGAACCACAAGTTGCCCAGGATGAGGAAAATGTATAAATACCAATCTTCCAACTAGAGGAACAGAAGCATCAAATTACACCCATCTAAAATCTTAATCAACTATTAGTTACTTCCTTTTGTGCTAGATAAGTTCAAAGATTTATTATATACAAAATTTTAAATCCTTCCACTCATCTAACCAACTTATAAATAACTATAAGCTCTAAGCTTTAGATACTGTGCAATATATGTATGAAGTAAATTCTCTTGGTCAAATATTCAGTTCTTGCAACGTAAAGTTGGACAAGATCCCTGTCTTATTTTCAAATAAACAGGCACTCTAAGCTTTAGAAGCTTTACAGAAAAGACAGGTCTAGGATTGACCATCGAACCTTTGGTGATCAAACAGTAGGCCTGTGGAATTCTGAAAAGAATTAAATCATCCTTGATTCTCAGGTTAGGAACAACATCTATTCCCCGTCACCAGCGGAATAGTACTCAGGGACCATCCTGTGTAAGTTTTCTTACTTACCTTAACCAGTTTGGTGTAACCACACTGACACACATGCTTCATAGGGCATATAGGCGCTATTTTTGAGCACATACATTTATTTTTCCGGTCAAATAAGCACCTACTTGCAGTTTGGCATATGTAGGCACCAAAGATCAAGTGCCTACGTAGCACCTACAACTCAAGACTAGTCAGAAAGGTAATCAAGAACAACATATAAGATGTTTTCACTTTCCAAAAGAGAATCTTCAAGTCAAAAGGAGGGATTTCGAGGACATAAACAGTGTTTTGAGTTGGAATGAGGGTATCAGAAGACGTAAACAGTGTTTTGACTCAAAATGAGGGCTCCGGAGGATGTAAACAGTGTTTTGAGTCAAACAGAGGATGTAGAAACGGGTTTTGAGCATAGAAGATGGTTTGAGTCGAAATGTGGGTATTATCAGAGGTTTACTTAGAACCACCACATTAAAGCATACAAGGGCTTGAGGAAGGTTGTAGAACCATAAGATCAAGTACAATAAAATCACTTTACTCAATCTTCTTGGTAAGAAGCAAGTAAGTTGTGATGTGGAATTGTGGAATGATGTAAAGTCAATTCTTCTTCCAGAGTGGGAAGAAGAGGGGTTTATATATTTCAGACCTGGGTGCCAACTTGTGGTTGGCACTTAGGTTTGTCTTTCTTTGAGTTAGGTTTGGGTTAGGTTTGATTTTACTATTTAAGTCATACTTAAGTCTTGTTATTTAAGTGAGTCTTGATACTGAGCCATGAGGTGTGATTCTTATTGTTTGAGACCAGTTACATATACTTGCATATGTATTACATATATTTACATGTGTGTTTGTTAGTCTGTGGCCCTGTACACAGGGCTCAAGGCTGACATTAAGTCAGCAACCTTGAGCCCTAAGGACCCTGGCTGCTGTCCAGGGTAGGCCTCATCCATGTCACAGGCTCCATAGAGACCCCTTGTTTCAAGCAGAAAAGTTTCCTCAGATCAGGATTTTTTGCCACATATTGCACTGGCAACACCTAATTTCATAACCAACACATGACCCCCGCTGGTCTTCTTCTGCCATATATCACACCACCATTCCCCTGCATTAAGACAACCTGCAGGCCAAACCGCTGCCACACCAATTTGGCCAACACTTCCACATAACTCACCTCATGTTCTAGAGCTACTACACTCAGTAGTGTAGGCTGAGCCAGAGATAGGAAGAAAAACCACTGGGAATATGGATGAATCTACAAGTGCAGCAAAGCTGCCCTGAGGCTTTGAATAGCTGTTCAAAGAAGCCATGGAACAATCAAACAACTTTCTGTCTTCATGAATTTTCCCCAAAAAGTTTGTTTATCCTTGTAGAAGGATGGTCAAACCTGAGCAGAGCCTGGTGGTGTACTGTACACACCATTTGGAAGTGATTGAAAAGAAAGGACAAGTGAAAAGGGTAACACTGGGGAGATGTAGTATTTTTCCCAAATGAAAAATGATTGACCTGAAGGACAAACAAAATTGAAAAAGGTGGAATTCTGAATTCATTTTGTGTGTGCATTAACACTGCATTTTACTGCATTGATGCTGCATTTTTCCGCATTAATGGTGCATTAATGGTGCATTTTTATGCATTAACACAGCATTTTTAATCATTTTGACATTAATTTTAATCATTTTGCATGGTGGAAAAATACTACATCTGCACAGTGTAAAGAGGATTTGAAGAATAAAACTATGGGTTATGTAGTCACTGTATCAGTATGAATTATGGTTTATGAGAGGTTCAGATCTTTGATTTCTCAAATTTTACATTTGGTCAACAAGATCACACATAGATCACAAATCATTAATAACAATTGAATCCATCATTGAAGTTAAATAATAAATTGAATGAATAGATCCTTGAAGATCAATCACACAACATTTAATCAATAATACACAGCATCATCCATTTTGAATCAATTACTAATCAAGAAATTTGATTTTTTATTAAGAGTGTCACCATATAAGCTAATCTATATGAGAATTGATCATCCTCATCTCTTATGGAGCTTCAATTATTTTTATCATCATAAAGTCATTTTAGCAGTATTAGGTCACTCACACCAGCCTCTCTATCACAGACAAAATTTGTTTTATGTGCTTTATGTGACACTAAGGGTACTCAAAGCAAGGATGTGGCGCTACATATGTGGCACCACATACTTTCAAATTTTGTTTTTGACAGGCAAAATGACCTACGCTGACATTGCAATTTGCCAAATATAATTCAATATGTCCTGTTCTTCAACTTGTTATGGTAATTTCCGTGTCAAAAATGAAATTTGAAAAGTATGTGACGCCAGATATGTGGCGCCACATAGTACTTTGAGTACCCTTACTGTCATCATGGAATAACATTCTGTGAGAGTGTTGAGTTTGTTTTTCTGTATCTGACTTGACTGGAATAACACTTCAATTGTGTTGAGATTATGAATTGACTTGAATAATAATAGCAAGTATTGAGATTATTTTCCCCTCCTATCCCAAAGAACTCAGCAAGCTCTTCTGTGTTGATTCTTTCGAAGAGGCAGTCTTAGGTACATGATGTTGTTTTGATAGATGTGCAAATTTGGAGTCCTCACCATTGCATCCTGAGTGGTCTAGGGCCCCACTACAACTTGATTCTTAGCCCCTAGACTTTCAGTTTGAAAACAACAACAAGGAAACTTGGGACATTAGATGAATCTCTGTTGAATGATCTGCCACATTGTTTTTTGTAAGAGTTGACAAATATTCTCCCAAGAGTTTTAAATTGATAACTTTTTTGTGTATGTATCAATCAGAATCAATTTTTATTGAAATGAAAGGAAATATTTATCTTCATTCACCAAAACCAAGTGATCTCCTGAGATATAGACAAAGGAGTGAAGCACAGAAAGGCTCGAGCAAACTGAAGTTCTACTCACGTTGTGCCACCAAATTAACCATCTTTCCTTGGCGAACGAGAGTGCAAAAGCGTCCCAAGGGATTGAAATTCAAGCATGTGTCAGTGTGCGCTTAGTAACTGAAAGTCAATATTGATATCAAATTGTGAAGTCTAACCCCAACATGCGTCAGGTCAAACCAAGTCAGATGTTTCAACCCTGAACATATATGAAATGTCGATCCTGATCAGATCACCGGTTATGTACTGATCATCAAATATTGTTTTTGTTTGAGATTCAGAACCACATGAGAATACATCGTAAGCTTGAGTATTTATGTAGATATCAAAATGTTTCAGGGTTTTCACAACGTGATATCACGATGAATCACTTTGGCTTTCTCTGAAGTTAAGAAGGACTGAAGGTGTTTGATCGATCATCAAATTGATCAGTCTTGATATTATGGTAGTCATCTCGTGCCAAGAATGCTGCGCTTGTGATAGATATGTTATGTCAATGTGTAAAGGGTGATTGATTCTTCTTGTGATTCTTATGAATTCATCCAACTTCTTGTTCTTCTATTGAATTCCCCTTTTTGAATATGAATGGGTTGTTGATGGAGATGGAGATGGAGATTTGAAATGGTCAAAAGGTTGATTTTATTTGATTGTATTTTGATTTTTGAGTTTTTGATTTGACTGTATCGATAAGATTGCTTATGATAAGTGGTGTTTGTTTGGTGTTGAATTTAATTTAATTTTAGATATTATGTACATCTTAGACTGTATTGTTCTTTTAATGATTTCTTCTGATTCTGATTTGATCTCATTCATCTCTTCAACTTCGGACCCTACAGGCTACAACACCATCAATCCATTTCATCAAATCATCAATCAACAATCGAATCCAACATTCAAACCTTTACTCTCCCAATCACAATTCAATTTAATCAATCAATTTCCACCATTCTTCAAGTTCTCTCATGAATCAAGCTGAGCAAGATGAGGGTGGTGGTTCATCTGCTCGCCGCCCTATGACCGCTTCAAGACCTATGACATCGGCTTCTCGTACTCGTAGACCAATCACTGCTCAAGTACAAGATCAGAATCCGCAATATTATGAAGAAGAAGAAGAATGGGATGAAGAAGATGATGAAGATGAAGGAATGTTTTCATTTGCACCACCACCTGAATCGGAATCTATTCCTACCCAACCTCTTCCGACTACTCTCACTCCTTCAACTCTTCAAAGTCCAGCTCCCATTTATTATCAAGCTAATTCTCATTCTCAGCAACCTTCGGTTTGGTCTCAAAATGCGTTATACGAACAGCAACAGCAGAGAGCTATCGAGTTGGCCAAAATTCAACATTCAAATCCTTACCAGGCTTTTCAACAATCAAACTCTCTTCATTCATATTCAATGTCTCCATCTGATCCTTCAACCAGTCCGATCGCTCCTACTTATCCTCCTGCACATTCTCCTATCAGTCCTTCAGCCGCCATCGCCGCTCAGTATCAGCAAAACCCTGAAACTCGACATCGAAAAGGTGGCCCTAATTCAGCCTCTTCTCCACCTTCTAGTTTGCAGTCACGTGCCTTCACTTCCGCCATTCCTACCAAAGCTACTACTCCCAACACAGTCGATGAGGCTCCCGTCATTCAACTTCGGTCTGGCTTCAATGCCGTCAGCTGGCGTGCTGCTCGGGATGGTGATGTTGATTCATTTAAATCTGGATCAAGTCATAGCCTACATAAGCTAGACTATTATTCAGATCCACTTGATCAGCATCGTACTGCAGATAGCCCTCTTGATGCAAATCGTGGTCCTTCAAGTGTGAAAATGACAGAGCTTAGTAAACGTGGACTGAGTGGTAATGAGAGTGTCAATGGGTCGACTGACTACCGGTTCCCTCAACTGTCTTCGGGCGTCGGCCGTCCTACTTCAGGTGGTGAAATGAAGGGTTATGCTGAATCGCATTCACGCCTAACCACTGGTGTGGATGGCTATAACTTGGAAGACTTTGATATGGACGAGGAAGATTCACCTTATCCAGAGGTCCGTGCCTCGGTTTCCAACATCGACGACCCCGAGATGCCTTGCCTGACATTTCGAGCTTGGCTACTCGGTATCTTCTTCGTCATCATCTGTGGTGCATTCAACATGTTCTTTCAACTTCGTTACCCGGCTCCAACTATCACACCTGTTGTAATTCAAATCATCTCCTACCCAGCTGGTAAGCTTTGTGCATCGTTACTACCGGATACAGTTTACCGGATGCCTGGTGGCTCTGATCGACCCAAGCGTTCCGGCGTGTTTGGCATTCTCGATCGAATCTGGCCTAGCTGGCTTGCGGCAGGCTCCGAATGGTCCCTTAACCCAGGCCCCTTCAATATCAAAGAACATACAGTAATTGCAATCATGGCCAATGCAGCTGTCGGACCTGTCTATGCGGTCAACACAACACTTGTCATGGAAAAGTTTTATCATAGGGCACCAGGACTTGGGATTGATTTTTGTTTAGCACTTGCTACTCAGCTTTTAGGATTTTCTTTAGCTGGTCTCACACGACGGTTTTTGATTTGGCCAGCTTCAATGATTTGGCCTAGTAATTTAGTAGTCTGTACTTTGTTAAATACGTTTCATGCAGAAGATGATGATGGTTCAGATGGAAGTTTGACTCGATTTAAGTTTTTCATGTATGTTGCAATTGGAGCATTTGTGTGGTATTGGGTGCCTGGTAAGATTCGATTATTCGATTGGAATGGAAAACCCAAGTGGAATAAGTCCAAAATATTAATATTTTGTTATCACTCTCTGTTACATAGGTTATCTCTTTACCGCCTTATCGACATTCTCATGGGTTTGTTGGATAGCACCTCGTACGTTTTCTTCATTTGACGCATACATGTAGAACGTTATGTATTATGTGTCTGACATGCTGTACGGTAAACAGGGAATCGACTCATCAATCAACTCTTTGGGAGTGTCACCGGTTTGGGCTTGGGCATCTTGACTTTTGACTGGTCTCAGATAGCTTACATCAACTCACCTTTAATTACCCCTTGGTGGGCTGAGGTCAACATCTTTTGCGGTTTTGCATTCTTCTTTTGGTTTTTAGGTCCACTTCTTTACTACACAAATGTAAAGCGTTTTACCATTTCATTCCAAACTCTCCTGATCGCTCGACGTCAGATCACTGACTTAAAATCAATCCTTTGACTGAAACTTAGACTTGGCAACAAGCTTATTTACCGATAGGTGGTACATCAGTCTATGATCGATATGGAAAACCATATAATACGAGTCGAGTAGTAGACTTACGTACAGGACTTTTAAATTTAACAGCTTATCATGAATATTCACCACTTTTCCTCCCCACAACCTTTACAGCTGTTTATTCAATTGCATTTGCTTTAGCTACCTCAGCTATCGTTCATACCTTTTTATACCATGGTCATTCGATTTGGGATAAAGTCAAAAATATTAAAACTGAAGATGAAGATGTACATGCTAAGTTGATGAGAAATTATCCTGAAGTACCTGATTGGTGGTATTGGAGTTATTTTTTCCTTTTCACTGGGTTTAGTGTGATTGTTATTGAGGTGAGAAACTTTATAACATTTGAAAACACAATAAATATTTTTTGGTAAACAGAGTAAAACTTATAAAACTTGTTTTGATTGCTTTACAGGCTTATGCTACTGGTTTACCGATTTGGGGATTGTTTTTGGCTTTATCAGTTGCACTTGTTTATGTTTTACCAGGTGGATTTATCTTTGCTATGACAAGTCAACAAATCTCAATTAATTTGGTAGCCGAAATCATCCCAGGTTATCTTTTTCCAGGCAAACCGTTTGCCAATATGGTTAGTTTCTTTTTGTCTCTCAATTCTCTTTCGCCATATCGTTCGAAATACTTATAGACTTTTTCATTTTCATTTGTTTTCCTTAGCTGTTCAAGACATTCAGTGTACAATCTCTCTTTGTAGCAATGTCTTTCATTCAGGATCTTAAATTAGGACATTATATGAAGATCCCACCTAGGGTGACATTTGTGGTTCAAATCCTGGCTGCTATTTCTTCTGCTATCGTTCAAGTTGGAGTTAAAGAATTCTTGGTGGCCACCGTACCTGATCTTTGTGATAAACATCAAGCGAACCTACTTACATGTCCTAACAGTTCAGTCTTCTATTCAGCTTCAGTTCTATGGTAAGTTTGAATGTTTTTTTCTATCTTTTCTTACTATATGGAAATTGACATGGAGATCTTGATTTGGTAAAAATAGGGGATTATTAGGACCACAACGACAATTTGGAGAAGGAACAATATATAGACCAATTGTATATTTTACTATCATTGGTGGTTTGATTCCAATTCCATTTTATCTATTTACGAAACGATGGCCAAATAGTTGGTTAAAGTATGTAAATATCCCAGTACTTTTGGTGGGTGCTTGTTGGATCCCTCCAGCTACTGCAATTAATTATACGTCTTGGATTATCGTTGGTTTTATCTTTCGTTGAGTTTCCAAAACTTCATCTTCTTTCTTTATCTGAGCTCTTATTGGGCTGAATGCTAATTTGATCTTTTTTTCCGGAGGTAATAGAATATGTTTTTAGAAGAACTAAGTTTCGTTGGTGGAGTAAATATAATTTTGTACTTTCGGCTGGATTAGATGTTGGAACGGTGATTAGTGCGATTGTGATCTTCTTAACCGTTCAATTGTTTAGACCTGGATCAGATGGTACATTAAATTGGTGGGGTAATACAGTTTATGTCAAGTTGAGTCTTTTTTGGCTCTTTTACTTTCCATCTTAAAGATCGAGATTTGATTACTTACTATGAATTGGTTTATTTTGGTTAGTACGGATGATTTTGATGGAGTTCCTTTGATTGATCCACCTATTGATGGATTCGGACCATTAACTTGGGTGTAAAATTTAATGAGACGATTTTTTTATAGATTTTGTTTTTGTTTTTGTTTTTTGATGAATCAATGGGGTTTTGTTAAGAAAAAAATGAGTAAAGAAGTTGGATGAGTTTTTTAAATGATTAGAAAAGAAAAGAAAAGGAAATTGATCGAAAGCTTGTTTATGTATGGGTGGGTGTTTTTTTTTTGATCTAAACATTAGATACAAAATTTGTTATGTTGTGTGTGTGTGTGTTGTGTTGTTCTCTCTATCGGTCAAATCTTTGGTTTTATCGTCGTCCTTTTTTTTCCTCCTTTACTTTCTTTTCTTTTCTTTACTCACTATACTCTTATATCTTTTTGCTTTTTTTACTGCTTTTTTTTTGGTTCATTTCTTTTTATCTTCCTCTTTTAAAGAGGTATGATTTTTTTTCCTTTGTTTTGGTTGTTTTTCTAATTTGGGGAAAAAGAGAAAAAAAAACAGAAGGGAAATTTATTTCATAAAAGGATCATCTAAGGGTTTTTTTTTCTTTTTCTTTTGCTTTTTGGTTCTTACAAATTTATATAGTGGATTTTTTTTTCAATATATAGATCAAAGGGTTTTCTTTCTTTCTTTTGTGATTGTATAGTGTTTGTAGTGTTTTTAAGTGTTTTTTTTTTCCTTTCTTTCCTTGTGGGATGTTTGTGTTTGATGTGTTTTTGTGTTTTTGTTTGTTGAATTACAAAACTTATGTTGAATATTTCATTTTTTTCATTTTTCTTTCCTTTTTACATTTCTAAACAAAAACTATCAATCAAGACATATACTACCAAGATGGAAATAGGAATGAGAATCAGGATGAGAACAAAATCAGAAACTTTAGGGGCTCTCAAACCTGACCTGGTTTCAAAAAACCCAGTTGACCCAGTTGACTTTTTGGCTGGGAGCTGTCAATAAATGTCAAATTTATATACAAAGTTACTGCCAAAAAGTCAACTGGGTCAACTGGGTTTTTGAAAACCGGGTCAGGTTTGAGAGCCCCTTTTGATTAGGTTTGGGGTGGTACACTGTATTAACAGGGGGAAAATGGCAGGGTGCAGGTTCAGATGTGGCAAAGATGATGGGACAGATAACTCCTCTGAGATGAGCAACAATAAGGGTACACAAACATTACAACCCATTTGAAAAACCCATTTGAGAAAAAATAGAAAAACCCATTTAAAAAATTATTTTTTTGAACAGAAAAATAAATTGGGTCCCTCTGGAATTTTCTGTTCAAAAAAATATTTTTTTGAATGGGTTTTTATATTTTTTCTTAAATGGGTTTTTCAAATGGGTTGTAATGTTTGTGTACCCTTAATGTACTAAGACCAAAAGAACCCCAATGAGTTTAACCTAGCAGCTCTCCTTTCTAGTACCATGTCCTATTGTTGTGCCACTGCATAGTTTCTCATTCTTTGTCTCCCAAAAAAATATACAAAATTAAAAAATTGTTCTGTTCATCCACCAATAATTCATAGTCAGAGCTATAGTAATCCAGATTATCATCATACAGTTTGTAGTCATGTAACTCATTTCTCTTTCTCAGTATTGCCATAATTCCCTTCAGTTCAAATTATACACTTCTCAATTCTCCTCAAAAACAACATCTATCTTTTCAATTTTCAAAATCCTGCCCAACATCACTCTTTGTCAGACAAAGGTCCAGAAGGTACCACTACCAGCAACATGCACTCCTCCAATTTAAATAGACACAATCTTTTCTTCTTTTTATATTATATCAACTTCACAGAAAAAGAAAAAAATATGCAATGATTATTTGGGCTTCAGGGCCACTCAGGGTAAACCCCAACTGTCCGTAGCCAAAAACAAACCCCAGGGTACTGGCCCCAGGACCAGCCATTGATGAAATTTGACTATAGCAACTGTAAAAATGATGCATTGACTGGTGTAATCATGAGTAGTTGATTTTGTGCATTGGTGTTTGAGATTAGTGGCCCAAAACTTCTATTGCATCCTTCAAAACATACTTGAATGGTATAATCAGGGTATCAAGCCAAAAATCCTAGAATAATAACCAGTTGCATCTTGATCCTTGTGAACTGTATTGTGCAATTTATCACAAGGCATGACAAAGTTGGCTCCAAATGTGATTCTATTGGGTGAATTGAAGAAAGATTTTGAAGACCACAAGATACCATATCTAGCACAAATCTCAACATTGAATCAGAAATTACCAAGGGCAAGAGAAGTAAATTGCCCAGCTAGAAAGTAATGAAGATATGGGAGATTGGTTTGGTGTTTGAGGCATTCATCCATGAGTAGCACAGAACAATCAGTCACTCAATTGAGGTGATATAGTCATGGGATCACACAAAATCAAATATAAAACAATTGCTAAGGTAGGATAGTATTCCAAATCACTTACCTTTGGCAAATCCTTTGAGATAAATAGGTCTTCTTGTAATTTCAAACAGAGCTCCTATTATGCTCCACCTGACTCTGATTGTTGGTTGATACTGTTTTCTTCCTGGTGCAACAAGGTGACCACGGTAGTCTGATGCTATTGCACTTACAACTCTTCTCAACCTTGTCTTTGAATGACTTGTATCAAGAAGCAAGTCCTAATTGATCATGCCAGGATTAAAGGAGTGATCCCTTGCAATACCCAATTTTGGGGTGTCCCTTTGATGAGATCTCTTTGCCAGTAAGATATGCTCTGCTTTGCAGTTCTTTTCACGTTCAAGTGCAAGTTGCAACTAGCCTTAATCAACAGCAAAATCTGGCCCCGAGAGAGTCCTACCCCAGGGTCAAGGCAGCTTTTGGGACTGTCCGACGTGTGCCCCGGGCTCATGATCAGGGTACGGGTCCGAGAGAGAATTAGTTCACTCGATCTCAATTCATATTCTCGATCACTGACACCATCGCGTCTCAACTTGAACTTACTCAAAGGAACACTCCTCAAATGTCATCGAACGAAAAAAAATCAAAAACACTAGATTCATTTACTTCAATCTTCCCTATCACTGCTGAATTATCAACTTTATTCAACTCAATAGATTGTCTATCGAATGATCCAGAACACCTGCTAGCAGAACAAGATTTATTAATCAATCCGAACAATCAAACTCAATGGTTAAATCATATTAAAAACTTGACTGAATCAATTCAAAGGGAAATTTTAGAACAAAGGGGTAAAATTGACGAGATCGAAATCGAATTATTAGGTCAAAACTTATCATCTGAAATCGGTCGTAAAGGTTATCAAATCTTAGTTTCAGTTTATGAAAGATGTTTAATTTATTTCCCTCAATCTTTTCAACTTTGGAATGATTATCTTCAGATGCGACAATCTTTCATTTTAGGTAAACCTACGCATAAATTCAATCCAAAGGTTAATAAGAAGAGAAGATCAGACGGAACCAATGGTGAAGGATTAAACGTACTAGATTATTTGATGAAAAAAGATGAAGAATTAGAAGAAAATGAACGTGATATGGATGGTGGTCAATGGGAAGGATGGTTAGACAGTAGTTTAGGTTGGTGTGAATGGAAAGCACTTGCTAGTGCTCATGAGCGAGCATTAATTTGGCTTCCCAAGGTTTGTTTTTGTCCTTTTCATTCATTCAATTCACTCAGAATCGCTAACAGTTTTTTTACCATTTTTCGGTTTCTAGATGCCAAGACTTTGGTTATCTTATTTAACTCTCTTGACTCATCCAGCTTGTCCTGCACCTTTATCTCTAAGCCATACTCGTCATACTTTCGATCGAGCCTTAAGAACTTTACCTCATAGTTTACACGAAAGGATCTGGAAACCTTATTTGAGATGGTCAGAAAAAGTAGCAGGTGGTGAAACTTGTGTAAGAGTATGGAGAAGATACTTATCGGTGGATCCTTCTTTAACCGCTCATTATGTTGAATTCTTAGTCAAAGAAGCAGAAGACTCTATCGAGGATGAAGAAGATGAGGATGAAGAAGATGAAGATGATGAAGATGATGATGTCAAAGACTCTGGTACAAAGAGACCTCATAAAGCTTTGATTGCTGCTAAGTTACTTTTAGGATTAGTTCGAAAAGCTAGAAAAGGAAAATATAAATCCCCGGATGGAAAGAGTCCTTATCAGATGTTGATTGAGTTTATGGAGTTATGTGAAAGGTTTCCTAATCAAATCGGTATCAATTTGAAAACGATGGAACGAATGAGACTTCAAGCAAGCGAACCAAAGGTGACCGAGGAATCATCGAAAGTGCCAAACGACAGCTCAGCACCTCAACCTGCTGACGGGTCTGCACCATTCCAAGGTTTGGTCAGATTCGCTGGTCCACCTACGGCTGTTCAGGGTAAAGGTTGGACTCCACGTCCCGACCCTAGACTGGCAGATCAAACAGAAGCATATGACCCCAACACCGACCCTTCAAACCCTCAAAAACTTGATATTGAAAAAATCATCGAATTAGAAGGTTTCAATGTTTATAAAGATCAACTAGGACTGATTTATAGTAACTTAGCTACCTATTGGATCAAGAAAACCGAATTTGAAAAAGCTAAAGAGGTCTTCGAAACAGGAATTAGTAAAGTATTAACCATTCGAGATTTCACCACAATCTTTGATGCATATGCCGAATTCTCAGAACAATATATTTCATCTTTGATGGAATCAATTTCAAATGAAGAAGAAGATAATGAAGAAGAAGAAAAAGAATTAGATTTGAAGATGAAACAATTTGAAGAATTAATGGATCGACGACCGTTTCTGGTAAATGATGTTTTATTAAGAAGAAATCCAAATGATGTACAAGAATGGGAAAAACGTATTGTTTTGTTTGATAAAGATCAAGATGAAAAAATTGTGGAAACTTATGTTAAAGCTATTGAGACTATTAATCCTAAAAAAGCTACAGCTAATTTCAATCAACTGTTTGTTAATTTTGCTAAATGGTATGAAGAATCTGGTTTGAGTGCTAATATGGGTACAGATGATGGGGGTGAAGGGGTTCCTGATCTTGTGAATGCTAGAAAGGTTTTTGAAAGGGCTGTCAAGGTTAATTTTCAACGGGTGGATGACTTGGCCGAAATATGGATTGAGTGGGCAGAGATGGAAGTAAGGAATGAGTTAGTACATTTTTTCCACTTTCTTGATATATTCTATTTGTTCGGTACAATTGCTCCAACTGATCATGTATCTTTTCGAAACCATCTTTCATCAGGAATTACACCGAAGCTTTGAAGGTGATGCAAAGAGCTACGATGATACCAGTTGATTGGAAAAAGAAACAAATTAGTTTCCATGATGAATCTTTACCTGTACAATCCAGATTGTTCAAGTCGCTTAAACTTTGGTCATTTCGAGTGGATTTAGAAGAATCGATCGGAACGGTTGAATCTACACAAAAAGCGTATGATTCAATCTTTGAATTAAAAATTGCTAACGCTCAAGTAAGTCAACTTCTTTCAAATGCCTAGGTTATGACAAAATTGGATTGATCTCATGCTTTCACATTTTGTTTTTGATAGATTGTCATTAATTATGCAAATTTTTTAGAAGAAAATGAATATTGGGAAGAATCATTCAAAGTATATGAAAGAGGAATTGAATTATTTTCATTTCCAATCGTATTTGAAATTTGGAATACATATTTAATTAGATTTATAAAGAGATATCAAGGCAATAAGATTGAAAGAGCAAGAGATCTATTTGAACAAGCCTTAGAGAATTGTCCAGAAAAGTTTATTAAACCGATCTTTTTACTTTATGCTGAACTTGAAGAGAATTATGGTTTGGCTAAAAGAGCTATGAGTGTACTTGAAAGAGCTACTACTAAAGTTGCTTTAACTGAAAGATTTGATGTAAGTTTCTCTTTTTACTCGGTTCTTGCATTGAGATATGATTGCTTAGATACTCACTCGGTGTTTTGTTAATTTAGATGTTTACATATTATATTGCAAAAGCAACTGAAAACTTTGGTTTACCTGCTACTCGTTCAATTTATCAACGTGCAATTGAATGTTTACCGAATAACCAAACAGCTGAAATGTGTTTAAGATTTGCTTCATTAGAACAAAAATTAGGTGAAATTGACAGAGCTCGTGCTAGTAAGTTTTTACACTTTCTGATTTGATTCCCCATCCATTCTATTTACACTTCATGCAAAATAAATGTTTTGATTGATATCTCTGATGACCTTCTTTTTCTTTTCTTGTTCAGTTTATGCACACGCTTCTCAATTTTGTGATCCACGTACTGCTCCAGAATTTTGGGAAACTTATCATACTTTTGAAATTCAACATGGAAGTGAAGATACATTTAGAGAAGTAAGTTGATCTAAGAAAACCAAATTATCTCCAATCACCTTGACTTAAATTGATAAATCTTGTGTTTCTCGAATTGAATAGATGTTGAGAATTAAAAGAGCAGTACAAGCTTCATTTAATACAGAAACATCTTATCTAGCTGCTAAAGCTGCAGCAGCTAGAGCTGGAACTTTGAAAGTTTTACAACAACAAGATGCGATGACACAGTTAGCTAATGGAGCTCAAGAGAAACCTACAATGGCTTTTGTTCCGTATGTGATTTTTTTGATGAGTTTTTATTTGAGTGCTCGGGTTCTGATGATTAATCTGCTTTGTATTATTATTAGATCGAGTAAGAATCCTGTTGTGGCCGAAGAGGAAAAAAGTGGGAATGCAGATGAGATTGAAATTGATGATGAAGATGAAGAATAAAAGAGTGATAGAGATTATATGTATATAGGTCGAAACCAAAGGAAATTTGTTGCAAATAGTTTGACAAAAGATTGGATGATAATCAAAAAATGAAATTATATTCACTTGAGAAAGGAATTTTAGACCTTGTACATCCTCATCTGGTGATTCTTGATGAGCCACATAGATGTTACATTTTGGGGAAAAAAGTTTGATAGATGAAAGCAAAGTATGCATGCTATATACATGAAATTTGACCAATATTCCCTTCATGACATGAACAAATTGACGGTGGATTTGTAATGTTATAACAAGCTTTATGAAAGTGGTGTACTTCGACTGAATTTGTTGACTTTACAATAGACACGGGAAAATTTATCTAGGAATATCCAACCAACTTGATCTAATGTGGTATGACCTCTTTGTTCTCTAGATGTCTCAAGAGTTCTCGATTCAAGATTGGGTTTTTGTTTGTAGCTCATTTGAAAGGTTTTTCATTGATGATAACTTTTTGTTTGGTGTTGGCCAAAATTAAGCCTTCGCTTACGTCTGCTAACTTGTCTTGGTGACACATACAGCTTCAGATGTTTAGCAAGTTCTTCGTTGGTTACATACCATTGTCCATCAGCAGATGTGAGACTGACGGAAATATGTTAAGTTGAATGTATCGTGCCTCCAAAACTCTTTGATCACAAGAAATTAATCAATCTAACCGCCTTGGAACTCAAAAATCGATAGCACTCCATATTGTCCGTAAAACAATGTCGATCCCTACTCTACCGAGCCGCTAGGTGTAGGTTTTCACTGCGGTAGCCAGCTGGGCCGAGCTAAAGAGGAGATGAAAAAGAATAACGAATGAATAATAGCTAGTCTAGATTAAAATGCAAGTCGACCTTTTGACAAACTTTTCACGCAAGATGTGATTTTATTCGAACTGAGTCTGCCTGGCTCTCATAAACAAAACTTACATTAGTGGTTCAAACTAACCAATCGACTCTCTTTTTGTGTCTCTATGTCTCAGTCTTTCCATCTTTTCAGTTGTAGAACGCCTTCCCAGAGATAGCTAGCAGTCGGTACAGAGATCGATAATTTTGCCTGGGGATCGCAGTCCGCTTACTTTTTCGTATATAAGTCTTCACTTTATCTAACTTGTTCTGTTTTTTCCTCATCCTAGCATCACAACATCACATCTTCACTTCGCAAGTCGAACTTTCTAACTTATATCTTATTTTTTCAAGAGCCGTGCTCTTTTTCTCATTTACATTAATTTTATTACTATTTCTTTTATTTACTTCATTCACTTCATTTCATAGTTAAATTTACATTTGATTTATATTTCAATCGTTATATACTTAACCCAAAAAGATGCATTCTACTTCTCTCTTAGCTATGGTCTTGGCCTCAATTGCCTGCTCTAACGTTCTCGCCACCCCCATCCCTACTCCTCAAGGTTACGCTCAAGGAGGCCAACGAATTTCTCAAGCTACTGGCTTTGGAGCAGGCGTAGGAGCTGGTGTCGGAGCTGGCGTCGGAGCCGGTGTCGGAGCCGGTGTGGGAGCCGGTGTAGGAGCCGGTGTAGGAGCTGGATTTGGAGCTGGCGCCGGTTTCGGTCAGGAGGTTGGCTTCGAGCAAGGTGCTGGGTTTGGCGCTGGTGTTGGAGCTGGTGTAGGAGCCGGTGTAGGAGCTGGATTTGGTGCAGGGGCTGGGTTCGGCGCGGGTGCTGGATTTGGTGAAGAATTCGGTCAATCCGTTGGAGCAGGTTTCGGAGCAGGTGCCGGTTTTGAAGCAGGCGCTGGTATAGGCGCTGGCAGCGTAAGTGCCTTCCTCCTGATCTTCTCACTCAAAACCTTTCACTCATTTGCCTTTTCTTATTTTATCTAGTTCTTCAAACGAAGTGAAGGCAAATCTGAGGCTCGCGAGACTTACACTTCAGGAGAAAATGAGGATGACAATGAAGAAGATGGTGAGGACAACAACGAAGACAACGATGCCGAGAATGAGGCTGAAGAAGTGAGTCATAGATGCTTTGAGATGCTCTCTCTTTGCAAATTATTTGTCTCTAAACGTTGTTTTCTTTTTTTAAACAGACACCTGAGGCGTACACAAAGGGCGAAAGCTCCCCACAATCCTCAAGTGTCCGGACCTCACCTCAATCTTCAAGTGTTGGAACTTTAGCTCAGTCCCCAAATCTTGGAACTTCGTCAAGCGTAGGAATCCAACCACATTCCTCACCAAGCTCCCAATTACAACCTTCAAGCATTGGAAGCCAAACCCAATACTCTGGAAGCCAGCGAGCAACGCAAACAGTAAGTCTCCATCCCCCAAAATGCCACCGAATAATACAGTTCCTAATCCGACATTTCCGCATCTAGCCACAAGCTGCACACCTCAACACTCGTCAATTCGAGCCCAACTTTGGTCAAGGATTTGAGGGTGATGCCGCATTCCAAGCTGGCTTAGGAGCAGGATTTGGAGAAGAAGCAGGCCGACATGGTCAGGGTCGCCACCAACCCGGACAACCTGGATACGAACAATTCGGCCCAGGATTCCCACCACACCAGGGTGGTCAAGGCTTGTACCCACCCGGTATGCTCCCACCTCAAGGCGGTCAGGGATTTCCTCAACCCGGTCAAGGATTTCCTCAACCCGGTCAGGGATTCCCTCAACCCGGTCAAGGCATTCCTGGTCAAGGTATCCCTGGTCAAGGTATCCCCGGTCAAGGTATCCCCGGTCAAGGTATCCCCGGTCAAGGTATCCCCGGTCAAGGTATCCCCGGTCAAGGTGTTTCTGGACAAGTTGCTCCTGGACAAGGTGCTCCTGGACAAGGCCGTCAGACTGCCGCTCAACCTGGCCAATCACCAGTCCCTCAAGGACTTCCTCAGTCCGCTCAAGGCATCCCACAGCAAAACCGAGAAGGTTACACTCGTGGTTCAACTCACCCACCCACGACTGCCAATGGTCAACCCCCTATCGTTCAATAATATCGTCAACAGCGATTAAATTGAATTTCCTACTGCCTACCTGCTCTTGTGTTTTGAGACTTTATGACTTATGATGACTTGTGATGATGCAATTGTGACTTTGTTCCTATGATGTATGCCCTTTCACGAAATTTATGACGACCTTTTCATTTACACATTCTTGAGCATTGAGTGGCTATTTTCAATGACTGATTAAGCAAGTCAAATCCCTTGAATCCCCAACACACTTGCCCTTACCGAGTTGATACTCTTTCAGTTCAAGTATATCATCGAACATATCTTCGCCGCTTGCCCGTTCGCAATGAATCTGTTTTAAAAGCTGAAGAGGCGAAACACACCCCCTTCATTCGATATCTCATAATGTCGTCGCGACGAATTAAACAACTATCTTTCGAACCGCCAACTGGTTCTCATTTTAGGTTCAAAAGCCAACTCCCTAGATTGTCATTCAACTATATTTTTTATACTTGGGCCGCGGAAAGTTCTCGACATGACTCATGTCAAGTTAATGATGTGCCTTGGCCTATTCATACTTGCAAAAACATTTTGCAGTCTTGTCACTGAAATTTCCCCACCAAAACGCAACTAAAACACGAGCGACGCGCTCTAATGGCCACATATACAGGTTTTGTAGTGTATCGCTACCCGACAAATTTCCAAAAGAGCACAAACTGAGAATTTGAAACTTCCATTTCCAATGTATCTTCAACACCACTTTCCTTTTTGCTAATCTCATTTAAGTCTATGTATCATGTCCAGATCAGCGCTTTTTAGCTGGTTTCTTCTTTCTTTCTTTCCTTTCTTCTTCCTCACTATCAATCGAAACATCTGATTCACTTTCATCTCGTCGTTTCTTTTGTTTCCCATTAGCTTCACCTCCTTTTTTCTTGTTCATATCTGATCTAGCAGCAGATTTCTCTTGATCTGACCAATCTTCAGCAGATGAACCATCACTTGCAGATGAACCAGAAGCTGTACCAGATGAACCTGACGCATCTTCGTCAAAGGCTGAACCCGAATCAGAAGCTGAGCTAGATTCTACCTCAAGATCAGACACCTCAAACGCGGACTAAAGAAGAATAATCAAATTTATGAGATTTGACCAAATTCAAAGGTAAGAAAGTAATTGAACAACATCAGGTCAGTTACTTACGTCTTCGTCTTCTTCGTCTTCTTCGTCTTCCTCATCATCAGATTGCGAGTTCAAGAAGCTCCATCCACCCTCTTTGAAAAATTCGTATGGCTAGAGAGAGAGCGCAATCAATAACATATTCACCTTTACTCCGAAACCAAAAATCACAGAGTGGTATACTTACGTCATCTGTGACTGTCTTCATGATCGCTGTCCAGTTCAAGTTGACCGGACCCTCCGAGAAGGGAATATCGCACGAGTCGATCCACTCTTTAACATTTTCCAATTGTCCGCTAGGAATTGTGTTACTGAAATAATGCAAAAGATGAAAGATATGAAAACCCTGTAGACTTTCCAAGATACTCAAATTTGGTACATACATATGAACCGGTGTCCTGGTGAAGTCTTTGAAAACAAAGACAATATCAAAGTTTTTCAGACCATACTGAATTCTTTCCAAGTGAACAACTTCAACTTCAGTTGTAGTAATGACTAGGAAAGGCGGCTCGACTAAATGAACCAAACAATCTGTTGTAGGTTGCAAGAGAACACTAGAACGGAAGGGGACACCCTGAAATGCCAATTCCCGATATGGAATCTCCACCTCAAGGCGACCATCTGATGCATCTGCGATTTTATCGGCAAACATCTTGAAGTGTTTATTTAGATCTGCACGCTTCTTCCTCTCTTCCTGTTCGGCGTCGATTTCATCTTCGTCACCACCGTTTTGTTGTCGACGTCGCTTACGGTTTCCAGTTTCGTCAAATGCAGCTTCCGATGCTTCACGATAGAATTGAACATCTTTCACTTTTTTCTTACCAATGAAAATGGGTGATTTGAGGTGAACATGTAGAATTACAATCAATTCTTGGTCACATGGCTGAAAAAACAAATGTTGCATATTATTGAACAGTATGTCTGTCATTCAATTTTCGTCAGTTACAGTTCACGCGGCTGCTTGATAACTTTTGAGACTTGAACGCGACAACGAACCTATGCGATGATCATTTCTAAGGCTCGATTGATAGCGTATACCGTTTTGATGAATTTCTACATCCCCTGCTTGCCGTTTACCGTCAAAGGATGGCCTGACTGAGATGTCCAACATCTTGATTGGTCGCTTGGTTCGAAGTTCTATCAGTTGATCTTGGTCCACAACATCCGCCTTCTCCGCCTGATCCTTTTCTCGTTTCAGGACTGCCTTCTTCAAATCCATGATTTGCTTATGAACCTCATTCATATGATCCTGATCTGTACTGCGATATGTCAAACCACGGATAAAGGTTGCATTGGGATCTTCGAAAGGGGTATCTTCTTTTTTGCCAGTGATTTGACCAGGTGCAATGAACATGAATCTTAGAACGGTGTATTCTCCTTCTTCCTGTTTCACAACGTTCTTGAGTGTGTTGATGTGGAATGGGACTGCAAAACCGTTGATAGGAAGAAGAAAACTTCGCTTGTTGAGCTCAACGACGATCTGGGAGTTGAAAGTGAAGAATCAATACCAAGTGTCCAAGGCTCTTGAGTTTGTAGTGAGACTGACCTTCAAACTGGCGACCGCGCTTGGTAAATCGCGTTCTCTTTGGAAACTTTCAAACCGTTTCCACTGTTTGACAACAGTTCCCTTTCCAGTGCCGTCGTCTTCAGCGTACTTGCTTAATCCATCTTCCTGACGTCGCTCAGCCAACTCCCTTTGATGAATTTTTCGCTTCACGGTAGCCTCATTATCGATCTCTTTCCCATCATTACGCAATCGACCTTTCCGAGAGGTAGTCATGACTGCTGCACCACTCTTACGCGGTGAGCCGTGTTTTTTGGAAGAGGACGCTGGTTTGTTGTCGGTATTTCGGGACCCCGAAGCATTCGATTTGGCCGCATTTTTTGGCTTGTCATTAAAGAAGAAAGCGACCTCTGTCAACTCCTTCAACCCATCACTTAGGATGCTAGACGAATCTTCCTTGACGACTATCGTGTCGATCAGCTGTAGTGAATAGCTCTTGGACGAGTCCAAAGGATCTTCAATATTTGCGAAAGACATTGCCAAAGAGAAGATCATGTCAGATTTGAGAGTCCTAGAGCATTTTGGGTTGAGACTCAAAAATGAATCTCTGAACTCGATTCCAATCTACTCGATACAGCAATTCAGAAAAATATCAGCGATGAATAGAAACGGACTACTCGGAAGTAAAAGTGCATTTCTTACTCCGAAACCAAATGACTTAGGCAAAGTCGACTCTAGATCTGGACGATCGGTCGAGACCTTTGCGACAATGGTACTGAAGAAGTCTTTCGCAATAACGCCTTCCTTTAACTCTTGTAAAGCAAATTTTTGAAGCTCTCTGAGATAATTATAGTTTTCTTGTTGTGTCTAAGGAAGCACAAAAAACAAGGGAAACAATGAGAAACCAAGGCTGAAGCAAAGTCAAAGAATAAGGATTGTCTGGGCTCACAGGGTGAGGATCTATCATGATTGCTCGGGAGACATTAGAACAATATGACTTGTATCGAATACCCAAGCTGGCTAAGATGATCCCAGTATCATGTAGTCTCTCGTCCGTAGACTGTGCCGAAGTGCGAAGGTCGTATACCCCTCCCGATTGAATGATAGGAGTATAACACCAATCAGAGTACGTACTGTCGAACTATAATACAAGCGTGCATTAGCGTTGCATTCCTGATGAAGACACCCCGGCCTATGGGCAAGATGACCCACGTCAGGTGCAAACTTTGCGCCCTTCCATATGCTTGAATCTTCAAGTTTAGTCTCGATAATGTCAGTTAGCCGTTCGTGAGTGCTGTCAGATTTGAGTATCCAGAAGGTCAGATAAACGGTAGACAAGAGATCATACACAAATGTTTAAAATTCAGGTGGAGCTTACATTTTCTTCTCTGCTTCTATCAAATTTGTTATTTGTTGACAAAGTGCCGCCATGAGTTTTTGAGTCATCTTACATGCGACCTCTGTGTTTTGCTTTATGGACCAAATAGATATGCCCATCCAGGATTAGATTGCAGACAGAGTTTACAAGGAGGAGTTTGTAAATCAGGACAAACCATCTCTTCTGCATCCTTGGTCGCCATCAACACAGAAATTCCGGATGATATGTCATTTGCTTCCTTGACCATATGATTCTGTTTCTTTGCATTCAAGAACGAGGTCCACTCGTCCTGTGCAGGGTGAAGGTGGATCAAGATGAGGCTGAAAGCTGATTCCAAAATGGTATTTTTTTACTGACCACAAACTTTCCACCATATTTGTCCTTTGTCAAACATCCTAGCTTCTTACCATCCTGGACGGCATCTTCCATAGCTTGAATGACTTTACCCATGGCTTCCGTAGCCTGAGTGGCATCCTTTGATTTGACAAGTACGTTCACCGTGACATCTGCTCCAGGAACGTTGTTCGGGTCTTCCAGAGGTTTCAATATTTTTGCCTTGCCTTCCGAGCAGAGAAAGGTGACGTTTTCGGGCGTGATAAAGATTAAAGTCGAAGGAAATTCGTAACCCAAGAGATATGTTTGTAACGCGCCAGTCTTTCGATACGGATTCGTTTCGTCGGCATTACCAGCAACGAGTAAAAGCCCACCCGTACTCAAAAACGGCGCAGTTTCGGCCTCGTCCTCGGTTGCGTTCTGAAGTATAGCATGATTCATCAATTGTTTGCTATTGTTGTAAAAATAGTTGTCCTTCTTACTTTCCATAAATCCAACAGAGTCCTCAGCCGCCGATGAAATACAATGGGATTTAATTTGACTTCCGACATGATCTTCTTTGAGCTGGGGTGAGTTCAGATAGACGTGAAGGGATTTGAACGACAAGAGACGATGGCGGCTGTTCAGAAGAGACGTGAGTTGAATTGGAAGAACGATCAAAAGTCGCGTTAGTTTAATCTCACTGTAAGTCAAAAACTCATCTTAACTTATGCCTATGTACTTGAGCTTAACTCAAACAATTTGTCAATTTCAAATTTCCTGCCACTTGATCAGATCCTTCAATGGCCTCTGCCTTTGACAATTAACAGGTACAAAGATCACCAACAAGCCACCAAACAAATGTGTCCCTTTGTGTAGCAGAAAACACCAATTGCATATCAATCATTGAAATTTCCAAATTGAATGTAAGTCTTCTATCTTATTTGCCATCTCAGACCTGAGATCCCTTATAAGTTTAGAAACATGTGAAAAAGGTAAAGACTTTCTGACATTAGAGTTATTCTCTGTAATTTGGCGTAGGGAAGTAACAGCTAGCTAACCAGTTGACCCTTGTCAAGGGGTTTAAGGTTAAAACCCTTACATCAACTCTTAGGGCCCGTTCGGTCCCGCTGATCAGATACTATCTGATGAAATTTCACACCAAAAGTGTTACATACTGTCAGATAGTATCTCGGTCCAATCTCGACCAAAAAGTGAAAACCAGATCGATGTTCGGTTCCAGTATTTGGGGTCAATATCTGATCAACAAGATCAAGATATTTGACCAGATAGAGATAGAGCCTTGAGGCTGTATCTCGGCCCTCTATCTCTATCTGCCCCTCCCTCATCGTCGTTGATCATCCACTTCTCTCTCCACATCTCATTATCAACACATACCCTTTTCATGTCGCCTCTTGATAGCTTTCAATCCTTTGCTCAGCTTTGTCATGACCTGGCGACTTATTCAACCATTTCTCTCCTTGTTTTTTCTTTTTTGTTTCTTTTGTCTCTTTTTCTTTTCTTTTCTTTATTTGTTTTGTTTTGTTCGTTTCCGTTTGTTTTGTTTGTTTCCGCTTTTTTCCTCTTGTTTTCCTATTCTTTTTTTCTTTATTCATGTTCTTGATACCCCTCTATTCCACAGCCTGGATCATGTATGTGTCTCCAAACAAACAATTAATTGATATTATTACTTGTGTTATTATCACACTCGTTGCACGAGTTCCCTACAATGAGGTTTTGTTGAAGCGAGAGAACGATGAAGGTCATGGATGACCATTTTAGAGGTTTGGATGAGATAGAGAGCAAAGATGCAGCTTGGAGATTGTTGTTACCGAACAGCAATATGATCTTGAAGGGGTCAACAGACACCTGTTGACCTTTTTCAGATTGCTGTTCGGTAGTTTTCATCCCTGAGATACCAAAATCACGATGTGCCCCTCGAGATAGGGGCAAATCGAAATTTGGCTTTCAGGTCAGATAATATCTGAAAAGGGACCGAACGGGCCCTTAGAGTGACTGCATCTCTTGTGTTCAACTTTCAATACACATCAAATATCTGTAAGTTATATTCAGTTCGAATTTCTTTTGGAATTGGAAACTTGAATGTGATGCAGAATTCCAAATAGATTGTAAGAATTGCACACATGGAACTGGGTAGAACTTGAAGTAATCATTGAAGGTTATAATATACTTGACCCCCAAGAAAGTAAGTTCACATACTTTTCATGGAGATAGTATACCTTAAAAGTATATAATATTCTACAAACAAAGCTTGTGAAGCCTCAAGGATATATGAGGAGGACTGCAAGGAGTAAAAGAGGAAGATCTCACACTAGTTCCTTTGTATCATTCAGTTCTTGCCCATAAATCCATAGGCCTCCATTGTGATATCAGAGGTGAAACTTTACTGTATACTTGCTCTTTGGATTCAGATACTACTTTCATTGGGTTCAAGGATCAGTCAGTAGAGATGAAAACTGTTATTATTCATATGCTTCCAAGGCCTGTTGTTGTGATGCATGAATAGCAAATAAATCTATCATAATATTCATTGCACATATTTCTTCACACAAAATTATGAGGTGATAATTCTTCCAACCTCAAGGTAAGACCCAGACACATATGAATATCCAAAGGAGCAAGCCTGGATCACAGTGCTGGCCAGCACAGAAAACATCAACATGATCTGTGTAGCTTGGGGTTTGGGGGGCAGTGTGGGTAACTTTGATGTAAGCAGGGGCAAGAATCTACCAGGTTATGGTAGCTGAAATTGGAGTTTTCTCTGGCACTGTTTCATGGTGTTTCAAGCTAAATAAAAAAAGCTTTCATGGAGCTTTGATGAAGCCAGTAGCAGCCTCTGTTCTACCAGAGCCCAGTAGATGGGGGCTGTGCTTGAGTATTGGAGTTTCCATTCAAATAAATGGCAACACATGCACTACTTGCCATATTGCAAGACACTTATTGAGTGTTTTGTTGGTGAAGGCTGGTGCTGAGGTTACATCTACCATGAAGAATGGTGATTATTTCTGAAAGCTTGAGCACATAGCTTGGAAAAAACGGGAGGGAGCTTGGCTCTGGCCATAATTGCTTGCTGGTGGAAAGGACAGCCAGCTCCAGACTTACCAGGCTGGTTGTGACCATTGTGATGTGCCTTAAGGTTTTGCACCATTGACAAGTATGTGAGAGAAGTGGTCCATCCTTAGGCTAAAGATTTAGTTCAACAATCATCTATTAGCATATGTATTCATGGTTCATGATTTGATAGTTGATGAAAAATAAGAAATAGAAGAAACAAGATAAAGATGACTTTCATCTTTTCATCTTCACAATGAAAGCTGTGCTGATCCCTTGTTCTCTTTTGGATCCCAGTGTTCTTGTCATCAGAATCCTGTACAAAGTCCACCAAAGGAGGTCCAAAGCAATACTATGCATCAGTTTGATCAAGAGCAACAGATTAGTACAGAGCTGTTGTTTAGAGATACATCATTGTCATTTTCACCTACCACAACACTTGCTTGAATTTGTGAGGGCCTTCAAGGAACCAGGTGTGAAATGGATAAGTTATTTATCTCTTTTGAGTCAGATCCTTGGCTGTTCACAGGAAACAAAGCAATATTTTGGAAGACTGATTACATTGACTGCTATTTCTGAGCCAAAACACAGATAAAATGTAAAAATAAGCCCAAAATAATGCATTTTGGCTCATCAACTGTCACCCCTGTCTTCCTGTTGTTGGAGGTCCTAGTGACCTAGTATCAAGTATAAACTAGAAAATTGATGTTTGAAATCAAAATGAGATAAACAAAACAAAATACCAAAGACAAACAAGTAAGATCCATTCACTGTGGATGATGGAATTGTGACTGTCTCTGATTGGCCACAAGCTAGTTCAAGTATTGATTCATTGCCTTGTAGGAGGCAAATCTTTCTTGGTGTTGGTAGATGTGCACATCTGTGACATCCCTGATTGATTTGAACAAGTTGAAGGTCTCAGGAGCTTTTCAACAGTCCAAACCAGGGGTGATCATCCCAGGAGCTTCCCTGGCTTGTGTGGCGAGTTGAGAAGATCAAAAAGGTGGATCAGAAGCAGTTGGGGGAGCAGATTATCATTGATATTGTATCCAGATGTCAGGAAAGAATCCACGGTGGTTTGTTTGATCAATATGTTAGTCTGTGTATAGGATTTGTGAAAATTCAAAAAACGTAATCAAAAAATGTAATAGATTAGTGATAAGTGAAAGAAGATTGGAATTGGATGGTTACTTTAGAGTTTTTTATTGGAGTAAATGTAAGATAAGGAACCAGATAGTTAGCAGCTATAAGTCACTGCATGCAGTTGATGAAGTTAGAGAGAATGGGGGGTGCTTACCTTTATACCACAAACCCAGGATTGGTATTCCAAAGGCCACCATGTGTTTGCCTTTTTCCTCAATGATAGTCACTTCTTTCCATAAGGTGATGCTTGGAGATATGAGTAATGGAATGAAAATGGTGCTAATGAGGTTCTATCAAGAAGTTTCAAAAAGGCCTCCATCTGATTGAGATTGATTGACATTGATAGGCAGTGGTGGGGTGAGTTGGGTTGGCTGAATGGTGGCTGACAAGTGGTCAACTTCACCCCTCTCCTGACCTAACAAAGTCTATCTCAGGAAGCAAGCCTGCAAGAGAGGGACAATGGTTAATCCACAAAATTTGGCCTGTGAGCAGGAATCATTTGGCTGGGGAGTTTTTTACCTGGCCATGATTTTTAAACCATCAACTGAACAGTATTTGGACCAAAGGGTCCAGGCCACCCGCTCAACCTGCGTACATTCATGTATCTAACTGTGTATTTTATGCAATGATTGCCAAGCAATGAAAGGCTGAAGTTTGCAAAAAAAACTCTGAGAAAGCTGTTTGACCTGTCAAAAGCTTGCACCAGGCAAGCTAAAAAGTTACACATAAACCCACTTTTCAAGTCCTTCTGTAGTGCTTTCCTGACACCAAGAGAAAGATTCCAAAGAACCAGTATGTGTAGGTTGAGCGGGTGCACAGGAGTCTTCCTCATTACTGTTTATTTGTAGGGTAAGAAGACATGGTGGGTTGAAAAAATCCCCAACCACAAGTTTCTTGCTCACATACCATCTTGTGGATAACCAATAAGTCCATCTTTTACAGGATTGCTTGCTTAGGTTAGACTCCTTTCATGCAATCAATTAAGCTCAACCATCTGAAGATTCTTGACCAACTCTGGCATAAGTACTTAACACTCAAGCCTAAACCAAACAGACTAATGATGACTGTCTTGACTGATATTATTGTATTCCTAAATTCAGGACATTTGAAAGGTCACAATACAGTCAAATTATAAATGACACTTGTGCATGCAATACTTCAACAATATTCATTAACATATTCCAAAGCCAGAGATTATGTCAATTTTGAACAATCACGCAATGATACATTAAGGAATAGATATGAATATGAATAACTTGTGTGAGAAATCATTTATCTTACAGAACATGGGTATCTATGGCCTTCTAAGATTTCCCTTCACCCTTTCTTGGGTGAGACCATTGCTAATATGGATAGCATCAAATATTCACTTGATTCTATGATGAGGGCTGACATAGACAGTGGAAGATGGGATACCACCAAACCTCAAGAGCTGATTATAAATCAAGAAAACTCCATAACCTCTCTATTACACCACCTTTCTTTTCACCATGAGGGCTTTGAGCCATACCTAGAAGATGTGGTGGAGTGGAACAGTCAGTCACTGACAACAAGTCATCTTGAGTGCTAGATTCCCTGGCTATGCTGAGAATTTAACCTAACTCAACCACACATAAATTTACTCTCATAGGTAGCACTCAACAGGCTTCCCTAAAGATTCCAAAATTAACTTTGATTGGCCAGAGATGTCACATTTGTCTGGATGAAATATGTCTAGAAGAGGTCATCCTATTGGAAGTTCCTATGGAGGAACAACACTGATTGGGCACGAGCAGGCACAAAAGTTATCTAGAACCAAAGTGAATTTCGAAAACTAGGCCTAGTTCATAAAGAACATCAGATCACAACAACCCTGATAACATGAATAGAAACTGAAGAAGCTGAAGAAACCGATAAAGAGAAAAAGAGAAGAGGAAAGGAAACCCATACCTAGTTCATAAAGAACATCAGATCACAACAACCCTGATAACATGAATAGAAACTGAAGAAGCTGAAGAAACCGATAAAGAGAAAAAGAGAAGAGGAAAGGAAACAAGGGTAGTCTAGACTCTAATTGTATCTACTGTACTGTATAGTATGTGACATGTGTGTTTGTAAGTGTGACACCTTACACCTATATTAATTACACCATGATACAGATAATAAAGCTCACACAGATTGCATCAATGTGAGTCCAAGGATATCTGGGCAGCTTGCACCTTGAATTATCTTCCCCACTATCTATCTTGCACAAATTTGAAAAACAGAGGATGATCAAGATCAAACCAGAATACTAAGGTTTCCTCACTTGTAGACAGTCAATAGCTCTGGAAATCAAACAGGCAAATGCACCAACAACTGAGCTGGGGAGTAGAATGGATTGAGAAATCAAAGTGCAATGTATTTTTAATATCCTTTCTTAAAACAAACAAGAATCATTTGTGTGGTGGAATCCCACCTTTCCACATTGTTTCAAAGCAAGACAAAATAAAACTGAACAAGGATTATCCTCTGTTGTGTGGTGACATCCTCCTCCTCTGTGGTTCCTCTTTTTATTGTCCTACTGTAGGATTTTTGATTGTCTACTAAGATATCATGTTGGTTTAGAATGCACTTATCTCTTTTTTGGTGTGGTGGCACCTGTAGCTCCTGTAGTACATTTTGCTTTGGCCAGCTGCGCTACAAGGGTCCAATTTCCTCTCTTGTGTTTAAGCCTTGTGCTTTAGTGTGGCAGGTGGTGAAGCGTAGCTGGCCAAGGGTTGCAGCAACTGAAAGACATCCATTATCTATTACAAGCAGCATAGTATTTTCAAACACATATTCACATTTCTTGACAATTCAAACACACTCTACAATATTCTTTATCTCTCTTTACCAATACAGGCCTGGTTCCTTAGTGATCTTGGTACTGAGTCTTTACCCACTATCTTGAATTCACACCTTCATTGGTGTTTCCCATCCACTCCAATAATTGGTACTGTGTAGATATCCTTGCAAAACCAATGACATCCTTTTAAAAGCACTGCTGATTTTCATCTCTCAAAAATACCCTACCCATCTTCATAATCAAGACTCTAGCCCTAAAGGAGACATGATATGTTCACGGAGAAATTCAAATACCATCATCTTTAGGCTCATCTCTGTCAAGATATTAGAGAATTACAATAATGTGTACTTGGCAGTATGATATATGATGAAAGCCTTCAATTCATCTGATCCCATCAAACTCATCAAAAGTCAATTCAGTGTGGTATGTCTGATCCATTCTTTGTTTAAAACTTTTTACTTGAAGTGCTAATTGTTATGGCAAAAGGTTGATCTTGAGAAAATAATAATTGGGGAAGAGATCCGCTCAAGCCCCTCAGATATGAGGCGTACTTGTGGTTGTCTTGGGCAGTCTCAATGTAGAGTTCTGTGATAAACATTGTGTGTAACCCTAGATTTTTTCAAGACACCACTCAAGTTGAACCATTGCTAGCAGAGTCACATTTTATCCAGGGCTTTGGATGTGTTGTGAACTGGTCACAACTACACAATTGTTTATGTTGCTTTGATCACATGCTAGCAGTGAAACTCCAGACTTCCATTTTGAATATACAGATTCTTTGCATACCAGTCTGAGCCCGAGCATTTCCCAAACAAGGGGTGATTTACAAAAAGATGAAGTAGAGATACAAATGAATCGAAAATGTTGATGATTGATAAGAAATGTTGATGTTGCAATACTCAAAGTGAAAACAAAAAACATACTCATCGTGTATAAAATTGTGAGGGAAGTGTTTCTGAGCAAAGGAATCAATGTCTTGTAAAAAAACAGCCGGGATTGAGTTTGGTTCAAGAAGATCAAGCTCTTGCAGGTATGATCTTACGAATGCTACGATTATAATGTGGACCGTGCAGGGGAAAGTAATCAGTTGCGATTTCTTGTTATTCAAAAAGATTATCTTGCGAGAAAGACTGACCTTGTGCGAGCAAGCAAGCCAACAACAGCAACAATTGATGCGCACGCAAGAATATATCGCTCGTTTACCGACGAGACCATTATAAGCCCTAATATGCGGACATATCACTATCAGTATTCAAGTCAGACTATCAGAAACATACGGCTTTGAAACTTACAATCACTTTGGGTCGCTGTTAAAAAGGTGAGAGCGATAAGGATCATTAAAAGATATCCAGATGCCCTGTACATGTACGTTTAAACAAGATTTGTTAGCACGTGTTATCAAGAGAAAGGGATTGAAGGGTACAAGTTCCTACCGATGATATTTCCACAGACTTCTTGCCGTACTTTCGCCCAAGATCAATTTCCTACTCCATTCGAAACCAATCAGCCCACCAAAGGAAGATTGAATGACGAGTACGCATGCTGTGATGAAACCTAGGAGGCCATGCCAAGAGGTGAAATGGGGAGCTATGGAAAGATATAGTTAAGATCGATAAGTCAATGGTCAGCTTTCAAAAATTGGAATGGTTTCGCCTGTCCGTATAGAACACCAATGTGACGGTGATAGTGACGATGCTTAGAATGTGCCATGTACCATTATGAAGTGATTTGTTGATGATCATGATGACCGTGCCGGCAGCGATTGCTACGGTTCCAGTGATTTGAAAGACCTCATGCACACTCAAGCCTGCACGCTTCTGAGCGGGAGTCTTGGTGGGCTGTAAGACCAAGATGCCTGAAACCATATGACCCGACAAGGTTAGAGTTTCGCTGTTCGAGGTTTAGATTCGGCTCTTCAGCGCAATAGATGAAGGCTCACCTTGGTAGAAAGCGAGAATAGCAAAAGATTGAAGCAACGGATGGAATGTGAACAATCCGGCGGGGTGAGTCAAAACCACCTTCCAGATTCCAATAAACCATATCAAAATTCCAGCCTGTCAAAATCTATCGTCAGTTAATGATGTTCATCAGGCACATAAGGATCCGTGGGATCTCACTTCAGCTACCCACAGCATTCCTGCGACTGGACCGTATTGACGATGAGCGACGATAAGCGACTTTGAGTCCCAAGCTGGCACGTCGGTTGGGTCAAGGTTAGGTGAATTGATAGCTTGAGGTAAGAGACGAGATTGCTCGTCGGGATCTGAATTCAAGATAGGTGAATCAGGCATTCTGGGGTATGATGGCAAGTGGAAAGGTGAGGGAATGAGGAATTGAGGAAACACCAGCCAGCTTTATGTAGGCTTATAGGGCTTATGTAAGTGTGATCATCTGAAATGATCTCATCCAATCAAATTCAATTTCAAACCTTCGAATCGATCACCCACAAATCTCCACAACAACAGCTGTTAAGGGAAAATGTACAGCCCCTTATCTCATGCCCTGGCCCCGCACCTCCCTCCCACTTGAATATCTCGGACACTCTAAATACACATTGCACCACCAAGTGAAATCCTCCCTAGAGGCAAAGAAACTGATCATGTGGTGACAGTTTTGGCTGGGAGCTGTCAACAAATGTCAACTTGATACACAAAGTTACTGCCAAAAAACAACTGGGTCAACTGGGTTTTTTGAAAACCGGGGCAGGTTTGAGAGCCACTATTGCACCACCAAGTGAAATCCTCCCTAGAGGCAAAGAAACTGATCATGTGGTGACAGTTTTCCTTGCTCAGAAGAGCAAATCAAAGCATTACTTTAAACCCTCAAGGTCACCCCAGGTTTAAGCTCTGCAGAATTTGATGCCATGTCAGATAGCGCTTGCGGGATCATAGGCTTCTTGACACATAGTATCTTCCAATGTACATTTGTTTGAGTAGTCAGCCTCCTTAGCACTTGTTCTCACGCTGACATCTTGAGGATGCTCAGGCAATTCCCTGCCAAGACAATTGACTGGACATTGATACGAGGAAGAAAACAACCATGGAGTCAGGAACCCCAGGGAAGATTGTCTTCAGAAGGGAAGGACTTCCATGATGCCTGGATACCACAAGCTCAGGTCAGGCCTACATATTGGTTCCAGATGAAGAGATTGATGAAGTAAAATGTCACGTCAGATAAATTTTTTGAACAACAGTAGCTGGTGAATATCTCACACTCCAATTGGCAAACTAGGAATACTGCACCATGACAATCAGATTGAGTGCCATACATTGTATACTCTGTTTACTTTTCTCGAGGGACATAAGTGCAAAAGATTATCAGCATTCTTGATATCAGCGGGAAGAATGAACTGTGAAATATGTATGTATCTCCAAGTCAAAACTGAAGTGATCTTTAAATAGTCTTCAAGCTTTCTCCTTTCTAGCCCGTGGTGTGGCACAGATTACTAAAGCCCGTAGGTAAGGTCTTTGAAATAAGATGAGACAATTTGTCGTATGCCGAATAATTGATATTAGAATATATACATATGGGGATTTATGGGAAGGCAGGTGAACGAAGATTGTATACCGGCAAGAAAGCATCAGATGCCAAAGATATGCAGCAGATACAGATTTCGCTAATGTGGTGCGCTTGCGTACCGAGGTGCCTACCAGTCTTGTGAAGATGATTGGACAAACAGCAGGGTGGGAATAAATCATGATGTATCAACCTATTGCCGTGGGTCTCAAATTTGATAAGGTTTCTGGAGATACGATTAATAGATTGATTGCTTTTGATACAAGAGACAGCAAAAATATTGCGTTAGATCTACAATGACTTACATCAGCACCAACACAAATGAATGAGAATCAAAATCCGTAAGCGGTTTGATTTCCTCCTGTACCATAGGGCATGCTTGAGTTATATCCTCCACCATATCCAGCAGCTCCAATGGGACCATTCAATCCGCCGAGCCCATCATCAGCTGTCATCTGACCTACTCCGACGGCCTTAGCAACCCTGAACTCGTTTTGCAAAGAATTCCGCATTTTATCAAGTGAGAGAATTAACGACTTGACGGCTTCTTGGATTGCTTGAATAGGCGTATGAGTGCCATCGGTTTGTACTTTGATGATGAAGCGAGGTTCCAAGGGATGTGGTACTTTGTAACCAGCAAAAATCACGTATTCCATCTGCAGAAGCTGACTGAAAGGCATGACGCGCAAAAATCTGAGCGACGGTTGGCGAATGTATAATGCCTGATTTACTTACGCGCGAAGCATGTTTCCGAGAGTATGATCTTCCTTGTTGATTGTTACAGTGCAAGCATTGGGAATCTTTGTGTCTTCATCAATTGTTAATCTGATAATACAATGCCTGGTTAGAATTCGAAGCGTAAATCGCGCCTTTGAAACGAAGTTGCTGACTTCGATTCACCTTCACCCAAGGTGTAAAGCTCGTATCGATTGGGAGCGTTCATAGTGGATCAACCAAGATAGAATGGCCGCTTCTAAAAATACATGAGCGTTTGATCAGCTGGAGGCCTGAGGATGGTCATTGGTCCAGAACCGTGCGGAGATCTTTGGTTTTGGAGATGCGATCGCGACACGTTATTGCTGACTCACTCCGACAGGACAAAGCGCGTGTTATGAGACCGAAGATTTCAATGCTCGGTGTGATGAGTGGAAAGTGACTTGAGAGTGCCGGGAGCTAGCGAGGTTGTCGAAGGTGACGGCAGAGATTGGCGGGATTTCGAGGGGCGTCGCAGGTTGAGTTAATGGACGAGTCATCTTGTGTCAGGTACCAGGTCAGTCGGAGGACCGGGGCAGCCGCAAGTGGCTGTCGGGTTGTGCCTGCAATGCTGCTGCGGACTGCGATACAAAGCGAGATGCACAAAACTGTAAACCTATATCCCGCTTCCTCCAGAATACTCGCAACGGGCACACACAAGCACTAAGTTAGCCAATCGAAGATAACGTCAACACTAGCGGGTCAGTCAAACCGTATACCTCAAGGTGAGCACCTTTCAGCTATTCAACTCGATTGTCAATTTCAACGCCAGAAGAGGCACGATACTGAGCTTTTCATTGGTCCACATGCTGACTGTTTATTCCTTTGAACATCATTCTCAAAACTCATGACTCTCATCAACACCCCTGGACAAAATCTATCAGATGCCGACCCGATTCTCTAACACCCGAAAGCACCGTGGTCACGTTTCTGCTGGTCACGGACGAGTGGGAAAGCACCGTAAACATCCTGGTGGTCGTGGTTTAGCTGGTGGTCAACATCATCACCGAACAAGTTAGCTATCAAATCAATCAGAAACATGTCTCCCTCGAATTGGTTTCCCTTACGATCAACTTTTTTTAAATTAGATTTCGATAAGTACCATTATGGTTACTTCGGTAAAGTTGGTATGAGGTACTATCACAAGACCAAGAACCAATACTGGCGACCAGTAATCAACTGCGACAAGCTAGCTGTACGTGGGGCGGTTGTTACCTTACATTTAGTAATCAGAACATTGATATTTTTGCGGTTGAATTATTCAGTCATTATTGCCAGAGGATCAGCGGAAACCCGTAGGTGACAAGGTCCCAGTCATCGACACCACAGCCCATGGATTCGGTAAAGTTCTTGCAAAGGGACGTCTACCTTCAACACCTTTCATTGTCAAGGCCCGGTTTGTAAGTAAGAGGGCTGAGGAAAAAATCAAGGTCAGCTTTCTTATCCACTTTCTCAACAGTCGGCATCAGACTGATCTTTTTCTCGCAACTCATTTGGTTATCATCCCATGTAACGCATTTTATCACTGTTTTAGGAGGCCGGCGGTGTTGTTGTAATTGAAGCATAAACTATGTCACTTCGCCTTGTCCTTCGTGTATGCCGAACGGGTTCCCCGCATGCAATGACTTCATCCTTTTCTTTCCACTGAAGACTTTGCATGTCCCTTCACCTCTTGCCGCCCCATTATCGATCACCTCATTTGTACAAAGGACTACTCGTTATTAAGAAAATGCCGCTCTTTTGGAGTATGGTTCGCCAGATGCCTTTACCCTGTTGCCTTTCTGTCACCACTTCCGTCCTAGATCCTGGGCATTCTGTCACAAATTGCGTACATTTGTACTCTATACGTTGACTCTGCTGATAAATAAGATCTCATCGCCCTAGCCTGCTGAAAGAATGTTAGGCGCGGTTTAGCCAATAACACGGGTCTGTGGTAGAGCCATAATGAGTGACATGCTGTTCAGGGCGCGTTCACTTGGGCAATTTTTGGACCAAAATTGGAATCTGTAAATTTCAAAATGTCAAAATAGACCATACATACTCCACCAAACCAGCACTTTAAATTTTGCAGAAGGCAATTTCTGACCAGGAATTGCTGTAAATGCACCCTAAGTAAAAATCAGCCTGAGTCTTTCCTTGTGTGACACGACTGAGTGAAATGCCTGGCCAGCTGGGCACACCATGGACAGATCAAACACTCAAATACTTCTAAAAACCCTACCAAAACACAGTGCATGTCTAGTGGATATCATCACATTCCAACAGTTGTCTGAACGTGGATGCGCAAGAAAGATTTGTTTTGATGTTGATAAGAACAAGATTGGAGCACAGTGGTAAGCCATGTGAGATTAATGGGAAGGGAAGAACATAAAGTACTCTGTAGAATCAGGCTCACCAGGTCATAACCCTATATGAGGTCAAGGACATGATTGAATATACATCTACATGAAAATATGTAAGTAGAAGGCATATTGAATTGTTTGGGAAGAAAGTAAACAATGACTCCAACCTATCCAGGTACCCTGAGGCTGTAGCAGGTTCATGAAAGAAATAGTGTGCTTCAAGTTGGCCAAAAAGGTGCTTAAAATCTCATGGATTTCCTTGATTATGAGCATGGTGGTGGTTGCAGAAAATCATATGCTAGTATAAAATATGCTTCTTATCAAATGTGAGATGATAAGAGCATACAATCTGCTGAGAAATATGCCATGCTTGAATGTTATGTTGGGGGCTAAAACTTGCAATTTGTTTTCCAATAGATGGCAATCTTTTTTCAAGACTGATTGTTGGTGTTTTGACATCATATTTAAAAGCATGGTATGTGCATAGCAGGTCTATAATTTTTATCAAGCCAGATTGAATTGGTCATGCAAATGTAAAACCCATTTTTATATCATCTAGGAGCAGATAGGCATGATCCAATAAGGTTTTTGGGGGTGAACAAGCTGATGAATACTCCAAAAAATGGATTGGAGCAAACACTTCCAAATGAGATCAAGCAAGATACATGACAATCAATATGGAACAACATGAGACAGACATGAGAGGAGGAGACAGAAGAATCAGAGGAAAAAATATGATGCAGAGTAGATGTGAACAATCCAGATCTGTTGAACAGTTGATGAGATTTTGTGATTGAATAGTTCAAATGTCATCTAGTGTTCCAAAATGACCTCAAGATCTTGTCATTTATCATTTGGTTTGATTTCTTTTCTTTTCCTGATCTCTTTTGTTATAAAACTAAAACTTTGAAAAAAACATCTCATCCATTTGTGTTATTCAACATGTCCATCCTTGGAATTCAGGTTAAGGAGAACATGCAAAGATATCTTAATATTCTGGAATCTTTTTATGTTTTATTTTGTTTTATTTTGTTTCTCTCTGTGTTTCTTCTCTTTTAAAGTCCAACCATTCCAGCAAAACTTCTCTCCCCTGTACAAAACCTCATACTTTTTGAGGTTTTCTTGAATTTTTTCTTTTCACAAAGCATGAACTTGAAGCATATATAGAAGAAAGATATATCCTTCAATTGAACAATCATCTGTCTTTGTGATCATTCATCTGTAAATCTTTTACAATATCTTCATGATTGTTGTTCAGCTTTCATGGCTAGCTGTGAGACCATCCTTTCTTTTATCATTTAGTAAGATTTGACATAGCCATTCTGTGGTCAACACACACATCATGATCAGGTGTGGTTAAGTCAATTCTAGAGAAAACCGGAAAAACCAGTCACAGTCATCTTATCTGCTGCATTTCATTTGCTGCACTGATAAACTTTTTGTGATTAATTTAGGAAATTCAGAACAAGTTAGACAATTGAAGATGAAAGAAAAATAATATTTAGCTTTGACTTGAGTTTGACTCATTTGAGGCAGCCTGTTAGTTTGCCATCTTGTTGCACTTCTCTAACATAGAGTAGCCCCTTGAGCTTTTCAAACTTTGTAACTATATGGTACCAACTGCAAGGAAAAGAAGTATGAAACATCAACCTATTTGTTTCCTTCACCAAGATCACAAACTAAAACTTTCAAGTATCAAAGGAAACCTTGACTACTTTCAGACCAAATTATCAACTTTCAAACTTTCAAACTTCTCAACCAGAAGATTCACTTATCTCTCTCATCCTATATATCATACATCCAAACCCATTTTTTCTTTCAAAAGAAAAAAACCAACCAAAAAAGGTTATTCATTCTTTTGTAAAACACCCATTGTAATAAAAAAGAAAAAAACAGTAAAGCTTGAATGCGCAAAAGAAAAAAATCTTATATCCCTTACCCTATATTTAAGATTATGTTGTAAATAAACCTACTTAAATGAAAAAAAATCCATTTGAAAAAAAAAAGTTTCTTACCCTTTTTGTGTAATTTCATTTTTGGTGAATCAAAATGAAAAAAACGAAAACGAAAAACAGAAGAAGAAAAACAAAAAAGTAAAAAAAGTAAAGTAAAATTATAGATTTTTAAATAAAATAAATAAAAAAGTGAGAATGAAGAGAAAGAACACAACCACATCATCATCAACTAACCACCACCAACCACCACCAACCACCAACAAAAACCGCCAACAAAACCAAACCAAAGAACAACAACCAAGGATCCTTCCAACTGATCCTATCTCTTTTTATTCCGACCACCCGGTAATTTCTTAACTTGTCTACCACTCCCACCTACTCCTCCTACACTTTCATTACTACCACCTCCACTGACTCCCATACTAAACAAAACATTCCCACCAGCCGGTGTACCCGGTGTAACCGGAGGATTATTACTCGCTCCAAATGTAAACCCTCCAGTTGAAGCAGTTCCAACACCAGGTGTACCAGTTCCAGTACCAGTTCCAAATCCATTTCCATTTCCAAACGAACTCATCGTACTTGATCCAGTCCCAAACGTATTCATTACGCCTGTTCCATTCTCTTTAGTTCCGTTTCCGAATAAAGATCCACTTGATGATCCTCCAGCAACACTACCACTACCAAACGTGAACCCATTAGAAGATGTAGACCCAGGTTTACCAAAGATACTATCAGGTGCTGCTGTAGTCGTACTAGCTCCAAATGTGAATGTACTACTAGATGGGGTAGCACTAGGTGGTACAATAGGTGTAGCACTTGCTGCTCCGAATGAAAACCCATTTGAGGTACCGTTAGCTTGGATTGGTGGTGTAGCCGTCACACCAGTGGAACCAAACATCGAGGAAGTGTTTCCATTCGTCGTGACCGAAGGCGTGCCTCCAAAAGTGAAAGGTGTAGAAGTCGTGGCAGCCGGGGTAGTCACAGGGGCTGGAGTGTTAAAAGAAAAGGGTGAAGACGAAACTGGCGGTGGTTGGGCAGCAGTGAGAGTCGTATTCGTAGATGCACCAAAACTAAAACTTGGAGTTGGAGCACTGCTAGTGACAGGTGCAGATGGGTTTCCAAATAGACTGGTTGAAGCATTTGAAACTGGAGTATTAGTCGAATTGAAACTGAAATCACTCCCAGCAGGATTAGTACTTTGAACATTACTTCCGAACAATGAAGGTGAAGTCGGGTTTGTCTTAGTACTCTCTACGTTATTGGAACCGAATAAATTTGTAGGTTGTGATGAGACCGAAGGAGTAATGCCACCACCAAAGCTGAACCCGGTCGAAACCCCACTCGTTCCTCCAGAGCCAATTGGATTACTACTGACTGGATTTCCAAACAGAGACGTACTAGAAGTTGTTGTAGCAGCAGGAGTAGCAGCGCCAAATGCGAAGCTCGGTGTAGGATTCGAGGAACCGAAGATGGACGAACTGGAGTTGTTCTGATTAGTAGCTGTCGTCGTTGATGGGGCAGTGACAGCAGTACCAAAGAGTGATTTGGGCTCCTTGCCAGCTTCAGTTACAGTGGTGCTGCTGTCAAAAGTCAGTTTAGGCTCCGTTGTAGTACTGGGCGTGGCAGCACTACCAAACATCGACTTAGGCTCGGTCGTAGCGTTTGATGTCGCGAAACCGCCAAACAACGACTTGGTCTCCGGCTGAGCCGCAGTAATTGCACTGCCAAAGAGGGATTTGGGCTCCGCTGTGGATGAGGTAGGAGTGGTGCCAAATAGAGATTGGGTTTCCGTTGTTGTTGTTGGTGCTGGTGTAGCCCCAAAGAGAGACTTTGGATTACTGCTATTGAAACCAAGACTGCCAGTATTGGTGCCAAAGATTGAAGTCGGTGCAACAGGCGCAGCAGTAGCCTATGAGAAAAGTAATGTAAGATCAGTATAACACACAACAAGCATCTTCCAAACAACCAATATAAGCAAACCTCTTTATCCACACCCATGGATGTATTCCCAGTTTCATTCTTGTCAGCAGCAGCAGCGGAAGACGTGGTCGAAGTCGGCTCAGGGTTGCCAAACAAATTGGTCTTCGGTGTAGGCTTTTCAGTCGCACTGCTCGTGATATTACTAAAAAAGTTAGGAGGTGCTTGGCCACTCGGGATACGAGAGAAATTGGTAGTACTCGTACTCCCAACCTGCTCGTTACTAGGCGCAGAAGGAGTGGCAGCAGAAGGAGTAGGATCAACGGGTTTAGAAAAGAATGGCGAAGGATTGGCAGTACTAGCTGGTTTATTGAAAGAGAAAGTAGGTGCAGGTTCTGTTTTCTCAGAGGCCGGAGCAGCGATTCGTTGAAAGATTGATTGAGAGTTAGTTTGAGTTTGAGTTTGATCTTGAGTCTGATCAGGTTGAGCACTCGTCGGAGTCGGTTTGAAGGATGCAAATTTCTCAAGCTTGAAACTGCTTGGGAATGTGGTAGGTAATTTGATTTTCTTCAAACTAGCTATCTCTTGCTTAGAAGCAGACGAATCATCCTCATCATCGTCATCGCCGAGTGAGGGTAGATCTTCTTCACGAGCTGAAAACACTTTGGGCTTATGAGCACTTTGACGACTAGAGAATGTACGACCAGGCCTGAGTGATGAGCTGGCTCGCTGTTGGCGTTGATTGGTGGCAGGCTGTAAAGCAGCAGAAGAAGAACGAATGAGGGATCTTAACGCAGTGGGTCCGTTGCTTTCTTCTACCTCGGGACTGAGAAGCTTCGTCGCCATCACACTGTCCGCGTTTTGATCTTCTTCGGCTTCCGGTATTGGTGAGGGTGACTTGATCGCATTCAGACCAGTCTTGGTCGTCTTCTTATTTTTCGGAGAAGGGTCTACATTACCCACAACACTGTTTTTCTCGGCACTTGACCGTAATGCGCTTCTAGTGATCCGAGTACTTGGAGTGGCGATAGGTTCAAGATTTTCTTCATCGGCCACTGATGGATCACGACTTCTTCGACCACTGTTAACTTTAGCCTTGGTTGAACTGCTTGTCAATTTTCCAATCTTGCGACTCGATCGACGTAGTTGTGAATTATCTCCATTAGCAATATCTGTTGACTTGGATCTATGACGCCTAGGACGATCCTCTTGCATATCCTGATCTTCAACTTCTTTATTGATATTCTCCCGATTCAATTTCTCTTCATACCTCTGAAGTTTCTTAAGCTCTTCCCTTAATTTACCCTTCCTTTCCTCGAGTCTCTTGATTCGATCTTTTTCAATTCGTTTGTTAAAAGGTGCAATCAATTTCTTGTTGCTCATATTCAACATTTCTAATTCTTCTTCTTCATATAAGGCTGCTAAACTATTCTTAGTCTTACTTCGTGCAAGTAATTGAATTGAACTAGAACGTTGAGTTGCAATCGAAGCAGGTGTAGGAACAGGAATCTGAGGAAGCTACAAAAACGAGTATAGTCCATTAAAATCTCAAGGTTGATGTGATAAAAGAGTCGAGAATTTAAACTTACATTTGGAGTACGCATGGCTTCACTTAGAGCAGAGGTTGCGCCCCTTCGACTTTCCAAGGCTTCCAATATACGTTCAGCTTCATTTTTAGGGAATGGTCGACCTTCCACTGAGCAAAAATACCATCCACATCAGTCAAGATCATCGTGATTGAAAACAAACCTCAAGTTAAACTTACACTCTCTCTTCTGTCTCTCTCTTTCAGCTTTTAAATTATTCATCTGTTCCTGAGTCATGAATCCTAATTCAGGATCCCAACACATCTGTTTCTTTGATATTGATCCATTCGGATCTGAACCAACAAAAGAAGTTTGATCACCTCCACTTTCAGGATTCGGGTTTCGAACAGGACTGATACTCATTTCATCGGCAAACCGCTTTCGATTGGTAAAATCGACATCTTTGGCTACTGATCCTTGACGGTAACTAAAGACACTTGTTCCTCTTCGATTGGTATCATTAAGGTTAGATGAACGTGGTGGTGGTCGATTGAATAGATTAGTTTGCTGTCGGAAGGGTGAAGTTGATCTTTGATGAACTGGACTTAAAGCAGATGATCGGATCACCGATTTCCTATAAGGTGAAACGGATCTCATTCGAAGTTCAGATGATGGATTGAGATCATTTGATTGATTTTGATGATGATTAGATGAAGATGTATCGGTTGGAAAGATTTGAAGTTGAGCATGTGGAGTGACACGAGGTCTTCGAGTAGCAAAAGAGAGTGAAGAAGTAGAAGTAGAGGTTGGAATGCCATTAGGTTGAGAAGGAAAGGGGATAAAAGGAGATTGAGATCGATACCAAGGTTGCTGAGGAGCAGAAAGCTGAGGTAAAGTGATAGAAGGAGTTAGACGCGATGGAGGAGGTTGTAAGAAAGAAGAAGAAGAGGAAGAAGATGATAAAGGAGGATGATTAAGATTAGATGATGAGAGATTTGAAAGTTTTGGTAAGGATGAAGGAGATTGATTGATGGTGAGTTGATTTGATGGTATTGAAGAATCGATTTGATGATTTGTAGTTGATGGTGGTTTTGAATGAGCACCGAATAACCAACCCACACATTTACCAAGTAAACTACTTTTCTGTGTTGGTTGATTTGGTGGTTGATTTTGAAGATGAGTAGATTGGAATAGAGAAGAACCAGCTACGATACCATGTTCGACTTGATTAAGATCTTGATTTGATTGATTGAATGAATTGATCGATTGACTTGGTTTTCTTCTTGAATATGGATTATAAGAACTTGATGTGGTTTTAAGAATCGAATGTTTGATTGATTTCCCAGTTTGTGGTTTTCTAGATTCTAGTTTAAGCTTCAGTGTCTCTGACATGGTTTGATGGTTTGGTTTGATTTGATTTTCTCTTTATCTTTGAAAGAACTTGAACTTCATGGGTGATGGTGAGGTTGATTGATGAGGTTGATTGATATGGTGAATTTGATGCTGAGAATGATTTGATTTGAATTTTCTATTCTGCTCAGCTTTTTTTCATTTCAACTCAAACTCAGCTTGACTTTTTGCCATCTCAGTACTAAACACTCATCATTCAATCAATTCTCACTTCTTTCTATCTTTCTCTTTCATTCATCTTTCTCACTTATCTTTTGTATATGTATCTTCATTGACTTCATTCTCACTTTCTATACAGCCCATCGACATTCTCCTTTTCCGAACATCAATCCCTCATCTTCGGATTTAACTATTCTATATTTCCAAATTAGGAAAAAACCTACACAAAAATCCCGTTACCATTTTCCCTCAATCTCAGCATATCTTCTACCACAAATCTTTATATCGAAAAAAACAATCTTCGATCTTCATCATCAAAACCTTCCAGAGCTTTTCCATCGAACAACCCACTCTGCTAAATCGATTTTGCTATCTCTGGAACTTGAAGTAGCGTGAAGTGCTTTCTGTCCTCACAAACTCTCCCCTGACAAAACCCGGATCAATTGGCGATGAAACTTCCTTAGCTTTATAGAACCAGCTTCATTTTAGGGCAACAGGTTCGTCACAACGCGTCAGGCGTGATTTTTGAACTTTTGAAAAGAAAAGAACTTGAGCAAATGGAAATCAACTCCCTCACCTGGTGGACCACTTATCAATGGGCTTGAACAGCTTGACCTCAAGTATTCTTCACGTTCACTCCATGTAAATCAACATACTCAAGTTAACAAAGTTCAATAGGTGTCTCAGCATCTTTTTGGAAGATATACTGAAAAGAAACCCAGGCCTCAAATTTCTTGTGCAGGTCAGAAGCCTCAGTAAAATAGTAAAGGGAATCTTTGGAATCCTCATTGCACTTTGCTTGACACTGAGAAATAATCATCAAAAAATACTCTATGTGATGATTCTCATACATCAGAAAAAGACCATTTGCTCACTTTTTTCCAAACAAAAAATTGATTAAGTAGGCAATTTTGATTTAATGATTTCAACAAAATCTTACACTTTTGACTTAACCCTCAAATACTTTTAACAATCTTTTTAAAGTTTAATTCTTGGGTACAAATAATTCAGTCAATCTCATCAGAACCAAGAATAAATTGATTTCTTCAGCTTACATATTTGTATTAAAGGCATAACTTATAGGTGATTGGAAAACAAGTAAAGTGTTTTCCTCTTGTATATACTAAACCTTACAGCCTTATGTGCCAAAAAGTTCAACATACAGTATGAGGTTCTTGTTCCTCAGGAGAAGCAAAGACTCAAGAAATACCAGGTGTGATCCAACTTCAATAGGTTTGTTGATGACTGTTTTCTATAGGCAGACCAGACAAGGGAGAGCAGAAAAGTGGTTCAAACAATGAAAGTTATACATCCATAAATAGGACTAGAGCAAAATTGTATGTCTAAGACTACATGACCCATATTCTACTTTCAGAGTGATGATCTTTCACCTAAGAATCCAGCTGGAGATTCCTTTGTGTCAGTATCATCTACAATTCATGGAAGGACTGTGATCTTGAAATACTTTCAACTGTGACCTTCTCTTCAAAACACAAGTCCTCAAATCATCTACATACTTTCTTTTGTCTTTCTTTCACATTTGTTGCATACATTCATACCAGAGTGCTAATTTATTTCTAAAATATCCTTGGAAAGATAAAGACAGAGTCATGATTTTTTTAAGATGATGTTTGGCTTTAGGTTTAGTGTCTCAGTCATGATTTTTAAGTTCTTTCTAAATGTCTTTTTTACCTTTCATGTTGAAGATTAAATGACTTCAGAAAATCTACATATCTATTTTTTAGAATGGGCCACCTTGTTTTTGAAAGTAAGATAAGATATGATGACCACAAATATTAAGGCATAGAGTGTTTTTTGTTGATTGTCAAGTTTTATTTTTTTTTTACCATGAATTATGGCGTTCAAACATGCGCGAGAAATTTGCAAGTTGCAAGAAAGTTCTGTGCAAGTTCTTTTAAACATCTTGCATAGAACTTCCACAAAACTTGCAGACTTAAGAAAGTTATGTGTGAACCTAGGCTTCCCCGCTTCGAGGACTCAGTTTGCCCTTGATGAGATACATACAGCAGGGGGTTGCAAAAAAATTAATTAAGCAAGATCCGTGCAAGATTTCTTGCACGGATCTTGCACGGATCTTGCACATTGGTTTTGCAAATTTCTTGCACATGTTTGAACACCATAAATATTGAAGATTCTTCTGTGTATGCTATTCTGCAACTGTGAGATATATCATCATCATCAATGATCTAAAGTTTGTTTAGAATTCTCTTTCTTTCCAAATTACTTCAACATCTCTGTCAGAGGAAAGGGAAATAGAGTACAAGCAACATGTGAAATTGTAGCTGCCTGGCTCAGGGGCTACATGTAAGTGTCATGGTCTGTGACAGTCCCACACTTGATCTGGAGTCTGTGGACTGTGAGGATCATGATTCATAACACCCCTACATCCAACTTGTAATCTCACATTACCTCTTTTTTACCCAATTTCCCATAGTTTTACATAGGTAAATCTTGTTGTTTGATCATGTCAAAGGTGTCCCAGGATATAAGTTACTTTGTATAAATCAATTCTTCATAGATAGAACCCCTCAGTGTTTTTTTGCTTTAGATATATCACAGACAACTTTGTATTTGATGACCAAAATTTAAGTAAAACATACACTTCCCTTATTTCACTCCTCTTCCAGACAAACTTTTATTCCAAACTTACTTGATCAGTTGTTTCTTTGTACAAAAGTTTCAAATATTCTTGTTTCACAACAAGACATGAGATGAGCCTTATATATGTTTTCTATACATGGACTTAGCTGGGTGTCTTCATGGAACATAGTACAATGTAGTGAACTGAGATTATAGTCTGATTTTCTGCCCCACACACCTTGATAAATTGATATGTACTCCATGGTATTTGTATAGTGCGTGGAGGCAAATTGTTGTCAAATTCAAAAGAAGGACTGAAACAATTGCTACACCTCAAAACCTATTGTACCAACCAGCCGATTGGAGTTCTGGAATGCTCTCATTGAGCGCATTCCATGCATATCTTTTTGGTTGTTTTTTTTTCAAAAGAGTATATCTATACCAAGACATCACCTTTTTCATTTTTTTCTCAGCTTTTGGACTGCTCTCATCCAGAGAAATCACTGCATATCTTTTTGGAGAAAAATAATGATTTCTTGTTTTTTTTTTCTGAAGAATTAATCTTCTTTGGAAAATGTATTTTATCTCTGTGAGTTTTTGTCATAGGAAGTTGAGCAACAGAACAACTTGTAACCCAAGAGCTTGTTGACTTGGGACAGTAATCCAAGCTTGAGTTGAAAGAGCAGCAAACAATTTTAATGAAAAAACTAGAATCCAACCAGATTGACCGACCTGAAATTTGAGCTGGCAGGGCCAAAAGGGGAAATTATCAAGTATTTACCTGTATTTACTTGATCCCAAATTGCCAAGGTCTTGCCTCCATGCACTATAGACCAAGTTTTCAAACTACCCTTGACCACTGAATTGGTCTAGGTACTTCCCCTGATACAGGTTTCCCTTTGCTCCCTTACAAGGCTCATGAGATGGCTAAGTGATTATGGTGAAGAAGCTGTTAAGAGTCTGAAATACTTGCCCATACAGTGAAATTGAAGTTGTATCACTGAAAAATGTAACTTTGGCATTATCAATAGCATGAGCGTATTGAAAACTGCATTCTATTTTAGTGATACTCAAAGTTAAAAGGTAAATTCTGACTTCTTGTAAATCTGGGATCTTAGTTTTGTTTTTTGGCGGGAGAAAAAACTAATATGTTGCCCAAAACTATGGCGCTTTAAGAACCCTGCACTTGCTTATCCTGTTGGTATTTCCTTTTCCTTGTGCACCATCTCAATATCCTGATAGCATGTTGGCATGCACACACAGAGAGTTTTGAAACAGATCTCAAAGTCTTTTGGTCAGATTTAGACTGAGATTGTTGTTGAGCACCCTTTGCAAATAATGATTTACAGTGAAACCTGTACTATCCGGTACTCTCCAACCCGGTAGCCTGCCAAATCCGGTAGCAAACCACCAGCTCGGTTCCCAGCTAAATAACCGGTAGCCTGCCTTAGATGCTATCCGGTTGATAAATTGCAAAGTACCAGGTAAAACAGGGAGAAAAAAAGACTGTATTTTACTATAAAAGGACCCCAAAGGTCAAACATTGGGGTGTAAAAAGTCCTTCAAGGTTGTCTGAACCACCCAACTCTCCCTTTCAATCCGTCTCTCCTCCCTCACCTCACTCAAAATCACTTGAAGCGATTGGACAACACTTGTAGAAATGTTTGGATTGCCTTGTTCAGTCACAGTTCGAATCACATCAATAAGGGCTTTGGTCTGTCGTCCTAGGGGAAGTTCCGGCTTGATTTCGTCCTCTTCAATCACAATGACCTTGTCTTCCACAGTCACTGCGGCCTCAATCAGCTCGCTGTTGGTCAAAGTCATGTGAGTGTTGTTCTCAGCATCCAGATTGAGCAAGTCACTGATGGCCATCGGATCTTGGACACAAAGAATAGTCAGATGAGAAGTCAACTGCTCTTCGATCCGAGACTCTTCAAAGTTTTCAATTGGATCATCGCTTTCAGGCACTCAAGTATCTTTCCATTTTGATTGCAAGGTGAGATTATCTTTGTATGCTTCCAGCAGTTTTGAATAGTTTGTTCTGAGATTTCTTTCCAAGCCATCTGGACCCATTTCATTGCTTGAAGCTGATCCACTTTATAAATGTTTTTGTTTAATCCAATCTCCTCGTGGTCAATCGCATTCTGTAGTTGATAGTTTCAATAGTGCCTTTTGAAGGCTGCGATGATCCCAGCATCCAAAGGCTGAATCTTGGAGGTCGCGTTTGGTGGCAAGAAGAGAAGAGTGAGATTGGGTAGCTCGGCATTTGAGATAACATGGGAGGGGGCATTGTCCAGAGTCAATAAGATGTTTCAATTTTGAGCTTTCATCTCATTATTCAATTTGACAAGATACTCCTGTTGTAGAAAAGTGGTCCTGTTAGTAAATCAGTTGAAATAAGATCTTCATGATGATCCCTTACCTGGAAGAGCACACCAGTCATCCAAGCCTTCTTGTTGCTGCGATAGTAAAAACTAAGCTGTTCTCCGGTCTTCTTTTTGTAGCATCAAGGCTTTTCCGCATGTCCAATAAAAAAGAGAAGTGGTTTTTGCGAGCCATCAGGATTACATGTCAATGCAACTGTAATGCGAGTCGTATTGTTCTTTGCTCCTTCAATTTGTTGAGATGCAATTGTACGGTCTGGAGTCAGGCAGTAGAAAAGCCCAGTTTCATCCATATTGAAGATGTCCTTGAGAGCAAATTTGTTGGTCATCTCGATGATTTTGGGTAAACTTTGTTGAATTGCCGCAAAGTCTGCTGAGCCTGATTCACCGTGTGTCTTTACACTTCAAAACCCGTGTCGTGCTTGAAAGCTTTCAAGCCAACCTTTGGAAAAGCTTGGCTGATCCTGATCAGGTATCTTCATTTGATCAGCTAAGATTTTTGCCTTGGCCTGGATAAGGGGACCAGTCAGGCGAGTTCCATTATGCTTGCACTGGAAAACCCAGTTGGCAAGGGCAGTGTCATGCTCAGGATGGTGAGCTATCCTTTGTCGCTTACATGAGAGTTCTGCTGAGCTCATTCCTAAATAATTCTCCTTTTTCTTGAGGATGTCCAAGATTGTAGTTTGCCCAGGTATCTTGAGGAGATTGAAAGTATGTTTTGCCCATTTAGCTAGATCTGATTGCTTCATCTTTGGACACTGTGTGTGCTTCTCACACAGCTTTTTCTTTTGATCATTTGTCATAATCCCGGCGTGAAGAGGCTTGATTTGAGGCATGTTGAGGGCTTTATAAGAGCTGAGAGGATTTTTTTTGATTTTTTTTGACTTTTTTTTTGATTTTTTTTGAAATTCTCAAATCCGGTAGCCTTTCAAACCTGGTACCAAGGGCTTCCACCAAGAGTAACGGATAGTACAGGGTTTACTGTATTTATGTCTTTGCAGAATCCTTTGTCAGCAGCTGGGGTCAATTGAGTCTCAGTGTTGCAATTGATAAGAGATTGCTAAGGCAAAGAGCACCCGTTGTGGAACCTCTTTGAAGGGTCTTTTGAGGGAAACAACTTTGTGTGTGCATGCCAACGTGCTACAAGGACACAGACACTGTGATGCCAACTATCAAGTTGTGTGACCAAAAACTCACCAACATGACACTGGCTGTTGGTTTGAGCTGTGGATGGAACCTGACAGCCATATGGGTGGTTGGTCAGGTTTTCCACAAAGTAGGTAACTGGTGGCAAGGACCAAGAAATCTCAGTTTTTATGGTTGGGGCCTGGTTTTTGAAAACAAAGAAGTAGGATTTCCAAAGGAGTCAGCTTCTACCTTTTAGCTTTGAGTACTGTAATTGCTTGATCATGTTGAAAACTTTATGAAGATGCTAACTCAGCACTTATTCATTGGTCTTTTTGTCCATAGGGTCCTTCTTCAGCTGTCAAATATGATTTTTACTGGATATTCCTCGTTGGGTGAGAGCAGTGGGGGTCATAATTAGAGTTGTGGACTAGGTGTGTAGTATGTGGTCAAGATTACATGGTGGCACAAGTTGAAAAGTGTTGCAAATTCAATCAGTTAGATTGGGTGAGGATTAGGTGGAGGGAAAGTTTAAGACTCGTGTGGGTTCGAGCGTGATGAGGTATCATGGAGAACGGGTGATGGGGAATAATAAAATGTATCATCAGATGAGCAATTAATGATCGAATTCGATTGAGGACTGTTGAGGAATTTATTCAAAAGTGATAAAATGTTAGGACAAGACAGGTTATGACTAAATTTCGAATGGCATGTTGGATTTAAGTTTTAAATTGCACATCGATCTTTACTAAAACTCTTGCTGTGATGCAAGCCCACACCACTCCTCAGCATTCGAGTCGCAGCACCTACTACGTCACTTGCAGTTTAAGAAATTGAAACGCTTTTAAAAGTCTGTTCATCTCACGTTTCTCGATCGCCTGTTGGTTGGATAACATCGTATAGTAAACTGTACACAAGCCTCGCTTAGCAAGAGTTGAACTGATACACAGCATAAAACGAATCATCCAACCAGAGTCTAAGGACCTCATAGGTTGATTTCAAGTGCTAGAATCTAATTCACAGCGCTCAGCATAGGGTCAAGTTAGTTACATGGTAGCGTGCCGATTCGGGAGGTCATCCTGTAGTGCGTTTCTAAAATGCAAGTTACTTTGCTTCATCTTTCCCTCATCCTGGTTTCGTAACGTTTTAATTCTTACCACCTCCACTTGCTCTCTATTCGAATTCCTATGTAACTTCAGTCTTAAAGCCTTTTTAGCCAACTCTTTAAATTTGTATAGAATCACTCGGTTGATAATAATTATAACAGGCTAACCTTCTTTGTCTTATTTTGGCATCCCCGTTTATTCCCCATCTTAATATACATACATACCATCTCGCATCTCATTGCGTAATCTTATTTACCCCATAATTATATCATAACTCTAGGACGCCAGCAAGTTCTCATCATCCAATAGATCAATCTCATAGAACAACGCCATTAACACCAATCTCATCGAGCTGGCCTTCTCGTCAAAATAATAATAATCTTCATATCTCTCTGAACGAACCGCGGATCTTACTTCATCATCCAAATCAACAACACTCTTCGGGTTTTACAATGATTCGATCTTGTATCAGAAATCTGATATACATTGTCGTCACTGTTGCCTATATCGGTGTCACTTTTTATTCATCTGGCGCAATCGGACTTCAAACTTCACCAACACAATCTAGTCAGAGACCTCATGGTCTGATTTTTTCGGGTGATGAGGTAGCAATTGGGATCGACGTTGAAGTCGGGGTAGATTATGGTACCCAGAATCAAAGTGAAAGGCGTATACTGGCAGCTAGTCCTATACTTGGTAAGTGGAATAATTGTTCCTCATCTGTGATCTCACCCTACAAACAATCCCCTTGACTGATGCACTCAAATTTGCTCAAAAAAATCAAATCACAGGTTTTTATAACCAATCCAATGGTCCGCTTGCCGACTGGATGGCTGATGTACCAGATCATACCCCACTAATAGATATGAATATTCCTGGAACCCATGACTCAGCAACTTGTAAATTGATGCAAGAATCTGCATAGCCAATCAATCTCTTTTTTGGAGCAAACCAAAACTGATACTTTACTTTTGCCTTGTAGGGAATTACACCGAAGCAACGCAGAGTTCTATGACTAATATCACTGGTCAACTACCACCCGCAATAGCTTATCAATGTCAGGTGAGTGGCAGCCCAAGAGTTGGATCAAATCTCGCTCATTGCCTGTGGTATTGACTTTGAGGTTTTCATCATCTAGGACCGTAGCTTATTTCAAATGCTTGGCGACGGAATTCGATTCTTAGACTTGAGAATAGGTTTTCTTCCCGGGTCACAAGAGCTAGGCTTTTTTCATGGTATGTACTTCGTGTGCCCAATTTTCCTCTTGTGAGCTTACTGACAATCCAGCTTTGACTTGATTAGCTAGTGCCCTTCAAAGCTCTACAGCAACTCTTCCGGATGTATTACTCGGCTTCTATCGCTGGCTAGACGATCATCCAACAGAAACAGTTCTTATCTCAATGAAGGTAGATAATGCAACTTTTGCTAATCCATCATCAGGTGGTCAACCATCCTCGCCAAAGCTTCAGAGCATGATCCGCGAACTCTTAACAAACGAGCTAGGCTCACGGTATTGGGTCCAGAAGAACGGTACTGTATGTCGTACTCTTTCTAGGTGTACGCCTACAAGATAGCTTATGCCTCCTTTTGTTCGTTCCAGCTTGGAACACTAGGAGAAGCACGTGGAAAACTTGTATTTCTTCAAAGGATTCAATGGGACTCGCCTATGCTCGGTATCGCACTTCCACCATCTCAATTCAATGACAACGATCCATCGTTTGCATTGGTATACAACGAGCGCACTGGCGCAACAGCATATATAGAAGATTTCTACAATATTTTGCCAAATCCAAGTACATTTGAAGATAAAGTCGCATGGAAATTAGAAATCACAGTGGAAAATCTTATTCGGGCGTCTGGACCAAAGCATTCAGATCAACTTTACATTTCGTTTGCAAGTGGAGGGGCGCTAAGAAACACTCCACCGGTGACTCCACAGGTTGAGTCTAAAAAATCCTACGTCGACTTCTCTTAGTGATCCAAGTACTGATTTTTTTGATTTGATTTGTTCAGATGTTAGCTGTGGGGGGAAATGGTACGGCTGGTGTCAATTCTGGTTTAACTGAGTATCTTTCCAATAACCGAGGTAAAAGGTTTGGAATCGTGATCCTGGATTGGTACGCTAGTAGTCCCGAATTGGTAAAGAGTATCATTGATCGATCATATCAATAAAACCCAAGACTGAAAAGAAACGATATCTGTTGTCCTCTATTTATATACGTATATATATATTACTATAATGTTCTTGTCTATCACTTAATCACCCTTCATCACATGTTTTAATTTCGGGTTCAAACCCTAAACTGAATTTTATCTTTCTCCTCTCTCTCTTTAACAGCATTTGTTCCGGTCGACTTTGATTTGTATGGTTGTGTCTTTTTCGGAGGCTTTGTTACATTTGAAGGTGATATTGCAAAAGTGCAATGAGTATGAAGTGGAGAGACTGAGGTGTGAAATGTAGACAATTCCACTGGCAAGACGTTTAGGTGTATCTACCCGTATATTAGATCATGATTCATGTGTCTTGTCCTACAGAGGCTAGATTGTAATGGATTAGTCGACATTGACATTCAAAACTGAGTCGGTATCATCAGCTTGCCCCTCATCGATCTGGATTCAAAGTGAACATCACTTTCTACTGTTGATTGCACTAAAATCTATGCAGAAGTGACCAGTATATTTGGATGTTTTGCAATTTAACAATGATACAGCTTTCTGATTTACTACAGCAGAGTATATCATAGGTTTCCACATTTTGATTTAGGTGGACTGGGATACCAAGTTAATCCTGAGGAGTCAGTGCCGATAGTCCTATTTGAACATGTTGCAGTATGAGATATCAGCAATCAAATATTTTTAGAGGATTTTTTCTCTCTTTGGCATTCAGCATCTGGTCATCTTCTTGACATGATGAGATCAAAATATTGAAAAGGATCATAAGTAAAACATTTAAAATTGCAATATCTTCAAATTATGGTAATGTATTCATTCCTTTGTTAGTGACCCAAAACAGGTTGGAGAGAAGCAAGCAATCGAATGGCGCATGGTTTGAGAGACATGTCTTTTGAATTTGACGCCATATAGATGTATATTACAAACTTTCAACCATGGAACATGTATGGTCCAAAGCTCACAAGAAATGCGCAAGCAAATTCAGACCATAATGGAACTGAAACTGATAGATAAGTATATAGGAGTGTGGTGTAGAAGAGTGTATATGGATTTGAAGAGATAGCTTTCTTAGAGTGGTTTCCTTCATCATCATCTTACAATTTAGATGCTTGTCTGGATTTGATAGAGATGTATATCTTAGGTCATCAATATCAGTGATAAAAAATGAAGCTCACTTACTGCTATGTCTTGATCCAGTCAATGATACAATCCGGTATCTATACGCACGGCTTTCACATTGCATCAGTCGATACTTGGACTGGACATAAATCAAGCATCCCTAGGCTGCAAAAGATATGTGAGTTATCATCTTGCTATATAGTTGATTTTGAAGGTGTGTGAGTTGATCACTATCAGACGTGTACTATGCCTCAACATGTCTATATTAGCCAAATCAAGGCATGGGGGAGACAAGATAGACTGGGATATGTTCTCCACACACATAAACCCCTCAACTGAATTCAATCAATCACAATCTGATGAGTTCATCAATTTTTGGAAAAAAGGTAATACATCAATACATAAACTTTTTAGAAAAGAGATCAAATGCAAGAATGTTCCAGACTGAAGCAATTTGCTATGTAAGTAATGAAAAAATAAAATACAGACAACAATACCATCCATTGCTCTATCCAAAGATGATATCACAGATGAATGAGCTAATTTTATCAGAACAAGAAACCTGGGAGGAGAAAATAACAAGGATTTTTGAGAACATCAAGTTGGGTGTACTATACACAAGCTTATCAGAACAAATAGCATTCTTTCAAATTTTATGGCAGCTTCTTGCATTGAAAAACGTACCATTCAAAATTTTGCAGATCATTCATCATGAGCTAATCAAGATGGAGGAAATGACAACAGATCTTATAGATGTATTTCCAGACAAATATGCAAAGTGGAGGGATCCATTACTCAAAACCATAGACATGTCTGAACAAAGATACAAAGAGTGTATTGAAGAGGTTGAGCATGGAAAGTGAGTTGATGTCTATATAGGCTTGAGTGATGGATTTCTCACTGTATCCTGGTATCCAATTATGATACTCTTAGGGACCTCATAGATTTTGTAACCATACAGAAGGGACTGGGGAAATATGGTATAAAGCTCGCTGGGGATTGGTCTCCAAAAGATCAAAAGCCACTTTTCAAACTGTGGATATCTGGTGAGCTAAGCGTATATTATTATCATCAATTTCTTGAAAGATAACTTTTTAATATGGCACGGACAACCCAAACTAGACAGAATGAAATTTTACGTTGCGGTCAAAGAAAATCCACCACTTCAACTTGTTCTGGAAACTCAATTTATGCAAACAGAATTAATTGAAGTGCTTAAAGCCATCAATCCCATTGATCTTGAGGTAAAGAAGGCATTTGTGGCTTGGTGTTGCTTGACTTTGAGAGAGCAATTGGACACTGTGATGGATTATCTCAACTCTTTGGATGAAGATAGGCAAGCATTGTTTTCACTATGAGTAGAATTGATGTTAGATGTGCATGCTGAATCTTTCGCAATTAAAAAGGGCTATGGTTTATCTTTTGGCAATACATCATTACATTCATCCATATGGATTGAAGATACGAGGAGATACAGAGGCCATGGATCAAGTAAAGATTATTAAGTTCTGGACAAGACATGAGGGAATTTTTGGTAGAGCAGATGATATTAGAAAATGATTCATGGTTGCTTTATTCAAAGATATTGATATATTCTTGATGATAAGAAGCCTTGAAGAGACAAAGGATTTACAAAGGACCTTAGAAACGATGGTGGTGAGAAAATTTGACGAGATGTGTGTGATTATGAGGAAATTCCTTCATCAAATGAAAAGCCTTTCTTGCACCCAGCCTCAGGAGGTCCCTGCTCTAGCTCTTTTCCTACAGTTCCATTCAAAAAATTCTCAGTGTGATCTAAACAGGGCAATTGCTGAAAGATATCTTGCCTGCTTCAGGCGACCAACACATTATAAGAAGATACTTAGGAAAATCTGTTCATGGTCAAAGAAGGTCTGGTGAATGCGTTTCTAATCTATCTATCATGGTTTTTGTCTTCATACAAAATGTATACTGCTTTGTACTTTCAGACAATTTATTAGTTTTCTGAAATCTGTTAGCAGTCCATGATAGTAAATGTTCACAAGTGCATGTAATAAGAAGGGATTTTGATTGTGTTTCAAATGGCACCAAGGGAATTTCATCAAAATATGTGGGGTGTTCTGTCAATCTTATTTAACAAAAAAAGTAATTAATTGCCATGAATTAGCGATATAATATGTGTTGAGATACTATCCTCTTACGAGTTTACTATCTTCCTATTTGGTCACAGATCATTTTCCAATTCAGGCAGTCAGAAGGTTGAAATGGAGGTTGGGCAATTCAGTTGAGAAGAAACGTGATGTGTGGACTTAGTGTAGGAATTTGACCAAAGGGGTGAAATTGTGGATGTATCTCAGTTGAGCTAAGGACAAATTGGGAAATGGAATCAAGGGGTGATTGGAAAAACTTTTGGGTTATCTGCTCTCATTTTGAATTTTGTTTTCCCCTCTTTTCTGATCCTTTTCTCATCAAAAAGAATCAGTAAGTCTCTCTCTCAGTTTGATTCTAAGATGATAGTCGAGATGTTAGTAACCTGTCAAATTTTGAAAACCGACTCACTCACCTCATTCATTGACAAGTTTGAAGATCTAGTTCGCAAATTATATTGTTTAAAGGGAGAAACATAAAAATTTCTTCCAGTCTAAACCTACCCCTTAAAAATCTCTTGAATAAAGTTGACAAACTCAATTCAAAAAATTAATGGATAATTCAAGGGCTGGATCTCCAAGTTCAAATCAAGAACAGTCAGATGCTATCAGATCTGGTCATCTGTGATAGTATCTAACTGTTCTTGATTGGAACTTGGAGATCCAGCCCTTGAATTATCCATTTATTTTTTGAATTGAGTTTTGTTAACTTTATTCAAGAGATTTTTAAGGGGTAGGTTTAGACTGGAAGAAATGTTTATGTTTCTCCTTTTAAACAATAGAATTGGCGAACTAGATATTCAAACTTGTCGATGAATGAGGTGAGTGAGTCGGTTTTTGAAATTTGACAGGCGTAGAGAGCCCTTGTAACAGCTTCTAATTTATCTTCAGAGATTCGATTATGATAACTTTTCAGATAATTCCAGCACCAATAGGGATCATAGATAATTTCTGAAGGATCTTCAGGATCAGTAAGGTGATTACGGGTCCTGACTTTGTTGACTGTATCCAACCTCTGCAAGATGTAGGTAGTTAGATTGAATCGAGTCTTCTCGTGTTCATCCTCGGACAGAGTTGCTTTTCGAAAGTTCCCCACCTTGACCTAATGATGAAGCTCGAGTGACTGAAACACCTCCATCAAGGACTGGCTCCATTCCACATAGTTCTTGTCAGACAAATCTTCTGACACTTTATATTTTACTCATAGCATTAGTCATGATATGAGAGTACTTTTGGATTTGATCACCAAACACTCTAGAGTCGACATTTTCAGTCATTTTGTTTGAAACAGAATCCTTTGGATTTCAAGGATCTGATAGAGTATCAGAAGACAGAGAAGGATTAATGAATTCCTGGCGAGCCGTTCCTGAAGAATTGGCCGAATTTGAAGTGCTTGAGCCTTCAGTAACTGTTGAGTTTTCCTGAAAATCGTCAAAACCCTTTGTTCGATTCAATCACTTGGAGCTAGTAAATGAAAAATACGAACAAGGTCCAAGTGTGAAACGAAAAACAAAAAAATTCAACTTGAGACACCCTAATTCGAGCATATATGTAACACTCCACAGGCAATAAATAAAGCCGTTTCTGCATTAGACCAGATCATCAAAACGGTGTCTTCATTGGGATTTGATAACCCTTTGGAAGCAATTGAAGCACGCGAAGAACTTGCAATTCAATCTGAGAAAATTAATATTTCTTTACAGAAGGCTAGACAGACCAAAGAGACTGTTGCAAAGTCAAGGAAGCTTCCTTATCGTTTACAAAAATATGTAAAGAAGTGATTGAGATGATGATAAAATGTAAGAATATAAAAAATAAAAAAAAGAGAGAAACTTACTGATCCTTTTTGACGAGAAAGAAATCAGAAAAGAGGGGAAAACCGGTAGACTACAGGATCCGGGGGGCGCCTGAGAATTCTCTGAGACTCTGATAAAATGAGAATCACCCCTCATAAGCCATGAGATTATGGGTATGTACAAATCTCGCTTCAGCCGAACTTGACTTTTGGACAAAAGTTACAATTTGACGACGTACTGCTACACACGTGTGACTTCTTCGATTCACACATACCCCTGACCCAAAACACGCCTGTGACATACTACAACCCTGCCTCCGTTGTGATCACCTCAACTCAACTTCACCGACCGATTGCACCCACCTCACCTCAACGACGTTCCTCGCTACGCATTCCACTATGCTAATCTTTGACTTTGTACGTCAGATGTCGGAAACCAGTCCGAATCTAATCACCACCCTCACTGTCACCGATTTCGTACGATTCATCAGCTTGGCCTCCGAGGTAAACCATATTGCTGGACATGCAATCCGTCTAACACCCCACCGACCAACAGTCCTACCATTTCTCACAACAGCCCTCTCTTCCAACCTTCCCGAGCACCTCATCAACGATCTATGGACTCTAGCTTTTCTGCTGTTACCTTTGGCACGATTTGACCCCAAAACCGCCATACGCACGTTCGGCCCTCAGTTCAAGCTCCCAGAAATCTTCATACGCCCGCCGGTATCTAACTGTCTCGTTTGCCCAGCTGCACGTAACTTACACGTCCATACTCGCCTGAATGGGTACCTATTCGACACGGATGGTGTGCACACAGTTCAAACGGTCATACTCGATTGCCCAGGTGAATGAAGTTTTTAATGGTATTGGAAAATAGCAATAAAACTGACTCAATCGCTCAAATAGGCTGTGGAGCAACCTATCGGCCGAGTTACTACACGGCCGCTAAAACCCGACACTATTATACCTTGAAACAGGGTCGTGATGTTCACATTATCCATGTTCATTGTCACTATTACATCACGAATCGATTGGGTCACCTTTTCCGGGTTATACAAATGCTAGCTCAGTAAGTTTTCAGATGTCTCTCTCTCTCTAATGCTTCTTCTCTCCTCATGATTGCTAATAACACATCAATCACGCTTGACCCTCCATCTTAGTGTCTCCCACTTCAACCTTACGAACTGGTATAATGAGATATACGTCGATGATTGCGATGTACCTCAGTTTGACTCAGCACAGGTGTATACGCCCGCTATGTCAGAGCGTGTGTGCCTCGACGGACTTGAACTTCGTGACCTGCTTGCCCACGAAGACCGGAGGGGAAACCAAGTCCTACTTCCCGCGACTGGAACGGACGACCTTCGATTTGACGAGGCTATCCGCTCCCATCTGGAGCGGCTAGATGTGGAAGGTACCAGCTTCCGCGATCACTATTGCAGTAGCTGTGTACGAGTTAGAAAAGCAGTGGATCCCAAGACTGGCAAAGAAGTGTTTTACGGTACTTACGTTTCTTATCTATCATTCTATCATCGTGATGATGATTGTTTCCTAACTGACATGTTTGTAAATGGGAACCAGGAATTCGCGCGGTGGTGACCGATGGATTGACCATCGGTCACTGGCGGTGCAGTGCATCCACTGCCCAACTGGAAGAGTTGGCTAGAGAGTCTGGAAAACCGCCACCAGAAGGACCTTGCACAAATGCCCTCGACAAAATAAACGACCGATTCTGCCCGTTGCATCACTCACTACTTGGTACTCGATGTCAAGTACAACCTTGCCGAAGAAACGCTATGCCGGAATCGAAAACGTGTGACCAGTCTGCCCACAAAGAAGCGTGGGCTAAGTTCACCAAACGTGTCAAATCCAACTTTTCACTCACTGCCATCCTTAATCGACCCGGTTCCAACCTTCCATCTGATCCGACTGTGCACCTGGACGCCGAAACCGGAGAATTCAATGCTATCGAAGGACTACGCGAAGCAGACGAGTCTAACCGTGCCCACGAGGGCGCCCGTGATGGTGGTGAATCGCACGTCCATGCGAAACTGGTAGCATCAAGGTGCCGTACACACAACGATCAACTTGTAGTTGGCTGTTGTGGAATTATATTGGCAAGAAAGACATTTTATCGTGCCGAATCAATAAGTGCTGTCAAAGTGAGTTTCATCCCTATGCTATTGATACCTTAGGAACAGTATTGACATGACATATAAGTGTTTCTTGGAGGAGACTTTTCCTCAAGGTATCCCGGAGGTAGTTTTTTATGACAATGCTTGTCGTCTCACGGAACACATCTATCACGGCGCAAATGGCGACACAACCCGATTCCAAGGGACGGTCATACCAGTCGACCCTTTCCACCACCGGTCTCATTCTGAAAGTGACGAATTTTGCAAACTGTTCACTGACCCAAAACTATTCCCAGATATACAAGAAGAAGGGAAGTGGGTGTTCAATGCATCCGCTGCAGAACTCACCAATATATGGTACGGTGGGTATGCGTCCATGTGTCGTAGCATGCACTCCCTTAGGTACAACTTTTTTTTGGAACAGATGGTGCATTTACGGAATGTTTGGCTCGCTAAAAAATTGAACAAGCGCAAAAACATGGAATTCATGGGGCACAGGTTTAAATAGGAATAGGTTTAAATAGGGACTTGGATTTTGTAATACCAATGCGCTCATCTGAAACATCTTGTTTTGAATCTACATAGGATAGGTAGGCAATTAAATAAATATTTTGATTTTGTGCTTCGATTGTTTGCCTTTGAAATTAAATGTGACACATGACACAATCGATTCCACAATCATTGAGACGAGACGAGTGCTTCAATCAAAAGTGGTTCTGCAAGTATGTAGCAAGAACATGGTGATACCATTGCAACACTTGAAACAAACGTAATGTGAGGTTTTCACGGGCAAGTAGATACAACAATGAGACATTTAACAAATCACTTCCGTGAGTTCTTGCTGTGATATCCTGACATCTAGGCGACGAAACCATGGCTAAGCACCTGAGAATAATGTGAATGAGTGAGAAACATCTTCTGATTATGAGACATTGGAAAAACGCACTTGAACAATGAGTTCATTATTTTCCTGATCTTTGGAAATGACGAGCCCTTCGAAAGTCATCATGGTATTGACTTGGATGTCTTCCATCTCGGATAACTCAGGAGAGAAATGCCCAAAGCAATAAGTTATCGCGAAACGCAAAGTGGTTCTCTTCTATATAAAGTAATCAACGTAAGAGTAAGTAACTTTGCACAAGAGTCTCCGTTACAAACAAATGAAAGCTTACATCCGGGTTGAAGATTTCATGCTCTGCTTGAACAGTTAGGTGCCATTCACCTTCTTCACTGACGTTGTCCCAAACAACTCTCAGAACCTTCCCGGTCGAATTGATCCAGGCTTTTGCAGCCAGATCGCCTTGTTGAGGTGGTACAGTCGCCACCAAAGTCTGGGTGATGCAGCTGTGCTTAATGAAAGCGCCGCTATTGGGATCTACCCCCACCGGACCATGGATGTGATAGGTGTGATTATGTATGAGCACGTTGTCCGCCATGAGCAAACCATAAGCTCTGAGGTTGCAGGGCAAGGGGTCGCCTCGTTGATCTTTCAAGATCAGCTTGGTTTCGCTCTGGTGCCAAGCTGAATCGCCTTCGCGCAAGCAGAGGTGCAATAGCGTGGCCTAGTAAGGAAAATGAAGAAGTCAGATGTATTGAAGCTATTATAAGGTAAGAGAAGATATTAAAATGCAAGCAGAAAACACAGGAAAAAAAGTAGCAGATATTCGTACATTGCTTTTCGCAGTAAGGATTGCTGAGATCTTGGCTGTAAGTGGAGTCATGTGCTGTTCAATCGTATGGGTGGTTCAGGTATGGTGGACGCTGTTGGTTGTCGCATATAATGTGATATATTTATATCATCACAGCGTCCGTGATCCATGAAGACGGTTTTCAAACGTTCCAGCATTTCAAGCGCGAAGGAATGTAAGCAACCTTTGGTCCGAATGTTCTCTCAAGGGTCTCCCCACTCGCTCGCTATTGTTTTGCTAAGGCTTCAAGTCAAAGAATGACCCTTGGACTGTCACGTACACGTATGCAGAGGGTTCGAAAACCCTTCTTTTGTAATCACGCAAATTTCATTTCCATCAACCGTGGGTTGTACTTTCATGTATAGACTAATGACAAAGTCGTTGAAGTATCATTCCTTTTTATAAATGAAAATAAAAACAAAAGCAACCCTATTAGTTGGTGGCCGCGCTGTTGCCGTTTACAACCTCTTGGAACTCCTTCTTGTACACACGTCGGGCGTCTTCAACAGTTGCACGGATGTTATTGCGGTAATGCGCGTAGAAACGGTCGTATGTGACCTTTGCGATCCACGCCCTGTGCCTATAAACGGTTGAACCCACCAAAACCCACTCGTCACCCCAAACCTCCTGCCATGCCTGTAGTGGAGGCCGAGTCTCACATTGCTTGTACCACGCAAGGAGCGTGGAAACAAGGACCAATGACGGCTTCCCGGGCCACTTTCTCTTCAATGCTTTGGCGGGGTTCGTAGAAGTAGAAGTCCCTGATGCCTGCGCTGTATTCGTAGATCCTGATATCTAAGATGATGAAATATGGCATAAGTGACGCATGTCCCTGTTTGGTCTGAAACCAACTGATTCGTAAATGACTCACGGGTTCAGGTTCACAGTGTCCTTCCTGTTCAAGAGGGGACTCATCGAAAGGGTCAAAATCGGGTAGCTCTTCAGATAGTTCGCGTTTGACGGTCCGTTTTCCTGGCTCAGTAACAATGTTACTCTTGACCACCTCTATCTTGTCGGATTCGTCGGATCCAGGTGAGCTGCCCCGTTTGGCATCTGCAAAGTCTGTCCAATCAGAACGCACCACCTCGACTTCGTCATCTGATTCAGGTGGAGGGCTGGTTCGAGGAGGAGGCGGTGGAGAGGTGCGTCGCAGTGAGGATGCGTTGGCATTCGAGGTTTGCGGTGTATTGGCGACGGCCGCACTGGCGATTCGCCTGGCCTTGGGTTGTGGCAGCCCGGCGGTGCGAGGATCCACATGTGGCGACCGTACCACAACCACTTTCACATTGGTAGGGTACCTGTGAGGGAATGTCACCATTGTTTCATTCTGACAACAACGTGACCGAGTATGACCTTCAGAACAAAGCCATGCAAATAATACAAAGGAAATGGCCCTTACCCATGAGTCAATATTGTCGTCCCAGAAACATAGTGCTCGATTCCATGTAGGTCCGAGGGTCTGCGTGCATGCTTGCATGAGCAGGGTGGATTCGTCAAGCTTGGCTTTGGGCCATTGCGCGAAATGTGCCGAAATGACGTTTGGTTGGTCAGCCTGCTCAGGTGGTGGTCGTCAGTTTGGTGAAAAAAATAGATTATTTGAATTTGTAAAAAAAAACCCACATTGAGCCATAGGAGGATCGTGATTACTTTAGCCTCATCATACTTATTGGCTATCTGACGTTCAGCAGCTTCATATCACTTGCGGCGGTCGTTCTGTATGTTTGCGACCAATTCCGGCCCGAGCAGATGTCCCAGCGAGTTAGGTGTTTGGGCCCATTGGTGAATTCGCCCACCGGTCCCTGGTCGTCTAACGTCAGGAGTTGGTTGTGTAGATGTACTGGCGGCAGACAATGTGCTAGCGGTCGCGGTTGCCAGTTGAGATGGATGACAAGGTGGAAGCGGTTCTTCCATACGGTTGAGTGTGGGGCCGGGACGGTTACCAGAGTGTCGAGTATGCTTCAAACACGCCCCTAAGCCATATTCAAGGCAACACTGATACCAAGTCGAATGCAAACATGAGGTAAATCAGTAATCATCTTCTGGATGGGTGTGTGTGATTGGCAGATGGAGTTGTAAATGCGACATAACTTACCGACTGACAGTACTGATGAGGGCATCCCTTGTTGCCAGTAGTCCGGTGATTACGTGCGACAGGCCCTCGTGAAGCTCGCAGACAAGGGTACTTCACTTTGGCACGTACGGGGCCTGCATGAGAGTCAAGCTGAGGTTGATCGTGTGGGGGGATGGGTTGGTGTCTACCTAAGAAAGGGTGTACTTCGGGCTCAATAGGGTTAAGCAGTTCTGCTAGTCGATTGGTTGAGCGGTTGTTGGTCTTTGCTCGTTTGGAAGCGGTTGAGATCGGCTTCTGTCCAAGAACGACTCCAGAAGGGGAGATTCGTGGGCCCCAGTCCTTTTCAGAAGAAATGATGGGACGAGGTGCTCCCGCGTTGATCAAAGCGCGTTCGTGGTTGAATTGATCACATCGGAATGTTCGCCAGTTGTGTTCATTTCTTGGACGTTGTGGACACTAAAGAAACAAAATAAAGAAACAAGATAGAAACGAAATACAAACGAAATAGAAACGAAATAGAAACGAAATAGAAACGAAATAGAAACGAAATAGTAACGAAATGAAAAGCACGTAAAGAAGATGATAATCAGTACTTATAGATCGATATGATGGCCTGAAGGTCAAAAGACTCGAAAGACTTACGTAGATCGTCCACGCATCCTCTCTTGCCGCAAAGTAACACAGAGGGGTCGAGCATTCGGGACAAAGTATGCCAACTAGGTGTCCTACCTGCGGCTCTGGCAAGAATCCTTCCTTGATGAATTGGTAATGCTCGTGAACGAGAGTGACTACCATGATCGTGATTGAGGAACTGGTTGAGCGTGGAAAGCACGTGATGGTGGCTGGATTGGGTGTTCATGGTACTGATCGATGTCGCTTGGCGAAAAAAATCGTGAGGTCCCTTTTGGGCGTGTTGAAACATTATCGAATAGTGATGTCGATTGAGTCAGTCGAGGTCAAGTCTATTGAGATGGTGGTTGGTGTGCTATATGAAACACAGAGGTGCGAGGGAAGGTGACGGTCAGGTGAAGGGTCAGGTGTACTGTGACAGGCTGTCTTATGGCAGGCCTAACATAGCGTAAGGGTTTTAGACTTTTACCGATATGCTTATGGGTATGTTTATACCGGCGCGCTGTATTCTCAAATTCTCACAGATTTCTCAGTCTCAAATTCTCAGGAACGAAACCCGGATCCTGACGTGCTCCCGGGAAAACAAAATTCAAAATGAGAACAGATAACCCAAAAGTTTTTCCAATCACCCCTTGATGCACGCCGTTAAATGCTCGTCACCTATTGCCCACGTAACGTGGAAGACCGGACGTTGATCTTACCCGAACGGGCAATCACGGATATCCCACCTATTCGCACATCGATCACATTGGTTATTCACACGAATGATACACGCGAAAGCAAATGGTGTATTCGCTTGAACATTACAATCGATACACAACTAAAAGTAGTTACATGAAGTTGTTGTTAATGATTTTCAAGCGTTTGGCGAAAGAAATTGTAATTAAAATGATGAGTGGAAATGAGGCAAAGAAACATGGAAAAGAGAGAAACTGTTGTCGGTGAATACGCGATTACACTGTGAAGTAAAATGTTTGTGGAAGTACGGAATAGAAGTGTTAGAATTTGAGAGAGAGAAATCTATAAGTTTCGGGTCGAATTTTTGAACTGTGTAAGAAATGTAAGTATCCAAAGTGCGATGCAACTTTTGGCACCGCGGTTGACGGTGGGATAGCCTAACACTCAGTCAGAGTGATGCAATATTAGTGGTTAGCGGTTGCTCGTCCAACAAGCACAGCGGGAGCTGAAGAATCTGCCGAGCGCGCGTGTAAACACGGTAGGAAAGTCACGACTTACTTGTGGCGTTCACGCGGCTGCTTCTTCGGACGGTTGTTGTAAAGTAAATTGGTAAACTTGGATGTAACGCTTTCTAGCACTTTGGCAAGATCCGCGACGATGGTGAGTTGGCGTTGTTTGTAAGGGAACTTGAGGTTGCCAGGATTGGTACACATAACAAGCGTTGTAGCATTACCTTGCATTTTGGAACCGTGCTGTTTCATACAATCCATCTCGTAGTCGAGATGAAGACGTGAGGTACTGGAGATGTCCGCAACGTGGCCGGCATTGGCGTGGTCCGTTGTGTCAGCGTCGTCATCGGCTTGGAGTTCTGAATGGCGACGGACGCACATGTGTGATGAACAGGGTGGTGGAGATATAGTGCTTGTTGATGCGATTGGAGCTGCCGTCGCGGTAGCCTTGAGGTGCACCACGGGAAGGAGCTGGATGCGACAAACGCGAGACCTGGTAAGGAAGAAATCGTTGGTGACGATGCTGGTGGTGCGGATAGTCATTGGGTCTGAACTTGATGTTTGGCAAGGTTTCAAAGAATGCATTGTACTAAATCAGTGTCTTGAAGTTAAGAGATTGCTCCGTGAGGACGAAGAGGAAATGATGGTCACTAAGCGTTCAGCGTTGTGCCATTCGGTTTGCGTGAGCGGAAGGTCCCTTTACTCGGGTGGCCTTTTATGTACCTCGCGGCCACTCCTTTTTTCATAACGGGGATTCCCTCGTTGTGCGGTGACAATACATGTAATTTCACTCTGCGCGCTTGATTTACAAGCGAGGATTAAAAGCCTCGGCCTGCGTTCACGGCCATTTGGAGCGTTGTGCGATTCACAAATTCACATCGCCATTAGGAGATTGAGGATACACAACATATCCCCTTCATTTGAGTCATTCGCAGCATTGTGAACATACATTACAATCATCCATCCGCGTATATTCAACACCTGCGGACTCAATCCTCAAAGTCTCTTTTTAAGCGCTCCTTCGCTTTTATTGCGTACAACATTAACTAAACAAGTTAAAATCAACAAAGACTAGTATACCTTCAAAAATCAATCGTCTAGTCGAAGCAAGCAACGTCCTTATCTTTTCGGACGTTAGAGAATATTCTTGTTTTTTGTCTATTTTGAATTGAGGAACACAGCCAATACACAGATATGAGCTCCAAACAGCGCCATTGCGGTGTCCGCCAGCAACCGCGCCGCTTTGCGGTCCATTTTGCAGTTGAAGATTCACCGTGAGTCGTGAACTGTCTGCAAATTCATATGATTTCCACGACTTGAGATAATAGGAGATAATTCGGACTCCGTGTGAAAAGAGGTGCTTAATTTGAAACACTCAATTCGGCTACGAGATATTCAAGTTCAAAAGTACCGACAGATTTGCAATTCTTAATCCGCCTCCAAAAGGATTTTCCTGCGATTCCTGTTTAAGTGGCGAACATTTACGTTCAGGCCCCCTTGATTCCATTTCCCGATTTGTCCTTAGCTCAACTGAGATACATCCACGATTTCACCCCTTTGGTCAAATTCCTACACTAAGTCCACACATCACGTTTCTTCTCAACTGAATTGTCCAACCTCCATTTCAACCTTCTGACTGCCTGCATTGGAAAATGATCTTCGACCAAATAGGAAGATAGTAAACTCGTAAGAGGATAGTATCTTAACAATATGATGTCCATGCAACACACATCCGCACAGCCATGAAGTGGTGAATGCAATATGAAGGGAAGGCATCGCAAACAAAGCGAAAGGCTTTGTTATCAAATTCGCAACTCAAGCTTGTTTTGTCATCTTTGTAACAAAGGGCAAGTGTATTAAATTGATAGCAATGTGGATGTAGGTACAATATTCTAAGATGACGTTTCTGTTTACTTGGCAAGATAATTTGTTGCGCGTTCGCGTCGTTTCAACGTACATATCCCCCCTTGGAAGCTTGGAAACCAGCACCAGCTGCTGCCGAAGCCGACAGTCCGGCACCAAAGCTTCCAACGCTTCCAACGCCAGCACCAACACCTCCAGCGCCGTATCCACCAGCGCCGGCTCTACCGCTGCCAAACGCAGCACCACCGCCGACGCTTCCTGAACTCGCACCTCCGATGCCATAACCTCCAGCACCGGCACCTGCAGCTTCGAAACCTGCAGCTTCGAAACCTGCAGCTTCGAAACCACCAGCCTCAAAACCGCCTGCACTAGCACCTCCAACACCGAAGCCTCCCGCTCTCGCACCCCCAGCCCCAAAGCCTCCAGCGCTAGCACCTCCAGTCTCAAAACCTCCCGTACTTGCACTTCCGGCGCCAAAGCTTCCTAACCTCGCTCCCCCAGACCCAAATCCTCCCGCAGTCGCACCTTCGGCTCCGAAGGCTCCGGCGTTGAGACCTGCTGATTGCGAAAATTCGCCTCCTAGACTTGCACCCGCACCGAAGGCACCACCACCACCTATTTGACCCCCTGAGAACGCTGAGCCACCGATAGAGCCACCCTCCCGGCCACCCTCCCGGCCACCTTCCCGGCCACCTGCGTATACTCCCTCTCCGAAACTACCCACACCTCCAGCCGAATATCCACTTGATACTCGCGGCGGAAGGACCACGGGAATTTGTGGGATTGGTCCGGAAGATGTGTAGAAAGAGGTCTAAATTCATGACATAAAGTTTGTTAGTTGAGGATCAAGAAACCGAAAAGGTGATATGGTGTCTCACAGATGAGTCCCGGCTGCTGTTTTCCGCAGATGAGTCGCTGGACTATATTTCGAAAGGTTGCATATCTTATAAGTATGTGAACGGAGAACTAGAATTGGAAAATATTGCTCACGCTATCCGATGAATCAGAAGAATCTGAGCTATCTGAATCTTCAGAAGAATCTCCCGATGATTCTTCAGATGAATCACCAGATGAATCCTCAGAAGAATCATCATATGAATCTTCGGACGAGTTTGAGTCTCCCCGACTCGAGCTCGACGTGTGAGTGTATGAGGAGCCCTGGATATAGGTTACAGGAAGGTCAGTTAAAAAGCAAAGTGTCATAATTTAGCGCATGATTGAGGATCTCACAGCTTGGGTGATAGGTGCTTGGCCAGCAACAAATCCAGCGTATCCAGCTTGACCTCCCAAAGAGATAGGACGCTGCGATTGTGATTGTGTACTCGCAAGTTGTCGAGTTGATAAAGTGATGGCTTGTGGTATGGAAGAAGCCTGTTGAAGCTGCGATGTAGGCATCACGTCGATAGTCTGAATGTGCGCTGGATCATGCATCTCATGTACCGCGTTGTGGGTGGCAGTGGGATTGATGTTGCCATTCGTTGCCTGAATAGTGCACAGAGGTTCCTTTGGTAAATTTGAATCGCAGAGCAAAAAGACTTGCAAAATTTATATACTCACGGTCTGTTTTTGTCCATATGCCGCGACATCTGCTCCGTCATTAGAGTCTGTCAAAGGTCGTACAGAAGTGGGAAGCGCTTGAGTCTGAAGGACGATGGCGATCAAAACGGCAACAAATAATCCAGAGTGATGCATGTCGCTAACTAAATATCGAAAACTGTGTGCAATAGGCTGATGCTGGGTTGAACTGCTTGAACGTCTGGAGTATCTACGGTACTATGAATATAAAAACAAATAAATGAAAGGGTTCACGAAACGCCTAAGATCCTGAAGATGAAATAAAAATAAAAATATGATATAAGAAGTGGTACTAAGGTACTGAGAAAAAGTTACTAAAGTTTTATAAAATTCAACAATCGTCAAGACTGATGAAGGTAAACAAATGGATTATGATTTGATGATTTAAACAGAGACACAGACCACAGATGTCTTATAAACTCCAAAGCTATCGAGTGAATCAAGATGGACTCCTCATCGCAGCCTGTAATTTCCAAAGTGTAAGGTGAGTGGTTGGACTGGTCCTCCATGGTTGATCAACCTTGCGATGGTCATAAAAACGAATCTTAACTAGTTGTTAGCTTGAAGTTTTGGACTTTGACTTGAGGTATCCATGAAAGTTAATTCCGTCTTCATAACTTCTTACCGACATTCAGAATGGTCTCTGACGGCGACGATCTGGTCCAAATCAGCCAAAGAAGTGACCAGTTATCACCAACGAGCACACTTGTTCTCAAACATCATCAGCATCTATCATCATGTATGCTGCGTTTGAAAATTCTAGCTAAGAATCGAAGAGAAGGGGTCGATAAGCCTATGGTACTAGTAGTCGAATCACTTCGGTCAAATTTTCGAAGACCTCATGCCCTCCAGTCAGCGAAGCGGATTCCAGCGTTCATCTTGAGCGGTCGAGATTGTTGGCTCTTGTCACCTTACCCTCCAAGATGTGACTCGTCACGGAACGTACGATCACGTGCAGGATTTCAGGTTCAAGAGAAGTGGCTTCAGTCAAGATAAATGACAGAAAAGACACCCAGGAGAAACCCACCTTACTTGCCAATTACCATTCTACCACCCACTCTGAGACTGTCCTTGATTCTCACGCATCCAGTGGCCAAGTCTGAATAGCACATCGAGGTAGCTCGAGCTCTATCATCGTCAGCTGATGTTTGTATACTTACTGGAGTGAACTGTACCGTCTTTGACATCAAGCTTATAAAGTCATTTCGGTAATGTACGCAGTGCTCATTTCAAGTTTGACCAAAAAACATAGTGGGTTTGCAACGGGTCCGCTTAGTGCGTGCTCATGAACACATCTTACTGAAATTGGCTATTGGATAAGAACTACCATTGTCTTTTGCACAGATACCAGTATGTTTAGGTCTATCCAGGGCTTGCATTGTACCTCGAGCAAAACTTCAAGTTCAAGCCTCGATGTCTTTTCAACCCGGTTTCCATGTATCTGCATGAGAGGAAAAACAGCTTACGTCACATTGCTCAAAGGGCGTCACGTAGCATTTGGTACGCTGATATGGATTCATATCATGGGCTTTTGACTTTGGATGCATACCTATAGGGAGTATGAAAATTGCATATGCAAGGCTTGTAATACCTTGTCTTACGCCCTCAGCACCAGTGAAAGTTTCACTCGCGTTACAAAGTTCAAAGTGGGTCAATTCTACAATCTGTTAGATCGTCATAAAGTCTGACACGTAACTGAGTTCAAAAGCAATTAAACTGTGGTCGATTGCAAGACCGTCTCCGTGTGTTTGCAGGGTCCCGATGTTAGACATAATGTCACGGATATCAATTTGAATAAAATCTACACCATACATGCTGTGTCCACAACTACTGAGGTAGTGTACTAAAGTGCCACCTTTTACTACTGGCCATTCAACATCGACCTGGTACTGCCCTCTGCGGTCAACAAGCCCTTTCCTACCTCCGTGCTGAGAACTCGGGGTCCGTCACCGACGCGAGTGCATATCAGACGACTGATGCTACCTTGAGGCCAAACTGGGGTTACCTTTCCATTGAATCCGCTAGGTGGTGAGAGGTCACCAGTTTTGTCGGCGAGATAGCCTTTGGGGTCGTTGAAGGGATCAGCCAGTGGAAAGAAGTTGAGGATTGTGGAAACGATGGTCTTCATATTGGCCCTAGGCGCATAGATTACTGCATTGGGACCCGCGTCGAAGGTGTAAGTTGCGAGTGTACCTTGGCCCAAGGCTCGAGAGGATCGGTTGAGTTCTTCGACCACGGCGATTATGGCACGAGAGACATCGTTAAGGTAAAATATAGGTGGTGTGGTATCAAGGCAGACAGCGTGAAACTGATTTGAGTCGGCAATCGTAAGAGCCGAGAACTTTTCGAAATCGCGTGATGCGATCGCTTCTTCCATTGCAGCCATCCTAGCCGGAACCACATCCTTGATGCGATGTTGAAGTAATGCACTGGTAGCCACAGTCGCTGCCATTCCGCCGGTCGAGCTGGTTCCCTTCTTCGAATCGCTCACAACACAAATCATGGCTTCTAGGTCTGGCCAATGAGCTTGAGGTGCCACCATTCGAGCACCGGAATCTCCACCATCTGCAGCCGTTCCCATGTCCCATGCTACAAAGCCACCTAACAACGAGCGACAAGCTGAACCAGAGCCTTGACGTGCGATGCGAGAGAGTCGCTCGGGTGACATTTGCAATTCAAAAAGCTGTGCAACCGTGAAAGCGAGGGCGGCGAAGCCCGAAGCCGACGAAGCCAAACCAGCAGCAGTAGGGAAATTGTTTTCAGAAGCTATGACGAGCGCACGTCGAGATTCAGGCTAAAAGCAAAAGCATATCGTTTCAATTTCAAGAATAACGCAACGAGCTTGAGCAACTGATATTTACCAGTTGAGCGTCTTTTACATCTTTTGGAGAAGTGGCCTCGGACTGAGCTCTTAATTGTCGTAATTCGTCCAAACAACGAGCAAGACGTGAGCCAGGGGTAATTTCAACTTGAGCACCGTTTAGCCAAAGTTGATCAGCGCCTTCGGAATCGATCAGTCTAGCAGTGGTAGTGGATCGAAGATCATCCTGATCGAGTGTCACCGATAATGATGAGTTGGTGGGTAAAATGAGCTCATTGTCTCGCTTGCCCCAGTATTTGACTACGGCAATGTTAACCTACAAAGGGAGTAGTCAGTCACCTGGTACAACAAAATGAAAAAAGAGAATGTATTGTTGCGTACTGGTGCGCTGCAAGTAACTTCTTTCACCATATTGATATTGATGATATTGATATATTTCAAGACTTGAGATGCAAAGGTCGCCAAGGGATGGTGAACTGATCAAGAAGGGCGATAGACGTTTTGGGCCTTTGGCTATTTAGATGGGGTTGGGAAGTCATCATTCGCTGCAGAGTGGGGATGACTCCTTTTTCCTGAAGCAGATACACATTTGCGGGGCCGTCTGACTTTCTGACATACACACACTTCTTGTATTCAGCGGCCCGCACTGGCCCGCCATCGAGGTTTGCACACAACAAATTCAATTGCCAAGTTCTTCGGCTCCGGAGTCGACTCTCCATGTAAAGCTGAACCAAGACTTCCGCTACGGTGCATCCCTTCCAAGGCACAGCATACATAGCACCCCCGCAAGACGAGTTGATTTTCAAAATCTTCCTCAAAGAGAGTCGAATCCCCATTAGCTCAACGTTCCCAGTCCTTTGAGCTGGTGTACTTGTGATTGATTAACAGGATAGCCACATCAGAGAACCATTGAATCAAAGTCGTGCGTTGACAAAGAATCCTGTAGGATAAAGAAGAAAGAAGACTAGGCTTTGATTTGACCGAAAGTGCAAAGTGGAGTATGGCATGAAAGAAGAGAACAAGGATTTTCTGAAGTAGATTTTACTGCAGATGGTATAAGAAGGGGCCTTTTCACCGGTAAACATGAAAGGACGGGGAGTTCCTTTGCATCTTGATATCTGACTCAATATCGAGGGAAGGTCATTGGAAGAATATTCAGGCAATACTTAGATACTTTTGAGGTAAATGAAAGTATTTTACCAATTCTTTAACTCATATCCTGCTGTAGAACACCGCATGGATTTGAGCCAAATTGAAGAAGTGATGAAACAAATCAGAAAAGCATGTTGACGGAGTGACAAAAACTCGAGTTTTCTCTTACCATGCATGTAGGAGCTGCAGTGTGGGGTCCTGCAGTCCTTTGTGTGTGAGGCTCGAAGTCACCGCAGTGGTCTGAATGCCAAGTCACAGCGATTGTTCAGTTGGATCCCAACGTTAATTTGGTACATAGACTCTTACCATATCCAGCCATGTTGTGTGCGACGATGAGGAATGGAAGAACAAAAGTCCAATCAAATACTCCGATAGTTCGGGATCTGTCCTAAAGACAAGCAACTCATCCTTTCAGCCTTTGATGTTGTCCTAGAAACCATACAGTCGTGCTTCTTGATCTGCGTGGAACAAAGGTGGGGTTGATGAGCCATTGTGTGAGTTGATCGAGTCACAGTCAGATTCAGAATGGATGTGATGGAAATTTAAATGAATTAGGTTTATTTGCAGTTTTATTAGAAGTTCAACTCAAAATCACTTCATCATATCACCACTATCCAAAAAAATCCTCCAATCTCAACTCAAATCAACTCAAACACAATCTCTTCAAGCCTATTCTCATCTTCTCTTCAACACTTTACGAACCTTTGGTCGTCAACCTAAACTTTCACTTCCTTCAACCGATCATGTCTGCCGAACCTACCTCCTCTGTGCAACCACCTCAACATGCTCGCCAGCCTGGTCGTGGTCGTGGTCGTGGTCGTGGTGGCGGTCGCGGTGGTCATCCGAATCCTAATGGCGGTGGTCATCCGAATCCCAATGGCGGTGGTCGTTCAAATCCGAACCCAAATCCTACCCCTGGTGCTGGTGCTCGTCGAAGCAGAGGTGGAAGACAATTTGGATCTCAACTTACGACTGATGACAAACCACCTTCGACCGTACAGGCACCCGTCACTCAGCCACATGAAATTCATAGTGAGCTTGAAAAGACTGATGCTGCAAAACTTGCCTGCTGACCACCTCTGTCCTTCGGTCCAATCCTAGAACCATCTATCAAATCCGATCCGGTGAATTCTACAAACGGCCTTGAGATTGATCTCAAGTCCAAGGGTAAATCGAAGATTGTAGATACGCCAGCAGAAGTCGAGCCCGACGAAGCAGAGATATGCTTTATCTGTGCACAGCCCGTCCAACATTACGCACTGGGTGTCTGCTCACATCGGACCTGTCATGTATGTGCTATCAAGATGCGGGCGCTTTATAATAAGCGTGAGTGTACGTTCTGTAAGGTAAGCATCATGTTGCCCTGTAAAAGCTTCTTTGAATGGACATTGCTCATCTACCTGCCCCATCTTTTAGACCGATCTGCCCGAGATGATCATCACCGAGGATTCTTCAGCCCCCTATGGAACGTATGACCTGGCCAGCTTCCAATATAAAGACTCTAAACTTTCGATCTTTTGCGAAACCTTTCAACAATTAGAAGAACTCTTGGGATTATTAAAGTTCAATTGTCCACATCCCCAATGTTCTATCGTGCTCACAAACTGGCGGGAGCTCAAATCACATACCACATCTAGTCATGGACTTTCTCTATGCGATTTATGTTGTACAAATAAGAAGGTTTTTGCACACGAACACACTCTTTTCACTCGCGATGGGCTTGTTAAACATAAGAATATAGGATCAGTTGGGACAGGAAAAGGTTTCTTAGCCACACAAGCCGAAGGTGAAGGTCATAGTCTCGTGGGAGATGACGGATTCAAAGGCCACCCCAAGTGCGAATTCTGTTCGACTCACTTTTATGGTGATGACGAATTATACAAGCATTGTAGGGAGAAACACGAACAATGTTTTATCTGCGTACGGAATGGAAGCGGACGTTGGCAATATTATCTCGATTTCCCTCACCTGGTCAGATCCATGGATTCATTTACCTGAGTGATAGTTGCTTGCATTAACGCTTTCGTCATCATATCATTTCTCTCTTCTTTTGTAGGCAGCCCACTTTCGTACCGATCATCATATATGCACCCACTCTGGCTGTCTTCAGGATAAATTTGTCGTATTTGAAACTGCATTTGAACTTCAATCTCATCTAGTCGAAAAACATGGTGCAGAAATGGGTACAAAGGCCATCAAAGATGCTAGGAAGATTGAGACCAACTTCGTCTACAGTACTTCTCGTGAACAACATGCTCAAGGCTCTTTTCATGGTCGTGCAGGCCCTAGCGATCAAGAAAATCTTCAGGCGATGAGCATCTCGCCTGTAGTTATTGGAACTGCAACCAATCTATCTAATGCCAATAGAATTGTCCCAGGCTTAGGTAACAATTCCAGGGATCCGGTGGGCACAAGTCGGAGACGAGAAAAATCCAAGTTCAAGTCTACTCTCACTACTGACTCGGTACAGGATGGCCAGTCGCCTTCAGGTCAGGTGACTGGACCCGAAGAAGTGGACCACACGCTTAGTTCTAGTGCGGATGTTGTTGAGCGCCAAAAACACGCGGCTCTTATGCAAAAGGTTAAAGATGCCGCTGGTGGATCCGAGAATAAGGTGGTCTCCTTTCGAAGTGCTGGTGAGTGTCGAGAATTTCTTTGACCTGTTGATCTATCCATAATATTCAACTTTGAGGAGAGATTCAAGCTGACATAGATGGACAAACTAGTCAAAACCTATCTTAACAACGAGATGAGCGTATCTGGCTTCCTGGATGTATTGTCCACAATCTTTGAAGGACGTAGCGAGGCTTTGGGTGGTATCATCAATGGCCTTTTGAATCTTGAGATGGACCAAGACCGGAAGACTGAACTACTGAAGGCGTGGAAAGATTTACAGGCTATTGTAAGTATTCTGCTTGTAGGATCTATGAAGCTGCTTCTTTACTGAGATAGACCCATCACAGAAAACACAGTTTCCGTCTCTTGATCATGCTGGATCTTCACGAGCAGCTCAGGCTTCATATTCCAATCCTAATATGCGTGTTGCCACAACTTGGACTCGTGGGGATACCTCCATGTCTCAATTCCCATTACCAGGTCGTTCAAAGAATGAAACAGTCAAAACGAATCCCCCAGGTCGAGAGGTCCCTGGTATGACGCCCAGGACCGCAAAGCCTGGCATACGACCCACCCCTTGGTCTGGTATGTCATATATACTCGCAGCGATCATGTATGGGGCCCTCAAGTGGAATGAAAAGCTGATTGAACTTCCTAACCAGGTGCCAACTCCGCCTCATCCTCTTCTAACCATATTCCCCGAGTCACCCAATCAAGACCACCAAACCAGCCAACGAAATCATCAACCCAAATTCAACAAACCAAACCGATCCAAAAACCCACTGAAGCCAATTTCCCAGGTTTACCCATCAATCATGCGATTTTAAACCGACAAACAAAAGTCAAACAAATGTTAGAAAGTAATTCGAGTAATGGAAGATCAACGACCATCATCGATCAACCATTCTCACCTAATGGTGAAGATCGATTAGGTACAGGCTGGATTAATCGTAGAGCTGAGTCTAGTACAAGTTCTACATCACCTACTCCACCTCTACCTCAAACCTCATCAGGTAAAAAACCACCCAAGAAGGTCGTCTTGTTTACTAATGCTCGACCTGCTTGAAGGGTATGGTAAGAAGTTTAAATTAATGGATCACATAGGGTTCTTGTTCAGATCAATTCATAATTCTTTAGATATTGAAGATGTGTTGTATTGAAAAGTTTGGAGAGTCAATGAATTTGTATCACTCTTGTTTTTTTTCTTGAAAATAGATTGCTTTTATATGTGTTTGGATTATTATAGATGAGGTGACCAAATGCCAAAAGATAAAATTCTTGTTCAAGAAATCCTTTGGCAACTTGGATTGAAACCTGAATTAGAACAAATGACGTCATCGCATTATTGGTGTAGCGGTTAGCATTGAAGCCTTCCATCGTGAACAGCTTTAGTCCGGGGTTCGAATCCCCGATAATGCAGGAGTCTGTCTACCATGTTGACAGATTCACTTTTGCCGCTTTGAGTGGCGTGACTCTGGTAAAACAGGCCCAGAAAAGTTTTGGAATTGTTGTGATCTGTTTTGAGGGATGTTCACGATGAACTGCTGGGAAAGGTTGCTCGCGGTGATTTGGAAACCGCTGAAAAGCTGGAATGAAATAGATTATAAATCCTTTCTGAGCTTATATTGACCAATCTTGAGGTGAATGAATCCTAAATATATGCGTTGTTTGATGAAGTAAAATAAAGTGGAGTGAAATTTAGTAATGAATTTGAAGTTAAGGTTGGTTAAGTACTTAAGATAGGTTTTGTTTGATCGATCGATTGATTTAAAATTTGAATGGTTTTGGTTATTGACCATTTGACGAAGATCAGTTCAGACTCGACAGAGTGGCAGTAGGGAGCGGAACGAGAAAACAAGGAGAATCCAAGTTCTTCTCGAATCCAACCTCAATCATTCTACAATAATCTCACTCTCAACTTAACCACCTCAATTCATATAGAATCAAATCAAACAATCTCATAAATCAAAACGACCATCAAAACATCGAACCATCAGATCATCAGTCACGATGGCTTCATCATCAAATTCTCATATGCCACCACCACCTCCCAACCATCAATCTCTACCTCTTCCACCACATCTAGCTTCGTTTCCTTCTGTCTCATATCAGGTTAGTATTATCATTAAACCATTTGACATGATCCATTCTTACTTCGTTTCATCTCGCTTGTTAATAGGAAACCGCGCCAATGTCTCAAGAACAATTAGATCTTAAATCGAAGAAGTGGATTCAATTTCAAGCTCGAAAGTATGCAGATAAACAACTCAAAACCAGTTTTATTGATACTGGAAAACAAGAGATGCCACCTGAACGTATGTTTCATAAAAGTGATCGCTATTTGCCAACTGGATTATCTACTGATTTTTTTTGAATTGGATTGGTGTTTAGACGTTCGAAAGATTATCAAAGATCACGGTGATCTTTCGAATCGAAAGTTTAGAACTGATAAACGAGTTCATTTAGGTGCTCTTAAATATGTACCTCATGCAGTTATGAAATTATTAGAAAACATGCCGATGCCTTGGGAACAAGTTCGGTCTGTTCAATCTTCCGTTGATGTATCATTCAAACCTCTCGGATTTATCATCTTCCTGATTTAATTCTGTCTGATTACGAAATTCAGTGAGGTACCGGTCATCTATCATATCACCGGTGCTATTACTTTCGTCAATGAAGTTCCAAAAGTCATCCCACCTGTCTATCACGCTCAATGGGCTTCGATGTGGTTGTCGATGAGACGCGAAAAACGCGATCGAAGACATTTCAAAAGGATGCGTTTCCCTCCTTTCGATGACGAAGAACCACCACTCGATTACGGTGATAACATCCTCGATACCGAACCTTTAGAAGCCATACAGATGGATCTAGATGAAGATGAAGACGCTCCAGTCTTTGATTGGTTTTATGATCATAAACCACTTGCGAAAAAGTACAAAGGTGTTCAATACGTCAACGGGACGAGTTACAAGTCTTGGCAATTGAACTTGGGGATGATGAGCACACTTTATCGGATCGGTCGAAATTTGCTTAGTGATTTTATCGATGATAATTACTTTTATCTCTTCGAGCCAAAGGCTTTCTTTACTGCCAAGGCCATGAACATGGCGATCCCTGGAGGGTAGGCTCTCTTCACTATACTTGATTTTTCTTCGTTTTGGTCTGAAATTCTATTTAATTCGAATATAGCGCCCGTTTTGAGCCTCTGCATCGTGATGCAGAATCGTATGATGACGATTGGAATGAATTTAACGACATCAATAAAGTTATCATTCGTCAACAGATTCGAACCGAATATCGTGTGGCTTTCCCTCACCTTTATAATTCTAGACCTCGAAGTGTTCATATTCCAAAGTATCATGAAGTCAAGAATTTATTTATTCGAGTCGAAGATCCTGATCTACCTACATTCTATTTTGACCCGATCATTCATCCAATCGTAAGTCAGATCTTCATATATCAATATATGTCGCGATATGACGCGACTTTCTTGTATAACGCGTTCGGAAGTCACAAAGTTTGTCCTCATCATGAGTGTTTCTGCACCCAACTCTCCTTTAGTCTTCCAGAGCAGTTGCGCCTCAAAATCAAGGTGTTTCCCATGAAGAAGAAATTTTCGGAGATTCCGATGAGGACGATTTCAAACTACCTGAATCCATGGAACCGTTCCTTTCAGACAAACCTATTGCAAATGATAATACTACGTCAGCTATAGCGATGTGGTGGGCTCCTTACCCTTATAATCATCGAAGTGGTAAGACTGTTAGGACGTTGGATGTACCACTTGTTAAGAATTGGTACATGGAACATTGTCCACCTGGCATGCCTGTCAAAGTTAGGGTATCGTATCAAAAATTGGTTCGTTCAGATTGTGTTTTTGGTCTTGTTGAAGGGTAGCGTGAAAGAAAACTGATGCGGTTTGTGCATTTAATTCTTTAGTTGAAGAACTATGTCTTGAACGAGTTACACAAACGAAAACCTAAACCACAATCTAAGAAATATCTATTCAGACAATTGAAGAATACCAAATTCTTTCAAACTACTCGATTAGATTGGGTGGAAGTTGGATTGCAAGTTTGTAGACAAGGTTACAATATGTTGAACTTGCTGATCCATCGTAAAAAGTCAGTCCTCATCTTTATCAAACGAATTGCTAAAGTTTTCATGTTAATTGAATTTATGATTTTTTTCATAGCTTGAATTATCTTCACCTCGATTACAACATGAACTTGAAGCCCGTCAAGACTTTGACCACCAAAGAAAGAAAGAAATCTAGATTCGGAAATGCATTTCATTTATGTCGAGAAATCCTAAGATTGACCAAACTGATCGTAGATTGTCATGTTCAATATCGTTTGGGAAATGTAGATGCATTTCAATTAGCAGATGGATTGCAATTTGCATTTGCACACGTAGGACAATTAACTGGAATGTATAGATACAAGTACAAATTAATGAAACAAATCCGACAATGTAAAGATTTGAAACATTTGATTTATTATCGATTCAATACTGGTGCTGTTGGAAAAGGTCCTGGGGTTGGCTTTTGGGCTCCGGGTTGGAGAGTTTGGTTATTCTTTATGAGGGGTATCGTACCTCTTTTGGAAAGATGGTTAGGTAATCTTTTGGCAAGACAGTTCGAGGGTAGAAATAGTAAAGGTGTTGCAAAGACCGTGACTAAACAACGGGTCAGTTTCTTTCCATGTGATTTTGATTTTGGATTACCATTTGTATAGCAACTGACTGATCTGATGATTTGTACAGGTCGAAAGGTGAGCTTTATGGCGTGCTATGATAATGGCTTTGTAGGTCTAGAGCCGTAATACTGACTCTTTTTAATCTTTTCCAGTCACTTCGACTTGGAGTTGCGTGCTGCCGTTATGCATGATATCCTAGGTTCGTACCACTCATCGCTACGTACACGCAGCTATGCAAGTCATCTAACGGTTCTCAAAATATTCAGATATGATGCCAGAAGGTTTGAAACAAAATAAATCCAAGACGATCTTACAACATCTCTCAGAAGCTTGGAGATGTTGGAAAGCGAATATACCATGGAAAGTACCGGGAATGCCAACAGCCGTTGAGAATATCATTTTGAGATATGTTAAATCAAAGGCTGATTGGTGGACCTCTGTGGCTCATTATAATCGTGAACGTATCAAACGTGGTGCTACGGTTGATAAGACAGTCAGTAAGAAGAATTTAGGAAGATTGACTCGTGAGTGATTTCTTTTGATTATATTTTGGAAATGTGGTTTGATATTGACGGAATTTCTTTTGTTGGCGGGGCTTTGATTTTATGTAGGATTGTATCTCAAAGCTGAGCAAGAACGACAAAATAGTTACCTCAAGGATGGACCCTGTGAGTATTGAGCTTTTCTGCGCTCAACTAGGTCCTCGGCAGATGCAGATAAGAGATGAGAGAGAGAATAAACTTATGGACTAAACTGACGGTATTCATTTCATTTCATACAGATGTGACGGCTGAAGAGGCAGTTGCGATATATTCAGCAACCGTACATTGGTTAGAGAGTCGAAAATTCGCACCAATCCCCTTTCCACCCTTGAATTATAAACACGATACCAAATTATTAGTCTTAGCTCTCGAGAAATTGAAAGAAGCTTATTCAGTTCAAGGTCGATTGAATCAAAACCAAAGGGAAGAATTAGGTAACAGAAATCTTTCGAGTTTAGTTCATCAGATTTTTCTTTCTGTATTGATGTTTGGTATTCTGTGTTTTAGCTTTGATTGAACAGGCTTATGATAATCCTCATGAAACTTTGTCGAGGATTAAGAGGCTTTTGTTGACCCAGAGAGCTTTCAAAGAAGCTGGTTTGGAATTCTTCGACAGTAAGTTATGTTCATGTGTTTATGCTCTTGCTTCAATACTCAACGCATCGGTCCCTCACAATCTCACTTGTTGTTTGCTTTTTGAAATTTTGCAGCGTACGATAAATTGATTCCCGTGTATGACATCGAACCTATCGAGAAGATCACTGATGCATACCTTGATCAGTTCTTATACTGTAAGTAATGCTCCAGCGATCACATTGTCTAGAGTCACGCTCTGATGTTCGCATTTTTTTCCTAGTCGAGGCCGATAAGCGTGGTTTATTCCCAGCTTGGATCAAACCAGGAGACACCGAGCCACCACCACTTCTAGTGTACAAATGGTGTCAGGGAATCAACAACTTACACGAAGTATGGGAGACAGCTGATGGCGAATGTAATGTGATGCTAGAGACTCAATTATCGAAACCTTACGAAAAGATGGATTTGACTCTCTTGAATCGCTTATTGAGATTAATCATGGATCACAATCTAGCGGATTATATCACTGCGAAGAATAACATCGTGCTAACTTACAAGGATATGAGTCATGTCAATTCTTATGGCTTGATACGTGGATTGCAATTTTCAAGCTTTGTGTTCCAGTTCTACGGTTTGTTATTCAGTCTAATCTTTCTATTTCGTCAGAGCTGATGATTGTTTTCGATTAGGTCTCGTACTTGATCTCTTGATCATGGGTTTGCAAAGAGCAAGTGAAATGGCTGGACCACCATCGATACCAAATAACTTTTTACAATATCGTGATACGGTGACCGAAGTTCGACATCCGATCAGGTTATACTCTCGATATGTTGATAAGATTCATATCTTGTTCAGATTTACGGCTGAAGAATCTAGAGATTTAATTCAACGATTCCTTTCAGCTAATCCGGGTATGTGATCTCTCATATAATCAGGATGTATCGTTCTTCACACTGATGATTATATGCGCATGTTATAGATCCCAATAACGAGAATATCATTGGATACAATTCAAAACGATGCTGGCCTCGTGATTGTCGAATGAGACTTATCAAACATGATGTCAATCTCGGAAGAGCCGTATTTTGGGATATCAAAAACCGATTGCCCAGATCACTGACCACGATCGAGTGGATTGATACTAATGCTAGTGTTTACTCCAAAGATAACCCTCAATTGCTTTTCAGCATGTGTAACTTTGAAGTCCGGATTTTACCTAAGATTCGTAATGTCGGAGAAGCGTTCACCCTGAAGGATGGAGTCTGGAACTTAGTCAACGAAGCTACCAAGGAAAGGACTGCTCAAGCATATCTTAGAGTTAGTGATTATGGAATCGATCAATTTCATAATCGGATTCGACAAGTCTTGATGGCGTCTGGATCGACAACATTCAGTAAGATTGTGAATAAGTGGAACACTGCGATCATTGGTCTCATGACATACTATCGAGAAGCTGTGATTCATACGAATGAGATGTTAGATTTATTGGTCAAGAGTGAAAACAAGATTCAAACTCGTGTCAAGATTGGATTGAATTCAAAGATGCCTTCAAGATTTCCACCGGTTGTGTTCTATACACCCAAAGAATTAGGTGGATTAGGGATGTTATCGATGGGTCATATTTTAATTCCTGCGTCTGACTTACGTTGGTCCAAGCAAACCGATACTGGAATCACCCATTTCAGAAGTGGAATGAGTCATGAAGAAGATCAACTGATTCCCAACTTGTATCGTTATATTCAACCTTGGTCATCTGAATTCGAGGATTCATCTCGAGTTTGGTCAGAATATGCTATGAAACGTAAAGAAGCGAATTCGCAAAATCGAAGATTGACATTAGAAGATCTTGAAGATAGTTGGGATCGGGGAATTCCCAGAATCAATACACTCTTTCAAAAAGATCGACATACACTGGCCTATGATAAAGGATGGAGAGTTAGAACTGATTGGAAACAATATCAATTATTGAAACATAATCCATTCTGGTGGACTAATCAAAGACATGATGGTAAACTTTGGCAATTGAATAATTATCGAGTTGATGTGATTGCAGCTTTAGGTGGTGTAGAGGGTATACTTGAACATACTCTTTTTAAGGGTACATATTTCCCTACTTGGGAAGGTTTGTTCTGGGAGAAAGCTTCTGGTTTTGAAGAATCTATGAAGTGAGTGTTTGTACTTGAGATCTCGCTTGTATCTAATAATACTCATCAATTGAATTTTCTTTTCACAGGTTCAAGAAATTGACAAATGCTCAGAGATCTGGTTTGAATCAAATTCCTAATCGTCGATTTACTCTTTGGTGGTCACCTACCATCAATCGAGCCAATGTTTATGTTGGATTTCAAGTTCAATTGGATTTGACTGGTATCTTTATGCATGGAAAAATCCCGACACTCAAGATTTCATTGATTCAAATTTTCAGAGCTCATTTGTGGCAAAAGATTCACGAGTACGCACTTGTTCTTACAAACGCTGGGCATGATTTTCTTCAAACCTCTGATGATATACAACCTTTTTTTAATTTATAGATCGGTGGTGATGGATCTCTGTCAAGTCTTTGATCAAGAATTAGAAGCCTTACAAATTGAAACTGTACAAAAGGAAACTATTCATCCCAGAAAGAGTTATAAGATGAACAGTTCTTGTGCGGATATTCTACTCTTCAGTGCTTACAAGTGGAACATCACCAGACCTTCATTATTGACGGACTCTAAGGATATATTGGATGGAACTACTAGTCAGAAGTATTGGCTTGATGTACAATGTCGTTGGGGTGATTTCGATTCTCATGATATTGAGAGATACACTCGATCCAAATTCTGTAAGTTTGATATTGTGAATTGGTCAAAAAAGGAGGATTAATCATCTTAATGACTTTGGTTCTGATATGTTTATACAGTGGATTACTCTCAAGATAACACGTCGATTTATCCATCACCCACTGGATTGATGATTGGAATTGATTTAGCTTATAACCTTCACTCAGCTTATGGACATTGGTTCCCGGGTGCTAAACCATTGATTCAACAAGCGATGGCTAAGATTATGAAAGCTAATCCAGCACTTTATGTATTGAGAGAACGAATTCGAAAAGGATTACAACTTTATTCATCCGAACCTACTGAACCTTATTTGAATTCACAAAACTATTCAGAATTGTTTTCAAATCAAATCATTTGGTTTGTTGATGATACAAACGTATATCGAGTGACGATTCATAAGACTTTTGAAGGTAATTTAACTACTAAACCGATCAATGGAGCGATTTGTGAGTGGCTTCTTTTCAATTATTGATCTTGCGCGAGGCGTAAAATGGGAATATTGATGATGATCACTTTCTATGTTTTGTTAGTCATCTTTAACCCTCGTACGGGTCAATTGTTTTTGAAAATTATTCATACATCTGTATGGGCTGGACAAAAACGTTTGGGACAATTGGCCAAATGGAAGACGTGAGTTTTTCTTTGTTGCTCATAATTTTGGTTTTTCGGGGGTTTTGGATAATTGTTAACATTTTAGGATGCTTTGTTTTTAGTGCCGAAGAAGTGGCTGCGCTGATTCGTTCGTTACCCGTGGAAGAACAACCTAAGCAAGTTATCGTCACTCGTAAGGGAATGTTGGATCCACTCGAAGTCCATTTACTCGATTTCCCCAATATCGTGATCAAGGGTAGTGAATTACAACTACCTTTCCAATCGGCCATGAAACTTGAAAAGTTTGGAGATTTGATTTTACGAGCCACTCAACCTCAAATGATTCTTGCTAATCTGTTTGATGATTGGCTTAAGTCGATTTCCTCTTACACTGCTTTTTCAAGATTGATTTTACTTTTACGTTCATTACATGTGAATCAAGAGAAATCAAAGATTATCTTAAGACCTGATAAATCGACTATCACTCAACCTCATCATGTTTGGCCTACTTTGACTGATGAAGAATGGATGAGAGTCGAATTGGCGCTTAGAGATCTTATATTGGCGGATTATGCCAAGCGAAATGCTGTCAATACGGCCTCGCTCACTAGTTCGGAGATTCGGTGAGCTTCACAGCACATAACCTGCCTTTTAGAATAGGTACTGACGAGGACATGTGTTCTTCAAAAACCAGGGATATCATTCTTGGTATGGAGATCCAAGCTCCTTCGATTCAGCGTCAACAGATGGCCGAAATTGAAAAGACAGCAGAGCAAGCCAACCAAGTTACTGCTACTCAAACCCAGACCACGAATGTACATGGAGATTTGATTCAAGTGGTGACCACGACTCAATACGAAACTCAAACGTTCTCATCGAAGACGGATTGGCGAATTCGAGCGATCAGTTCTACCAACTTACCATTACGTTTACAACATTGTTATGTTCAAAATGATGATGTATCAGACTCACTTCCGACGTTCGTATTGGCCAAGAACATTATGAAGTCATTTGTTTGTTCTGCCGATTTGAGGACACCTATCGCAGCCATACTTTTTGGACAAGTGGCAGCAGATAATAATCGAGTGATTGAAGTGAAAGCAGTAGCGGTCATACCACAAAGAGCTAGTCAACGATCCATCGAATTACCCAACGCATTACCCAAACATCCACTCTTAGATGATATGAAGATTGTAGGAGTGATTCATACCCAAGCACAAGAATCACAAACACTTTCACCTAACGATGCGATCTTATTCTCCAAGATGATGGCACAACATTCACAACTTGATGGTACTAGTATCATGCTCACTGTAGCTTTCACTCCTGGATCTCTATCTTTATCGGCTTATGTTTTAACACCTAAAGGGTTTGAGTGGGGTAGGAATGCAGATCCGAATGCTCCTAATGGTTATAATCCAGCTAGTATGTCAGAAAGAGCTCAACTTTTACTTAGTGATCGGATCTTGGGTTCTACATTTGTACCAACTGATGGAATTTGGAATGTAAGTCTTGATAATCTTTGTTTTAATTTTTCTTATGAGACAAGAGTTGATTGGGTTTTATTGGTTTTCAATTATTTTAGTATTCCGTTGGTCTTGGTCCTCAATTTCAAACTACTATGGAATATAATATGACATTAGCTGGTCAACCTATTCCATTTTGGGATCCAGCTCATCGACCTAATCATTTTAGTTCATTCCAAAACGTAACGGTAGATGAAGAAGTAGATACAGATTTAGTTGATCCATTTGCTTAAGAAAAGGATCGTTTACAAGGGAAGCCAAGATGAATGAAAATGATTAAATGGGTTATGTGTATGGATTGACTCGAGTACAAAAAAAAAGATTCATAACAAGATTTAAAGTAGAAAAGCAAAGAAAATGATTTTTTGTGGGTTTGGAAAAATGATTTGTAATTATAATCATAGTAAATAATTTGTTGAATCATATCATTCTTTTTGGAAAAACAAAAAGCATTTGATGATAAACAAGTATTCAATGAGGAAGTTGAGTGTTAATGACATGATTACCAAGACATCCCTTGTTGGTACATGTGATTTTTTCAAACACAAGAACGTTTGATGAGGTAGATACAGTTGAATGAAATCAGGTATTTGGGGTTTGCCACTTGTTTTACGCTTCCTAGGAGGTAATGATAGCGTTCCGCTCTTCCGGTGTTTGTTGCTCATATCTCCGCTTAAGAGATCCTTTCATTTACGGTACTCAAAGCTGTGCATAGTTTTGTGTGTATAGTTTTTTTGGCCTGAATATACTTTTTTTCACAACTATACACGACCTGGGCAAAATATATTTTGGTTGACAGTTTAGCCACCAGCATCTGATCAACAAACGCAGATATACATATGGGGTACTCAAAGCATTAAGGGTACTCAAAGTAAGTATGTACGTGTACATACTTTTTGCTATATACTTTTTTTGGCGGGGAAGGCGAGGCCAAAAGTATATTTTTTTTCTTTGTCCCCGCCAAAAAAAGTATGTAGCGAAAAGTATGTAGCGCTACATACTTTGCTTTGAGTACCCTTTATGTAGTTTTTTGCCCAAATATGTACACCACGGAGGGGCTTTGAGTCTAGAAATGGCCTTTCTTAGTCTGAGAATGGTCATTCCTGAGGGCCACCTGTAGACCGGTGTGGTAATCGAAATATGAGACCAATCAAAAAATCAAAAAAAAACGAATTTTGAATTACATCAATTATATTACATATAGTTTAATATTTACATCATTTTATCATTCAAACAAACTTATCAAGATAAGTATAAACTATTAACAAACAGATTACAAAAAGAAAGAAAGAAAAAAACATAAGAAAAACTCGAAAATAGAGGTATACAGGTTGGAAATGGTTTTTAGGGTAGTAATATTAGGTTTATGGGTTTAGTAGGGTTGGAATACGAAAGAGGAGCATTGTTTTAGTCAGCAACAACTTTAATCTTGGTGGTTGATAAGAGAAAATAGAAGTTATTAAGGAAATGGGAAAAAGTCGAAATTGGTAAACAAGGGTTTAGAGGTAGTTTTACATATGTAACAGTAGTATTAGTAATGAATAAAGTTGCCAAGGGTGTTTTTAGGGATTTTCACGGTTGGAGATTACTGTGTAATGTTACAGAAGGCAAGAAAGGCTTAGTAAAAGGTGTGAAAAGTGAAGAAAATAGGTGAAAATAGTCGAAAATGAAGGTTTTCAGCTGATTACATGTGTCAAATGACGTCAGAACATGATAAGTAATAGCTCATTCGACGCAGAATCATCAAATTCATAATGTACAATCTTTAAATCATTAGTAACAGAGGTGTATGACAAAAGTTATAAGGAATCAAAGGATTTGATTACACATCAACAAGATCACAAATCATTAATAACAAGCAATTACATCATTGAAATGCTGAATCATCATAAGATCAAATCAATATTCATTCTGGAACATTCAGAACACAGCATATACACAGCATATACACAGCATTTGATCATAAGAATAGAGATTAGTCATGTTTTACTGGTCAAATTAGTAATAAATCTTATCAGATGATGAATAGAAGATCACATTACATCATAATAATGATCATAATGGGTTGATGAGGTACTGATGGCGAAATTTAGGAATGTAGAGAGTGGTTGAATCATTGGATCAAAGCTGTTTACCAGCATTTTAGTCATCTTTTGGTTTTTTAGATGGTAAAGAGGATTTTTTAAGAGCTGTTTACCACTTTAACAATTTGTATTGATGTGTTCATAAACTTGTGTCTTTTGTGCGAAATTATGTTTCCTTTCTTCTTCATCTCTTACATAGCATTAATCATTTTTATCATTATAAACTTATTAGAGCAGTACTAGGTCACTCAAATCAGCCCTTCATCAGAAGAGAAATTTGTTTTATGTGCTTTATATGACACTGTCATTCTGGAATAATATCAAAAAGATATTGAGCTTATTTTTCAACATTTTGACTCGACTGGAATAACACTTTAAATGTGTTGAGCTTATTTCTCTGGTGCTTTTTATCAAGATACTTTTCTCTTATTATCAAAGACCTGGTTATATTTCTCTGTTATCAGGAGACTTTAACAACAAAGTCCAGTTTGTTAAAGATTCTCAGAAAGAGCAGTCTCAGACACCTTCTTTAGATCTATTATATCTTCAGATTATCCTCTTTCAAAGCACTGTATAGCCCTTGTTGTGCTATAAGTACTACACCGGCTGGCAGGCCATTGATCGGCGGCCCACTGACCGCCTGAAGATGGACAAGAGAAATCAAGGCCGTAGTCGGCCTCTGGGCCATCGTCAGACCAAATACGCGGTGGCGGCCTGTCTGCCTGCTAATTTTGTCAAACCTTTGCAAAAAAAAACGATCAATGACCTGGAAAGAAGGTTGCCAAGTGTAGTTTTTACGTGATATCATTGTCAAGTTTGAGTCTGGAGGACATCAAGAGTCGCTAATCACTCGTGAAACCAATATCACGATATGATTGGTGTCTTTCGTGATGATCCTGGCTCAGGTTTGAACTCAGAGTCGCTTGTTTTTGTATATAATTATACGAAGTAACAGATCCTTCATGGAAATTCTGAAGTATCTGCTTGAGGACTACGACATGGTTCTGTCCTTAATGTACATACTGTGTACAACTGCTTTTTTGATGGACGGAAGGCAGATCACAGCCCGCCAGCGGGCGCAAGCAAGCCAGCCTACCGGCGAGCCCAGCAGGTGCCTGCCGGACGTCGCGCGTGAGGGCCACCTGGAGACCGCCTACCTTTGCAGAAGGGCAGACCGTCTCCAGGTGGCCTGGATGGACCGCCTGCAGGCGGGCAAAACACCCCTGTGGTGTATACTTTTTTTTCCCCGCCAAAAAAAAGTATATTTGGGCAAAAAAAACTACACCACAGGTAGGTTTCGAGTCAGCAAAACGTCAGCCAACCGCCTGGGTCTGAGACCCGTCCTAAGGCCAAATTCGGGCGAGGGCAGGGCGGCTGACAGGCGGCCCATCTCGTCAATAGGCCGCCTCAAGGCGTACTTTTTGTGGGCCATCTCAAGACCGACCACAACGGGCCGCACACCGCCTTTGGCGAGTTATAGACCGCCTACTTATGAATCGCCTTAAGGCCGCCACGTTTCATCTGCAGGCCGCCACAAACGACCTTCAGGCCGCCCATCCATCAGGCCGCATCATCAGCGCTGCTGTGCGCTGCGGCAAAGTCTGGCTCGCAAGGCGAAGGCCGCGTCACCCTCAGAAACCAATTAAAAGGCTAATGGATACATGTATCTTTATATCGGGTGCTTGGGGTAACTTGGTTGGGGTGCTTGGGATTTGAATGCTTGAAGGTCAAACTGGCGCTCAAATCCAAGTCATCATCAGTCCTCATCGGTCACCTCCCTTCCCTCGATCACTTCCAATTTTGTCCTATCCCTTGGTAACTCTTGTTACAGCTCCTTACCTTGCTTTTAGTCAAGCAACATCCTAAGGCTTTTTGACACCAGGAACTCAACATCTGGTCAGTGAAAAGTTGTACACATCTACATCTGGGATTTTGATTCGAATCCCTTTGCTTCATTTTGAATATTTCCTTATTATCAGTTTCAAATTGTTTGCAACATCACTGATCACCCCCCAGATATACAATCTCAACACCTTGTCACACCTTACTGCCACTGATCCTGAATTGACTTTTTTTATGTGGGAACTAGATTGAGCACAATTAGGTGTTCATAGAACAACTCAACCAATCAGATCACTTACAATTGTCACATGTTTTATCTCATCAATCATCGAGCAATCACCAACGGATTTGAACTCTAACCTTTAATTGACTAATCATTTCCTTTCTACTGCTTCTCATTACAGTCTCCTTCAATTCCATTCACTTGCTACTGGCCACATTATTAGCACACCTCCTGTCGGTGCAGAGCATGGTTGTAGGGTGTGTCAGTATATGATAAGCTTTTAGCTACAGTTGTAAGCCGTATTGTTTTTAATTCAGCTAACCAAGCTCGAATAAGAATGATCCATCTCTTTTGGTTGTACCTTGCAGGCTTCAGCTCGCAGCCATGATACACTTTGGAGTCTTGGTCTTGACCCTCTAACATCGAATTCACATCCTTGCAAATCGTTTCGAGAACTTAATGTGGACTGTTACCTGAATCATGTTTTGCTTTCCTATTGATAACATCATCACGTTCAAAGATGCCTATTTTGATCATTTAACTACCAAAATCTCTTATTGTTGTGGTCATCTCTTATACTTTCTAATTTGATATTACAATGTTTTTATTTGTTTGGTTACTGTGCAATGAAATACAACTCACTGTTGCATTAAAAGCCCCTTCCTCATCACATAAACAAGCGCATCGCTCCTGATCCAAACCAAAATGAACACAATTTTTGGGTTTCCACTCATTTTATGCCCAATATATACCTCCCAAGGGCCGCCTGCAGGCCGTTTGTGAGCCGTCTGTAGACCGATCTCCAAAGGCGGCCTTCAATTGGTCCGCGTGGGGCCTACCTGCAGACCGCCCAGCTCCCCGCCAGAGTAGGCGGCCTTCAGGCCGTCCATCGAGGCGGCCCACCGGCCATCCATGCCTACCCGTGGTGTATACACACAAAACTATACACAGCTTTGAGTACCGTAATTGTAGAGTAACTGAAATTGACATCTACTTGGTCAGAGGCTGATCCTAATAGAGCTGTGATGAGTTGAAAGACTTAGAAGAAAATCTGTTGATTTACTGCAGAGAGACGTTTGGTGAGCTTCTCTTTGCCAAGTCAAGTGTTGATGATTGTCTTAGAATTCATCAAAAGTTAAGGGCCAGTTCGGCTAGTACTACCTTTGTAAAATTATATATCACGTTATACATCACCAAAACCATATGACATATATACTTTGTATCCGTCAAAAGATGATTTGGTATTTGAAAACGAGGAGATGTTCGGCAATGATATCTGATGTAAAAGTTAATTGTATATCATCACCCCTCCAAAATCTGGACGGAGAACTTAAGTCGTCTCACAATGATTCATAAATTAACCAAATGCTGATCCTGCTGCGACTCTTCGGAAAACCTTAATGAGCAATCTGTTGATTAACTGTGAAGAGAGATCATATAGTGAGAATCCATGGATCCACCGAAAGGTCCCATTCGGAATTCCAAGATCATGACGACTCACTTTACTTATGTTTAGTCACAGCAATGGGTTCAATCCGACTTACCTGTCATTTGGGAAATCCCATCTTGATTTTGATAAATGAGCTTTGATGGATTCAAAACTTTATAGCAACTCGGCGCCACAGCAGTCTTCACAGCTTCAATTCCGATGGTGGAATGAGTGAGAGGTATAGCTTTGTTTTTGAAAGTAGGAAATTCACATCACAGGCTTTCCTTCATGAGGTTAAACGGAGATAGTCAAAAGATACAAAGACTGGACTTCCTAAAGCTTCTGAGACTTTTTCCATCAAACAATTCCTCAACTTATCCAAGCAGTCTTATCAAAGAAACAATTTCAAGAATTTTATTAACTCGAATTTGAATCTCATTAAAGTGAGTCGAGAACTACTCTTTGATAGCTCATTCTTATAGTTTTACATTGACCTTCTTGTGTTCTGTTTGATTTCTTAGGTTCATTAAAGATGTTATCAGCCTTTTTAAATATGATTGTGATTTCTTTAGCTGCTACTGCTACTGCTAATGCTCAATCATACACACTCGAATGTAATGATCAAGTTCAAGTTCCATCTGGGTAAGTTTTTTTTATAAATTTTTCCAAAAAAGTTTGAAAAACTGTCAAAGATAAATCATTCATCCTCATTGATCGTTGACTTCTTTGATTTTAGTTGTTTTGATTATGGATATTGTGCTGGCGGTGGTTTTATTGCCAGTTGTTCTGGTCAAGCTTCTGATTGTCAAAATGGACATTCATTCTGTTTTGCAAATTGTGTTTGTGTTAGGAACTGAAGTTTGATCCAAAAAAATCAATTTAATAAGAAGAATTTTTCTTTGGGTATCTTTAAATATACAACCATTAGAAAGATTCAAGGATTTGGAATATCTTATTTGTGAAGTTGATTTCTTGTGATGGATTTTTAATAAATCATCAATGGCTTTTTTGTATCTTTTTTTATCTTCTTTATCTTTTGTGCTTGCTTGAGAAATTCTGTAGGGTTTGTTTGTGTGGTCTGTTTTATGCCACAAGTTGATCTGACTTATATCATCTCTGATGGATGCTATAGCTTGTATTTGCTTGTGATCTTTTCTTGAGCGCCTGTACAATAATCTTTCTGTGTCAGTCACTGTTTATTGAAGGCACTTGATTGTCTTGCTGTCTTGCTACCACATGGCGTTCCCAGCCAGACCTAACCCTTCTGATACCATCACAAAGAAAGAATGGAAAACACGTTGAAGATATCAATCAGTCATTGACCAACTTTTCCACTTAAAGTCATAGTATCAGGGGAGAATTGGGAATAGCCATTTCAACTGGACCAGGGTTGGGTACTGGTGTGAGTTTCTTAGGCTACAGCCAAACCACGCACACAAACCTTCAAAAATGTTACTAACAGGTTCTGGAAAGTGGCTTCAAAATCAGACTGTAGCTTGCCTACAACTTGATTCTGAAGCTACTGTTGGTAGTTAGTCACAAATGAAAAGGAAGCCACTATTTACCGCCCGTGTTGAAAAACCCGACGCCCGCTTTTTGGATACCGCCCGGGCTGTAAAACGATTTGCTGCCCGGTTTCTTAACTTTGTCAAAACTAAGAAGGCGCACAAAGGATTCATTTGAACATGTTACTCACATAGCATGGCATGGCCAAGTAATTTCTTTGTAAATTACTTTATTTTTTTACTCTCACAAAGGCACAAACATTTGGACGTGTTTTACATGGCGCATTTTATAACGTGTTTCTTTCAATTACCATACACCAAGAAAGAATTGGAGCAGGTGTTACGACAGAGGTTAGTTTTCGGTGTTACGACACAGGTTAGTTTTCTTTATTTGAGAGATGAGAGTATCAGTTTTACAAAGGCACGGATCATCAAGTTCGATAAGATACAAATATAACTAATAAAATTCAAACTGAAACGGAGAGATTTGCCCATAATGCCAGCTCCTTCTTAAATGTTGCCATCCATCCGGAAACCTGAGTGGTGTTAAGGAACTCTGAATTGAGGGCGTTCCCATACACTTCTGGAAAAGGTATCTCGTGCCCAACTCCGAGACTGACGAAATGTTCATTATTGACAAAAGCAAGTATTATTGGCAATTTCTTGTTGGGTGGTGTTCGATATGGGAAGAAGCTGTAACAGTTGCTTCGGGACGGAGTGAAGAGGATTACAGGACGGTCAAAAGCGCTGGCGGTGACATACCCCAGGGTTGGCATCCTCAACCAGTAGGCCCGGGTGCAAGTGACCCCCTCGTAATCAAGCCAACTAAGAATTTCTTTGACAAAGCTCTCCGCCATTGATTGCTGAGTCTTTGTGTTTCTCCGGGGTCGTTTGGATGGGGTGGATAAAAACTTGACATGGTCTTCAGGATACAACAAGAGTTCAGCTATTAGTTGTTTCCGGACCACGAGGTAGGCATCTTCTGAGATCATATTCATTGATGTGGCAATTGCGTAGAAACCACAATTGCCAAAAGCCGGGGGATTGTGAATTGATTTAATATACAATGCGATTTGTGCTGGCAGTTGTTTCAACAACAATTGTTGGTGGGCTGTGAATGTTCCACGTTCAACAGCAGGATTCTGATCCTCCTCCTTGAACTCGACTGGAAATGCGACAGTTCCATATTCTCGACTCGCTTCAAGGGTTGCTCTGACTTTGGGATCCTTTCGAGGCAAGCCAAGATCTTCAGCAATCAAGGAGACAGTTATCTCAGGAACTAGAACACTTCGAATAAAGGAGTCGGGTGTAAGAGGGGCGGCCGCCTCTTTTGTAAGTGGGTGTTTCGACAATTTTGATAAGAACAGCAACTCTAGCTTGGATACAATGACCTCTAATCCTTTAGATCCATAGCTGAGAAGTCAAAAAGATATCAGTAGTCACATCACATACATTGATGCCAAAGTAAGAATATGTACTTACTATCCTGGTTGCTTGACTTCAAAACCATTGAACTGACCTGCCATACTTAACATCTGACGACCACAGGTATTCCACTTCTTTTGTGCAAGGTCCAAGTAAGACAATTGGATCTGATGCTTGATGATCTTCAAAAGAATATTGATATGAGATTCTATACGGCTGTAAAGAAACATATATTAGTTATGTTGTAATTCTCAATATTTCAGAGAAAACATACCTTCCCAGGGTTTGAAAGTTAATCGAAGTGGGCCATCCTTGACTAATCCCGTGAGGTATAATATCACGTTCGGCCTCCTGTAGTTGACAAAATGATGCCCTTTGGAGGTACTAGACACACACAAAATATCAATTGATTGAATCTTTTAGTTTGTAAACAAGTAGTCTCTCTGGTAAGTTCATGGCGCCTGAGTGTCCAATACCCTTGGTAATGTTGGGCAAGGCTAGAAGTTCTGCCTGCATTGATAAGAGTTTCTGCGAGGGGTTTGAAGGCATCTCTTCATCACAAAACGGACAAAGTATCTTGCCTTCATCGGAGTCAGACCAACGGTTTGATACATCACTATCACTAGTGTCATCCTTTATTGCGACATCAACGTTATCACTTTGATCTTCATGTAAGCTGTTGTCGACTGGCTGAATATCCTCTTTGCATGTATCAATCCGATGGCCTGCAATTCCACACTTACTGCACTTGTATATTCTTTTGGGAATTGAGATTGAAGGAAGTGAGTCATTTTTGTCATTCATTTCGTGAGTGTCGCTAGTGTTCCCTTCATTCAAATCAATGTCTTCATTCGATTCCTTTTCATCATTTGATAGTGCAATTTTATTGAAAACCTCATTGATTTTGAGATTGTCCTCAGAGTCAACCTCTTCAACAAGTTTTGGACATGTTGTTCTGGAATGTCCACCCTGCCTACAAATTCCACATTTATTCACACGTTTTTTCTTTGTCTCATCAACTTCATGCTGAGATTTCCAACGTCCATGTTTAGAGGTGGCTGGCGTCTTTTGGCTTGCAGTACGTGGTCGTCCTTTGTTGTTGTGCTTGACCTTTGGAGGTAGAATGGGCACTAGTGCAAATCAGCCGGTCTTGATCAAGTTGACTTCCTTGTATATCTTGCGAAGTGAATGTTCTGGAAGTGAAAGTATTGAGTTGAAGTTTGTTCTCGCTGCAGCTTCAAGTCTATCCTGAGAAACAGGTGCAATATCCATTCCCAATAGCCATTGATCATGAATATGCTTGAGTGATAAGCGTTCCGAAACGTCACGTTTGGCAGCAATGTCGTGTGAACAGGGTAATCCCCAACTCGTCCTGAAACTTTGTGTGCAACGCTTGTGGTCAGGCCGAGAAAGGAGCTGATACTGTTCCATTACCTTCTTGATCGCAAAATGGGAGATAGTTCCGTGAAGATCATCAAGGAAAGTAGGGACATCTTGAAGTGTTTTTCCTCGTTCAATCCCCATGGAAACAGTTATCTCATTAAATTGATGCTCACCGTGTCTTTTGAAAGCGTTGAAACACGTGAGGAAATCATTGTTCCGCCCTTCCAGAAAAGTTTTCAACCCAAAGTGGCCTCCTTCAACTCGAGAGGTTGAACAGTTTCCGAAGTGTGGCGTCGAAGATGTGAAGAGCAAGACAAATTTATTGGTTCGATAGACCCAAGTTCGTTCAAGGTAAGTGAGGATGTTGTGTTTCTTGGCTAGTTCTGTCATAGCTTTCTGGTTGGTGTCGCACTCCTCGGTTGTTGATGAAAAGCAGAAGACATTCCATGCTGCAATAAATGAATCCCAATCGGAACCTAAGCTTTTTTTGCAATTTCGACTGATGTTTTCGTTTATGTGCCAGATGCACAGAAGGTGAGTTGATTCAGGGAAGACTGTACTGATGGCGTTGAATAGAGCGGGTTCTGCGTCAGTAACAAACGTCTGGGGCATTTGAACTGCTGGCGTTTGATTATGACATTCTGGAAAATTGAGTTTGGGTCCTTCTTCTGGGGTATTCTTATCTGAGCTAAATATGATTTCTTTCAACTGGTGCATGGCCCATCCGTACTGATCTTCAGTTTCACTGTGCATAAAGCACAGTGCGACGGTGAATGACTTGTGAGAGTTTGTTGTCCCAACGATATGGAGCAGTGGTAACTGGAATTGGTTCGTCTTGTATGTGCAATCGATACATAAGACCGTAGGAAACCGGCGAGTTAGTGCGATAGCGTTTGGACTGGTTAAAAAAAAAGACTGGAGGGTGCCGTTTGCTGAAGTGATTGTGCGGAAAGCCCAGTTGAGCTCGGTGACTAAATCGAAGAGTCCTTGTATTGGTGTCCTTCCGTTGAGCCATTCCTTCTTCTGACGAGCCCGTGCATTGTATATATCGCGCACAAGGAGCTTGGTCCCGCTAGCGTCTTCGATCAGGCGTCTGATTTGGAGAGGTGGACATCCTGCTGAGGACAACAGGGCAACTTGTTGTCCATTTTTGGGTCCAATTTGTCAGTATTGGCTTTCATCGTGAGGTTGATCAAAAGGTGGGTGATTATGAAGGTTTTTTTGAGGGTTCTTCTCGCTGTCAGATTGCACCACCCATCGGCCTTTGCGTGAATGGTAGTTCAGAGACACCTCGAAGGTGCACCCTATCTTCTTAGATGAAGTCGCGCGTGCCTTGACCAGGTCCTTTTTGTTCTTTCCCTTGGAGTCATTCGGAGGTTTGATTTTGACGTGAGATTCAGCTTTTGAACATTTGAGATAGGTCCGGAGGATCTGTTTGCGGTCCGTCTTATGGCTTTTGATAGATAACACGTAACCTTGATGGCGGGCAACGGCATTCAAATACATCATGCCAGCTTGATAATCGATAAATTGCTTCCCTATCTTAGGCAATTGCATTGTACGCACTGGTTCAACACCTAGGTTAAATGTGATCCGGTAAGAATGGATGTATGTTAGCTTCCTTCAGTGAGATATTATATGAGGAGAAAGATAATAAAGCATCATACCAATAGGCGGCCAATCGTCGTCTCGCTCAGACCCAAAGGCATCAAGATCTACACTTTCACCATCCACTTCTTCAGGCTCGAGTCTATCACGCTCGAGTACACCATCCACTTGATCAAGCTCTGTGTTCACTATTAATCAAAACAATACAACAGTCAAACTACAAGCAGAAGGAATATATTTGATTGTGCTTACCTGTTGGGTGATGAGGCGCTTCTAAGCGGTTGGGAAGTACAGAATTTTGACTCGAACCTTGACTTGTTGTGTTTGAATGTATTTGAAAGGGGTTATGGCCTTTGAACAGGGGATTTGGGATGAAAGCAGGTTGGCCTTGCTGGTCCGATATTGTTTTTGGGATTGAGTTTGAAAAAAGGAAGGGATTATCAAGTTGAATGCCAGGAGGAGGTATCCAATAGTTAGGCAGTAAAGGCTGTGATGTGTTCAATTGGTTTAAGCTGATTGAATTCGAGTTGATTGAAGTAGACTCGAAGGTGTTCCGGTCTCGCTTTGACATATCGCGAGTGAGAATCAATAAGAGAAAAAGACGAGTGTGTGTATGAAAAGTACGAGTGATTGTGAAGGATTGCTTTGGAGGAGGATCAAGTGGAGTTGAGGCTTGAATGATTTGTTTTTGAGCCAGGAGGAGTCTGACCATCATGAGGCAAATCAACTTGCGTTGATTTGCCTCAAATGGTTGGCCGTTGCCCTCCATAAAATGTTTAGTTCGGTTTTGGTAGGTTTCGTGTGGTAGTTAGTACGATGGCTTGGACGCAAGGGGTGGAGTGATGGCCCAGTTGGTTATCGATCGAATAGAATACGGTGAAGTGACAAGGTAGAAAGTTGAAGTGAAGTTCGTTATCAGGCCAATTGAGGACCTGCCCGGTTGTTAAGCGGTGAATCTGCCCTGTACTGTCAAAGGGGGCGACATAGCCCCCTTTAACCGCCCGGTGAACTGCCCGTTGGGCCATTTATAGGGGCAAAAGAGTCGGTACTACGCGGGTATCTCCGGGTTTTACCCCAAAAAAAGCGGGCGTCGGGTTTTTCAACCCGGGCGGTAAATAGTGGATTCCAATGAAAAACTTGGAAACCTTTGCATTTGAGATTTGCCTTCAAACGGTAATAGCTTTGTTGGGTTCAGATACCACAAATTCAACCTGAACTCCTCTATGCCTCATATACCCACGAGGCCTAAGAATGGTGAAGAGCATTTGGCAATATATGACTATCTCCACCACCTTCTCAATTGATTACCCTGTACAAATTTCTCAGAAAGTTGACAACATAAGATTTCACCTCAGTCTAGAAAGGTGGATAAGCACATAAAACTTCAACCCAGGATATCTAACATCAACAGATTCTAAAGGAGATTCAAATGTCATGAGTGAAAGTTTTCAATATCATTTTCCAAGGTTACATCAATATGCAGACAAAAATTATTGTGCTTTGTTGTTGTTTGAGTGCTGTAATTGAAAGAAATACCAGTCCTTTTTCACTTCTCTTTGATTGAATGTTTTATTTTTAATTGGAAGCTTGGGCAACAAAAAGTCTATGCTATTCAGATCTTCTCATTGAGAGTGTGTTACTACAAGATATCTAGCCAAGGTGGACTTGGGTGTGCAACGCTGCAAGGGGTGGACGAGTAGCGGCGCGCAGTAAATTTGGATACATATGCACTCGAGACAAGAAGACGATTCCAGCAGGTACAATTTCAAGCTAACAACTCATATCAACTTGTGGAGAGAAAAAATCTGACACAATCTGGAAATCGAGCAACCAGATGAATAAAACAATGATTCATTTATAAAAAAGGACTATAACCAAAAACACAAGAAAGGTGTTCTAAATTTTGAATCTCCTGATCATGTATTTGAATGAAACAAATTTCCTTCTTGTTAAGTTTATGATCCAAAGAAAGATTTCTTTAATTCCTGATACATTTACAGTTTTGAGAACAAAAAGAAAATCCATTTCGACAATCAGAAGCTGGACCGCTACAGCTGGCGTAAAAACCACCCCCGGTGCAATAGCCATAGTTCATGCAGCTGTTTCAAAGATATCATTCCAAAGAAAAAAATGAATTGATGAGCTTAATCTTTTGATTAGGGATAGCTCCGGAGTTTTAGAAGATATTCAACTCACCCTGAGGGATTGGCAACTTGATTATTACATTGAAATCTATAAGTTTGAGCATTAGCGGTACTAGCCAAAGCAATCACGATTGTCTTTAACAAAATTGATAACATATTTGATAGACCTATAGAAGGGCAAAGAACATAATAAGCTCAATCTAGAAACTATGAGGAAATCATCAAGATCATATGTCCCTTGACTCACTCTGACAAGATTTAAATCAAGTTAATAAATTTCTTTGGAATATTCTCGATGGTCTGTGTGAGTTAATGAAGTGTGTGAAGACATGAAAGCCTTGGAAAGTCGAGTCTTTATACCTTTTCACCATTGTCGAGTACTCAGATAAAGGGCACCTCTCTTGCCGTCTTCCTAATGTCGAAAATGGAGCTTTACCTCGAGCATCTTCCTCCTTCCACGAACATCGGAGCTGTGGGATTGCTGTGATGGAGTGCTCCTTTCTTTGAACCTCGCTCGCTTCGCCCTTACGATGTGAATCCTCAAGAAAAAATTCGGCTTGAAGTCAATGCTGTGAAGTCAATGCTATGACTAAAACCTGAAGTCGATGGACAAACCGAGAAGCCTTCACGCGTCCTTGATGTGTCCGTTACCTTCATTTTAAGACACTAATACAATGTCTCTTCGAAGTCAATCGACACGTTGGGATTCCAATGGGGCGCTCAGAGAATCACATCTTATGTGCAGTGGATTTCCGAACGTTTGACCAAATATGCCCCTCAAACCGCTCGAGTTTTGCGGACATCTTGGGTCGGATGTTTCCTAGCCAAGCGTTTTCACTTTGACTGTATATGGCAATTTTAGTCTATCGGGATGTGCGATGATAGACTTAAAGCCCTCGTTATATTCCGAATCTCCAAATTTCTACACGGCCTTTGGCTTGCGACTTCCTAGGAACTTTCGAGGATATCGGAACATCGAGATTCGGAAGAGCATCGTCATCTCCTAGGATATAGGACGAGTTGAAGAAGTGAAACTTACATCGTATTCGACGAAGTCATCATAGTCTGCTTAATTGGAAGACTGTCGTCTACCAGCTGCTGCCGCAATTAAGCTTAAAAGTTAACTGCATATAGGCCCTTGCGGGGCTTAATTAAGTTTAGTTATGCCGCAATGAATCGATGACGTGGACGCTTCATCAGGCTTCCGCCCCCTATCACTATACCCAAAGGTAGCCAACGGTAGGCTCCACCATCATGAATCAACTCACAATCGTAATCACTCGAGCCCATTATATTCAATTTACATCACATATTGTTTCGGTATCCGTGAGTGTCAATAACATCTTGCATTTTTTGCTAAAGTGCTGCACAGCTGTTAACAAAAGCCTCCTCAACTGCGTGAGGGACTCACGTTAGATTAGCATTGCTGTGGATGATCATTCTCGATTTGCTCACATGAAGCATGAGTTCAAAGTCTCAAGGATTTCCCCACCTTGGCTTAGCTTACAAGGCATTAGCCGCGTCTAAAAAGGTCTTCCTTAGCTTAGCGATAAAATTTGCGTTCAACCGCGAAAGAGCGGTAAAGCGGCACTTATTGCACTCAAAGAGAAGAAGTCTTTATTATTGTAAAGAAAAAATGTCATCACACTTGACAAGCAACTTTTTGATATAAAGAAAAAACATAGTCTTTATTTTATAATACCCCTTGCCAAATTCTTTGCTAGCACACTGGCTACAAAAACCCAATCACCCAATAGTTCCACCTCTTCAAAAAGCCACAAGAGGCTTCCCACATTCCTCTCATTTGTTTGTGGTGCCAATTGACCACAATTGGCTGAGTAAACATCAGCAGCAGCTGAAAAAGACCTCTCCACAGCTTCAGAGGAAACTGGGACCACTAGACAGTCTTGTGTCATTGATGCAAGAACTGGATAATGGTGCTTGTGGACCTGGTCCTACAAACAGAACTAGACTAGAATTTGGAGAACTTGAGAAAACAATTAAAGACTTAAATTCCACCATTGCAATATAAAATTTGGATCAATTGCCTGATCATCATCTCCCTCTTTGTTAACTGGCATCAAGGGATGGTCTCCTTTTAGGAATCTTTTCAGCTCATCCATTTGCTTAGTATGAGGATTCTTACTGAAGAGTTGATACACTGAAGATACCTTCTTGCTCACAATTGACACACTGGGTCTGAGTGAGCATTGGGAATTGAAACCTACATGCTCCTCCTTGCAAGGTTGACACGGTGGCAAAATTTTCAGGAGTCTCAACAGTAAATGAATTGTGAGGTCCAATGGTTTTCTCAAAGAGCAGTGGTGAAAGAGGGGGTTTAAAATTGTGGCAAATATGAGATTTTCACACTTAAGGGGATCATACCAATACTTCTCCATCCAAACAATCATTTCTGCAATCATTGGATGAAGGGGATTGTATTTATCCAAGGTACTTTCTTCAATACCGGAATCGCTCCGCTCCGCTCTCAATTTCGGCCCTTTGAGGCAGCGGAGCGGAGCCTCCGCCCCGAAAGGGACCGCTCCGCTATCGCTTTTTTTGGAAAAAAAAAACTCATTCAAGAGCGGAGCGATTTCTACGCTCTAAATCGCTCCGCTCTTCGCTGTATAGTGATTTTGAAGGGCAGAAAAAGAAAAAAAATTGTATTTCGAATCAATGTGTACTTGGTTGAGCCTATAGGGCCGAGCTAAGTAAGAGAAAAGAGAGAACAGACAAGAAGAAAAAAAAGAAATGAGAAAAGGAAACTGGAAAACAAAACTTCCAAGGAAAAATTTGATTTAAATTGAGAACATCTAGTGTTTTTTCTTAGTTGATCTTTGTATGTATTCTTGAAGAGCTTTTGCAGAAGCTTCAAAAGGGCCGTCAGGTATGATCCCTTCTTTCAACCACACCTGAGATCCCACCAGGCGCTCCATTGTCTTGGGAAGCATGCTACCTCGTGACGGGGTACATACATCGGCAGCAGCGGAAAAGGTCCGCTCGCATGCACAGGAAGTGGCCGATATAGAGAGGTAGTTGCGGGCCAGTCTTGCAAGTACTGGGAAATTTTGATGATGGGCCTGTGAGCAAAGACAAAGCACAGTCAGAAATTAGGTGATGAGACCATGTATATGAAAGAGAAGAAAAATTACCTTCCACCATTGGAGGGGGGTTTGGTCTGGATCCATTCGGTATCTTCCTTGAAGATAGTCGTCCAGTTCCGAAGATGCAACATTACCTTGATCACCGGTTGAGCCTCCAAACACATCGAACTCGTGAGGCTCCACATTCTTGCTGATTTCTTGAGTTGGTGGTGTAGGCTGGAGCTCTTCGCTTTCCGCCAAGAGTTTCTCGTACGCAGTGTCTAAGACGACACGGGCTGCAGCTTCAAAGTCTGGATAGTGCAGATTGAAGAATTTGCCTCGGAATCGAGGATTGAGCATGGTGGCAAGAGATATGGCGTCGGAGTTGGCAGCCTTGCATTGATATTCAGTAAGCCATCGTATCATTGTGTCGATTGCTTTGTTCAGACTTGGAAAGTTTGTGTTTTCGGCCTTGTGTTGCTGAAGCTCGTTGATGACGCGACAGTATTCGGCCAAGAGGATGCATCCTGTTGGACCATTGCCCTCAACTCGAGTGGTTGCATCCACGGATGTCTTCCAGAACGCAAGATCATGATCAGTAAGCTGATCATGAACGGAAGAATGAGATGAACAAAAGAGCAGTGGAAAACATACCTTCAAGACTTTGTTGACCAACTCCACAGCATGCCATTCCGATGGCGAAATTGTAACTCCTTTGAAAAATTGGGCCTTACGATCGGCAGCCAGCATTGAGTTAATGACCTGACAAGTCAAAAGACATGATCAGGAATGAAGAGATAATTAAAAACATAATGAAGTAGGAAAAGTAAGTAAAATACACGTACTTCCTGTGCCTCACAGGCAACCTTCCGACTTTCATAATGACTGTTCCAACGAGTCTTGCAAGGACGTCGAAGCATCCGACCCTTGTAACCCATCCGCTGAGCGCGTACCTTGAAGTCCTCGCGTCGGGCGGCGCTACTGGCAATTTGTCCTGAAACAGTATCAATCTATGTGCAAAAGACAACAACAAGATTGTCAGCATCTTCGATTACAAGTCAAGATATTCAATTTGTACCATACCTTTGCGAGAGCCACAGCAACAGCATCCTGCTTCTTACCAGCATCAGCTTCACCACCTTCACCATCGCCATCCTCGTCATCAATACCATCAGGTTGGTCAGGTAAGCCATCCGAACCTTCAGAAACGTCTGAATCGTGATACTCCAGAGGATCCTCCCCGTCGTTGACCTCAATTCCAGGCACCGGGAGGGGAATATTGTGAGGAGTTGATGGTTTTGCCTTAGAAATATTCTGACCAAGCTTTTTGAGACCGTGTCCCACCACAAGATTCAACTTGTGTCCGTAACATCGCACATGATGAGTTGAGTTGTCCCAAATGACAGGACTCGCAGCCGATGCAAACATAGTTTGCATCTCGACGGCCATTGTAGAATTGTTTCCTCCGCTGTCAGTAGTCTGCGCCAGCATGTGAGGAAGGGAAAAAATAAAAGATAAGAAATAAAAAATGAAAGAGAACCAAAAGGTTAATACAAAAGAAAATGAAAATGAAGGACTGTAATAAATTTTACTCATCTTCTTATGTAGGCCATGTCGAATCAAGAATTTGCCAATAGGCCTAGCCAAGAGAGCCCCAAAATGGCGCCAAGCAACCATCTTGAGGGTAAGATGAGTAGATTTATACTCCCAGTTTTCGTCGATATAGTTGGCTGTTGCTCCAACAAAGGCATAACGATTCCCTTTGGTTGTCCAAACATCATGGATCAGACAAAACTTACCTTTGTTTTCCTATCAATATGAAAAGAAAAGTAAATGATTGTTAGCACTCAAACAATGGTGGAAAGAATGATAATACTATGTACTTACCTTTAATGTGTTAATTGCCTTGTGGTGCAGACCGGCAAAAAGGTCTACAGACTGTTGGGCAGCCCACGTCGATGATCGAACAACAGCGCCTCGGTTGCTTGCATCAAAAGCTGCACGGAGTGCAGCATCCTCAAATCGAGCCCAGGGGAGTGCGTGTCGTACAATCCACAGCACTAAGATCATGTT